AAATAAAAGATTAAATAATGAAAAAATAGAAAAAAAAAAAAAAAAAAAAAAAAAAAAAAAAAGGAAAAAAAAAAAAAAAAAAGGGGGGGGGGGGGGGGGGGGGGGGGGGGGCAAACGGAAAAAAGAGCAAACTTACCGGAGTTGGGCGAATTGCCTGGTAGATGCCCCGATAGACGGAAGCACCGAAGTTGGCCAGAGGACGATGGAAATCGTCCTGCAGCTTTGGATTGTCGTCGAGGTGATCGAAGAAAAAGGCCCGCTTGATAGCAACAAACTGCTGAGTGGGCCACTCGCGAAGCAAATGATCCAGGAAACCTATTGATGTTAGTCTCGGTAGAAAGAAAAATAGAGAATCACTTACTGAGAGCCTCAATCACGGTTTCGTCAAGGGTTGATCCGGTTGCCAGCCAATCGCTGATCTTTGAGAGCTGGACTTTACGCTTCGGCATCACCGACATTCGCAAAGTGGGATTCTTCTTGAGATCTACCGTCTTGAGATCTCGGGCCATGTCACTCTTAAAAATGACCTCCTCATTCCAGCCGTTGAACTGTCGAAGGGACCTAGTCTCTGTTAGAAAAAAAAGCGGTATGGATAATCTCCCTGAAACCTCTGAAACTTACCAGCAGATCCTTCCACCATCCCAGATACCATCAGGAATACGTTCCTTGCGGATGTCACTGTTCCAACACTTGCGGAGAACCCGCCTGTCGGTCTCATTTGTAGTACCGTGCAGAACATTGATCTAGGAAAGAATTGTCAGCATGTGATTGAAAGTTGCTGACTGCAAATACTCACCTCATACTGGTAAACTTCCTTTGTCGGGAAAGCAGTGATGGGGTAAGCGTTCAGCATCAACTCCACTTCCTTTCCAGAAGTGTTGTATCCAACACGCTTCTGAATTTTACCTGTGCTGGATGCAGCCTGCAAACCAAGGTCAGCTTATGGTCTATTTCATCCAAAGGCACTGGAGGCTATCTTGAGGCTCAATTTTATACTCACATTGGGATCGTCGATCCTGAATTCATGCCAGGGAATGTCGAGGTTCTTGCATTTATCCCAGGCGATGGTGGCACGGTTGCTATGGCGGACAAGCTTGTTCTTGTCAAGTCGATGGGGCTCGGAAATCACAGCCTTGACACCTTCCTTCATAAGGCGTGTATGGTTGATCTTCTCATCCTCAGTCCAATGGGCGGGATAAGGGTCAGGGGATTCAACACGACGGATGGGAGAGTCGCTGCTACTGGTATCAGAGCGAACTGGCAATTTTTCGCCGGTGGATGGGTCAATTCCGGTCCTACGCATCCACGCAGTCTCTTCACTGGCCTTCTTTTGCTTTTCGATTTCCTCGGCCCTGGCTTGGTGCTCACGCAAATCTTGCATTTGGCGCTGGGTTAGAGGCTTAGGGGGAAGAGCTCCACGGATGGGTAGTTCACGGCTCGCCGTAGAATAGCGAGAAGCGGTCTGAGAAGACATTGGCTCTTTAGAGCCTTTGGAGGTTGACGATGCACCTGGTGGCTTCGGGTTGGAGGGGTTAGAGCGAGACTCAGGATGAGACTTGCGGCCCCTGTCTTCAGATGAAGACCTCCTTGGCTTAGGGGGTGTCATCTTGAGTTCTTGATGGCTGTTGTAGTAGCAAAGTGTTGTTGTAGAAGTAGAAGTAGAAGTAGAAGTAGAAGTAGAAGTAGAAGAAGTAGAAGTAGAAGTGTTGGAGGATGGAAGAAGAGAAGAAGGAGGAAGAAGAAGGACTTGAGGGAGGATGTTTATACTTCGTCAGGAACGAAGCAAACGCCGGGAATATGGCAAGTGCCAACGAACGGAAGGCAGGAACAGCCCGCTGGAGATGCAGATGAATTTGTAATGGCTGGGATAGTGTACAGGATAATTCAATCTTAACGTAAAGTGAGAAACGCAATGAAGGACGAAGTGAGAGATTACGTTCACTTCGCTGAGGTACACAAATACTTTGTCGAAGTGAAGTCTCGTTCACTTCCCTTGGAAGATCAGACTTAGTGACTCCGTCAGGACTGCACCCGAGCGTCAAACAGATGACTGCCTGGTTTATCTGTATGTCTGCAATTGATGTAGATATACCGAAGCTCAAGTCGATCGAGGATAGGCTAGTAATGGAAACAATGGAAATGGAAAGGTAGAGGAGAGGAGTATTCGAAGAGATCTTGTAGAGAGAAATCATCCCGTGGAATACAGCTGTTTGGCATTTGCAATCCATATACAAGAAGCATCCCAAAATTCCTCTGAAGCCATATACTAATGCCGATATATACTTCATTGTATCTTCCTCAAGGATTGGACCTTAAGACTTCCTATTAAAGTGCCAAACTGCGAGCGAAGTCCGAGTTATCTGGAATTTCTTTTCGTTACTTCTACGTTACTTCTACGTCACTTACTACAAGCAAAGTCTGAGTTATATAGAATATCTTTTTGTTATTCCTACGTTGTTTCTACGTTACTTCCACGTTACTTGTATGTTACCCATACATAAGGATCAGACCTTAAGACTTCCTATTAGATAAAGCTACATCTCCTAAGTAGCAAACTGCGAGCAAAATCCGAGTTATTCGGAATGTCTTTTCGTTACTTCTACGTTACTTGTATACTACTTATGTATAAGGATTGAACCTTGAGACTTCTTATTAAGCAAAGCTACATCTCCTAAATAGCGAATTATAAGAGAATTCTGAGTTATCTGGAATGTCTCTTCGTTGCTTGTACATTGCTTATACGTTTTTTGCAGCCTCAATATCTTAACATAGAATTTAGAATAAATGGTAGTTAGAGAGGAAGAGAAATAATAGATAGATTGCATAAGGGCCAGAAGACCTGAAAGAGAAGATAAGGAAAGATACTTAAATATAGACCTCTCTCATGACTGCAAAGGGCAAACGCTCTATAGAAGTAATGCACCTTCTTTAGAGAGAGAGCAAATACATCATCACTGCTCAGTGGAGAAATGTATTTCCATGTAGAGATATATCTTCATAGAGAAGTGCAGCTCAACAGAAGAAATGCGGATTCATAGAGATATGTAGTTTCATAGGTCAAAAAGAGAGGTCTAACTGTTACTTAATTAGAACATATTATAAGCAACCATAGAAAATTCAAGTTATCTAGAATGTCTTTTTATTATTTCTTTGTTATTTCTACGTTATCTTACAACCTCAATACCTCAATACAGACTCCATAACAAATACTAGAATGTATTGTAAGCAATCATAGAAAATCTTAACTATCTTAACTATCTTTTTGACAGGCTGACAAGCGTAAATATGGCCCAGGGTCCATAGATTTGAAGGGATCTAAGCTAAGGAGGGAAAGGAGCAAGAGAGGAAAGATCTACTGGGAGAATATAGGGATTGATCCAAAAGTGGAGCACTGTATACTTAAGTAGTTTGCATTCTTTGCATCTGTGTGTATTCTACATCTATAGATAGTGTAGTGCTCAAGTGGGGGAACTACACCGATATGTGATGTGATAGCCCTGGACTCAGCATTTTGTGATATATATGGCGATCTCGTGCAGCTCTAGCAAACAGAGACCACTTCTTCTCCATTTTACCACCGGGTCTCCTCTCCTGAAGTCATTATGACCGTCTCATAGTACCCCCAGTCGTCCTGTCTGCTATGTCAGACCGCCATGCGCTCTTCTCCACTTCATATAATAAAGAAGGACATTGCCGTACCTGTCTGCGAACTAGATAGGACCACTGGGAGTAGTAGGACTAGAGAGGAGACCTAGAGATGGTATAATGAAGAAGAAGTAGGTCTCTGGTTGCTAAAACCGCACAGGGTCGTCTTATATATCACAAAATACTGACATCGCTTACACCGCTCATTTATCACATGTTCGCAGTTCCCCCATTACACTAGGTATATAGGGTATAGATACCTGGGCACAATAAAACTTCATTATATAATCTGATTTTGGAGAACTACGGAAATAGAAAGGAGTTCAGGACCAGGCCAGAACCTGAATCCAGGCGTCAATTTTCCTTCAATGCCGTACGCGGCATCACATTCGATCGTAACCTCCGTGTTGAGATAGAAGTTCGTCGCAACCCTCATTTGCTGTTTGAGTAGATAAACCCTCCTCCCTAGGCTTTCTCTCTTCTCCCTCTCTGTCCCTGAGCAGTCAATTCAATCGGTTCAAGTCTTCTTCTTCTCTCGCCTGTATGGCTCAACACTCCACTGCCACCGGATGGGTTGGTCTCGCAAGGGGGAAGGATGTTGTGCAGGGGGGGGGTATTATGCCCGGAGGGAGGATGTCTCACATCCTGTATAGGGAATCCAAACTTAACAAAGGCTGTATTTCCAGAGAAGTGGCGTAAAACGACAGTGTCATTACTGACATTTTCAAGTTCGTATCCGGGCGGCACAAGGATCATTCTTTCCCCGTCGCAACTGATCCATTTGTCCTTTGCAGTGATCCTGCGCTGTGCCTTTTGCGTATGGGGCGGTTGGAAAGTGAAAGGATGCAAGCATAAACAGCTATTTGCCGTATTTAATAGACAGCCGTCCTCTGAAAAAACCAGTGTAGTGGTCACATCTTCAAAGCTGAACATCACAGCCCCCTTGGCTATATCCCAAAGCCTGACTGTGCCATCTTTCGAAGACGTGGCTAGCATCTCACAGCTAGGTGAAAAGCTCAACGTATCAACCGACTCATCGCTAGCTTGCAGAGTGCGTGCTATCTTACCCCGAGCCATGTCCCAAAGAAAGACTTTGCCATTGTTGAAAGAAGCCGATGCCAGCATCTTGGTATCTGGGGAGAACACCAATGTGGTCAGCGAACCCATAAAGACCGTAGATTTGCCACCAGTCGCTGTGTGCCAGAGATCTATGGCACCCCAATTCTTCGCGGTAGCTAGCATATTGCCGTTCTTGGAAAATTGAACAATGTCGGGCGCCTTGTGTGGAAACAACAAAACACCTTCAGGACGTGGTCTTCGTCGAACTCGCTCTCCAGCGCCTATGGTTGTATCCCAGACCCGAATGGTATCATCGTCTGAGCCAGATGCTAGTATGTGGCTAGTTGGAGAGAAACTTAACGCCCTGATCGAATCTGTATGGCCCTGTAAAATTCGCATGGCCTTCCAACTGGTTGTATCCCAGAGCACCAGCATATGGTCATCTGCTGTTGATGCTAAAATTTTGCCATCCCGGGAAAATTCCAGCGCTCTGATAGTTTCAAAATGAGGGAAGAAAGGTCTTCTTGTTCCTCGGGTGTGGTGTGATCTTCCCATGACCTTCACCCGCCAGCCACTGGCCACTTCATAAAAACTAATGCAACAGAGAGAGGCTGCAACTAGATTTTCCCCATTTGGAGAGAATGCAACTGCGTTGGCTGAGCCACCAACTGAATCCAGTGTGTATATCAGAAGGTCTGTGACTACATCCCAGAGATTAATGGTGCAATCTTCTGAAGCTGAAGCTAGTTTTTTTCGATCGTGGGAGAGAACGACCGCATTAACGGGTTTATTATGACCTTTCAGAACGTTTCGCACAACACCTGATGTGTCCCAAAGCCGAACAGTGCAGTCATCAGAGGCCGATGCTAATGCCTTGCTGTCTGGGGTGAACGTCACTGCATTGACGCGCTTTGTATGCCCCTGTACTACTCGTTGCACACGGCCTGTTGTGTCCCACAGCCGAATAGCCCGGTCATTGGATGCCGATGCTAGCAGTTTACCGTTTGGAGAAAAGGCAATTGCATTTATGCGATCATCTTCCTGTAACACTTGCTTCACAAGACCTGTGGCTGCGTCCCAAAATCGAATGGTGCAGTCACTTGAGGCTGATGCGAGTAGCCTGCCATCCGGGGAGAAGGCTACCCCATTCACTCGGCTGGGATGTTCATCTAATAACTGCAAGTATGGATCCCATTGTTTCTGGAGTTTAAACGAGTGTTCGATAAAATCAAGCCTTTCTCTTGAAAAGTGATCTTTGATCTTACACTGCTGTGGACAGAAAACAAATGCAGCAGTATATGCTTGCAAAGGAGCTTTCCCTATCATCGAACCATAACTGTTTGCCAGTCTTTCCGCTTCTTTAAAGATTGAATAAGGCTGGCTGTGGGAAGAAATTCGTTAGCCATTGAGCGCACCATATATGCAATCCATCTTATCGCACAGGTAAACCGGAGAATGTGCGTAGGAGACTTTCACCGGCTACGCGAGCTTCAGATAGGAGTTCGCACAATTTTGCAATATGGCGCAGGCGAAGAGCCAAAAGTGTCTCTACTGGATATTCTCCCGTCGAGTCTGGACGTTTTGGGTCTAGCTCATTGTTACGAGAAAGACTACGCTGCTGTCATTGAGAATCTTCAAACTCTACTGGCGCACCGTGAGCGATTCCGGAATATCAAAAGGATCCAAATCAAATTTCCTTGGTTTGACCCCAAAGCTGCACCGCCATGCTTTAAACCAGTGAAGGAGGCCTGTGGTGAGATGGGAATAACGTTTAGTTTCATCAATTCTGGCGACTCGCTTGAAGACATTTGGGGCAAATTGGCTGATCATGTCTACAAGAGTGATTGGATTGGCAAGGCTGAACCTCCAGGGAAATCGTATTTCAAGGTTTGGTTCAAAACGGACATGGAGCTACTATATTTGTTCTGGCAGTATGCATGCTCGCTTGTATTGATTATTGGCATGCTCTACAAGGAAACAGCGGGTTGGAGTTCATTCGAAAGTACGGGAGGTGTGGGACCCCGATATCTCAAGGCCTAGGGAATTTGCTAGTGTTCAATTGAGGAATTATCTGTGGTAGTGGTTCGCGACTGTACAAAACATGGCTGGGCACGGAAACCCAACCAACAAGCGAACGTTGGAACTGGAAGCCTAACGGAAATGATGCCAGATAGATCGACGCCGATGGAAGATGCAATGGGGGGTCCTCAACAACCGCGTGAGCCCCGACCATGTTTCATGAAATTCCTTGCAGAGAGAACGGATAGGTTAGGGTTATCGATGTTGGAGAAAAGTCGGGAATATTTGAGGCGCCGTGGAGATGGAAGGCATTGCAAAGCAAAAAAATCGATAGATTGTACACAGAAAGTGGAGAAGAATCGTTTCTCAAAGGAGAACTAGTGTCCATAAGTTCAACGGTAGGAGCCTGATAGGTGGGATGTCAGCATAATGTAACAAATGCAACAATGCAGGTGAGGTGAGCTACTTACCAGAGTATGACATTCCTCCACCGGGATTTGAGGGCTGCGGAGCTTGGGTGGGGATATTAACGTGGTGAAGAAGCTCAATCATTTTCTCGGGAGAAAGGCGGCTGATATTATATGAGTGAGCGGGGGGAATGATGCTCAAAAGAGTGACAACTTCGCGAGGCAGAGGAGCCGGAGATCCTTGGGGTTTGTAGGAGGTATTTTGGCCATTCAGCTGCTGCACCCGTTTTGGCTGATCAAGGCGTCGAGGCTGGCCTCCCTTCATGGGGGATTCCGCACGGGCGAACTTGCGTGGGCGGCTGTCATCATCATAATCATCCGTGGGATACGCTCTCTTGGGTGAGTTTAGCGATGGATCTGCGTGGTTTGGTGCCGGAGAGCCACGTGCCACCGGAACGTAGGCTGCACTGTTGGATTTCTGTCGTGTCTGAGATGGCGAGAGGACGTGCCTGACGGATGTAGGATCAAACGTGGAGCTAGCGTAGCGATGGGAAAACTGGGCCAGGGTAGGGTCCTCGGGATAGAGCTCACGCATACGAGCCTCCAAATTGATCACTTGGGTGAGATCACCGTATCGAGACTCATATCCGTGAAGGAAGGAGAATATAGGCTTAGCCTTGTGAACACTCTCAGGGTTCGATGCCAATTTCCTCACAGTGGTCTCAAATACCGCTCTAGCATCTGGGCGATATTGTTAGCTGTGCAGGATAGCAGATTATTGGGATGGACTTACTGATGACATCATTGATGTCAAGCAGATGTTTCAAATATTCGAGTGCAAAGTTCTCATCTTCTGGGAACAGTTTGGCACCTCTTTCGAAGATCTTTGTTGCAGCGGGGTCTTTGTAGCAATGATACTCCATGAGAGCGCTGGCGATGTAAACGTCACTTGTGATCCGACCGCGCTTTCGGGCTTCTGCGAAAATCTGCCGGGAGCCCGCTAGTTCACCAGGCTTGCCCTTGCCCTGGATTCGACGCATAGAGCGCATTAATGAGATCCAAGCGAAGGAGAGAGTCTTGGAAAGTGTGTTGATGTGACCGGAATGAGCCTTGCGAACCGCATCAATCTGTGCCGCTTTCGCTGATTCCCTTTCCTTTGCCTCGAGATCAGGTTCATCTTCATTTTCAGGTTGAACTTCACTTGGCTTAGGGGCGAAGTTCTCTTCGATGCGAGCAACGTCCTGCGTCTCCCGGTCGCGAGCCTTGTTGATCAACTCGTAAAGTGCATCAAGCACCTTGTCATAAGGCTCCCGGACCTTAGCCGCACGCTTGGCAGAGTCTTGCTCGGTTTCAGAAGTGACTTCCAGTCTGTCTGCTCGCTTGAATGTCAAAAGACAGCTTTCGGGGTTCGCCTCAATGCCTTGTTTCAAAAACTCGTTGCCGTCATTTTCCATGTCGTTCAAGAAGCAGAACTCGGCAGCGTCAAACCAGATCTCCGGTAAAAAGCTTAGTGCCATCAGTGCCTGCTTATAGAAATAGACCACGCGCGATTTGAATGCTGCAGGGTCCTCCTCTTTAAGCACCAAAGGATCTTCTTTTTCCCATGCAAGCCAGCGTTTCCAGATCTCAGCCTGTGCCGCATATTCGGTGTCCCCTTCGGCGCCAGGCATTGGGGGCATCGATGGGAGCGACGTGCGGATGAGATCACGCGTGATGTTGAACAATTCGGTGTAAGAGCTGCGCGCAGTCATGTAGGATGGCGAGTGTTCCTGCAGGAATTTCCGGCCCTGGGGAAATCGTCAGTAGGAAATTTGAAAACATACGATTGTCTAGCATACCGTGAGCTTGTTCAAGCCCATCTCGAATTGATCATATTCCTTCCACAGGGTATTGACGGCTTGAGTGGGAACGCTTATGGCACGCTGGTAGGCCTTTCGGAGCAAATCCATCTTTTGTTGATCCTGCCACCCGGAGCCCCCAACGCTGCCTGGTCCGGAACGGATGAATTCAATGTAGTCCGTCCAGATGTTTCCGGAGTCCTTGTCCATGCCGACATATTGAATGGCGAGGTCATACGCCGATGAGATGGTTTTCCTTGCCTGTCCAGAGGCATCTGTGCTGAGTGGATTCCGGCGGCGGACATAATCCAGGTACACAGACCAGAGATGGACGCTGGGAATCGTCAACAGCGTTCGGTTGAAGATCTGTTCCAAGCGGAAAAGTTCATTGAGCTCAGATTCCATGCTGGCATATGCCACCCATTGATCAGCCTGTCGTTCCTAGTTAGCAATTGCAATCTGAACAACAACAGCGGGCGAGATAGAACCAAGAAACGTCAATGGGAAACAACGAAGATGAAGGAAACACATACAGCCATAGGAAAGACTTTCAGGAAGCTCTCGTAGGTTTCGCGAGCGCTGTCGAGTCTGTTGCGGCTTCTGTGCTCTGCGATTAGATCCAACCACGCGGGGATATCACCTCGAGGATCTTGCTCAATGCGGTCTTGCAGGATTCCCACCCGATCGTGGGCCAGACGGCCCTGTGCAGAAGGGGACTGAGGTACAGGGGTAGGATCAATGCTATTCTGCATGTCCGCGGGGTTCAAATCATGGGCAGCCCACTGAGCTTGGCCAGAAACAGAAGAAAGATCAATATTAGAAACACGAGCAGGAGAGTAAGAACTATTGAAAAGATCTGGCCCACTGGCAGGTGCCTGCTCAGCTTGGTGTGATGATACATCAAGGGTGGAAGTGTTTTGAATTGCATTTCCTGAACTGGGATCTTCAGACATTTTCATGGGAATAGCATTTTCTTCCTCGCCCTCAAGTACAGCTGGTGGCTCATAATCCGCATCTCCCTCGTCATCCTCGTCCTCTTCGACCCGAGTCGCGTCATCCGCTGGGGCCTGGGGCTGTGCTTCACCCTCGGCTGGTGGTACAGGCGTCGCTGTCTGAGACCCAGCACGAGAGGGGTTCTGAGAAGGACCAAGGGCGTCGCTGTCTTGAGCAGCTTCGGTGTTCGATGCGGTGGGCCCATTAGAGTCAGCATTGGCGGTGTCATTCAGAGAATTTTTATCGGCAGTGGTATCCTCGGCTTGCTGAGTGTTGGCGAACGAGGTCGCAAACTGCTCGCCCAATGGCTGGGACGGGTCGTAATCATCTGAATCGGAGTTTTCGGCCTCCTCCTCGGCGGGGCCATGCGACTCAGTCGTCAAGGCCTGAGCCTGGAAGAAGGCAGCCTCGGCTTCATCGTCTGCCATGATGGACAACGATGATAGGATGGGCGTTGAAGGGAATGTGAAGAGCTGGTCAAGTTAGAAGTCAAAAGGCGCGAGTCATGAGATCAAGGTTTGCGCGGTAAAGAAATGATTCAAAGGAATCCAGGTGGAGAGGTCAAAGGGATGTGGAACACAGCCACTTTGCGATCTCAGCCGCAAAGTCCAAAGGTGCAGAGGTTGCGATGACGAGACTTGCAGGTTGCCCGGGTAGTGGGAGGACGGTCACGTGTTCAAAGCGAGGGACGCGAAGGCGCGTCGATCGATGGGCTCCTCGCATTGTACTAGAGGGGTCGAGAGTTAACTACGCATTCCAACCTGTTATTTGTTTCTCTCTTCACTTTTTCTCTCTTGGATTTCCCTTTCCACCCCCCCTTATTATACCATTTTGTTTGCCTCTCTTAACTCCAATTCTTTCCAACGTACATACTCATCGCTTATCACCATGTCCGTCGTTTCACTTCTGGGGGTGAAAAACCTCAACAACCCAGCACCTTTCACCGCTTCTTATCAATTCGAAATTACTTTTGAGTGCTTGGAACAGCTTCAGAAGGGTGAGTACAAATATGATCCCCACGATTGTTGCCTTGTATACTAATACTTGCCTGCTAGATCTGGAATGGAAACTCACTTACGTCGGCTCTGCTACCTCGTACGTTGATGCTACAATGGCTATACCTCTCTACCAATGTGCGAGATTCTGACACCGCAACAGATCCGAGTATGACCAGGAACTTGACTCTCTATTGGTTGGACCCATCCCAGTCGGAGTGAACAAGTTCATCTTCGAGGCCGATGCGCCCGATGTCAAGCGCATCCCTACCTCGGAGATGCTGGGCGTCACTGTCATCCTCCTCACATGTAGCTACGATGGCAGAGAGTTCGTTCGCGTTGGCTACTATGTCAACAACGAGTACGATAGCGAGGAGCTTGCCGCTGAGCCCCCAGCGAAGCCTGTCATCGAGCGCATTCGCCGCAATGTCCTCGCGGAAAAGCCTCGTGTGACCCGCTTTGCTATCAAATGGTAAGTCCTTCGCTTTTGTTTATTTACACAGTGGAGCTTTGGTTGACACTATTTCTCACTAGGGACACCGATGACTCTGCGCCGAACGAGTACCCACCCGACCAGCCTGAGGCTGATGGCCTTGACGATGACAGTGGTGCCTACGGTGCGGAGGAGCGTGAGCTTGAGGCTGCGCTGCTCAAGGAGCTCGAGGAATCTAACAAGCCTGCCCCTGGTGAGGACCAGGAGATGGAGGGCGCTGAGGCCCCTGCTGGGAAAGAGGACGAAGACGAGGAGGCTTCCGATGCTGAGAGTGAAGATCTCGAGGCGGAGAGCGATGACGACGAGGATGATCTCGACGAGGAAGATGGTGGCGATGGCGATGATGATGTTGAAATGGGCGATGATACCGAGCAAAAGGATGAATCGGCCAAGCCCTCTCACCAAACCCAGCCCGAGGTTATGGTGCACTAGATATGCTGTGACACAAGAGTGAGCTCTGCTTGCTCTTGGTGTTTGGCATCACTTTCTTATTCTTTCCATGCTCTTTGATGACAGCCAGAACGCAACGTTTACGACCCAAGAACTGGATTTTCCCACGTTCTTCTCCCCAAATGGATACTGATCCAAGCCTATGAAACAAAATCAACATAATTCGAAATTCCTAACCTCCGATCAAACATTTGCCACCCCTTGGATCCTAAGCACACATAGCTACCCTCCTTTGTACTCGTGTCTGATACGAGTATGTGGCAACTACGCAACGTCAGTGAGAACTGTTTCACAGTACCCGCGTGGACACATGTGTGTCTACAGGTAGACTGAAATTGATATCCTGAGCATTTTTGTGTACTTTATAGAACCAAGACTGTGGGCTCGGCTGGTGACCATACATAGCCCAAGCAAATGTACCACCTGGGGAGCCTAGATAGATGTCTCACTTCCAAGGTTGAGATTCTACATTTTCCTCAACTTTAGAAGTGAGTAACTTTCTGGTGCAGAGTAAAGTTTCGTTAGAACTAGCTTGCTGCGGCTTCTTCGGTTTTCCCCAGCTTAAGAAATCAAAAGAAATGTGACACGTCTTCGGGGTCCCACAATTATATACATTGACATGTTGTGGATGTCAGACAGGCACATGGAATGCCCCAGCGTGTATGTATTTCATACGTAGGTGCACGGCCCAGCCATTGGAGGTTTGTTGAAAACAAATTGCAGTATGAAAGGAGACCGAAGGATGAAATTGGGGTAATAAATACTATGTACATGGTTGGGGGTAGCATCCCGACGTTGACGGAAGTCAAAGAACGCCAAACGTAAACAGAAGCATCGAACTCTACAAACTCCTACGAGTAAGTCACCTAAAGTCCAAACTTTGAACCAAGCACTGTGCGCAAAAGACCGGTCAGCATCAGCCATGCAAGGGGGTGGTACCATATTGTCGATCAACTTACAGCCAAACACAGCCTTTTTCTTTTGTGACTGTACATATTTGCCGACATCATTGGCAAAATTGCTGCTGTTTTCTTCCAGTCGGTCCATACTGTCCCCAGCAATCCCTAGACGCTCCGTACGTTCCTGGACTTGCCGCGACATGTAAGACCAATACCCTTCCTGGCTCCCACTTGCCTCGGGTGGTGGAGCACGCCCTTCTCTGAGAGCAGCGCGACGTTCCTGGTCCTCTTGCTTCATCTGTTCAACCATCCGTTTGGATGGTGGTCGGCCTGGGCCACCAACTGTATTCGCTGTTAGATACCACAAGTAAACTTTGAGAGAGAGGGGAATTGCATACTCAGAATGTCCATGTCAGCTGGAGAAATGTATTGGGTGCCAGAAATCCACTGCATGTTAGTGATGGTCGGACGTTGGGGGAGAACCGCCTCCGGATTGTAAAGTTGGTCGTTTGAGGGATGTCTACCAGTAGTCTCAATATCGTGATTCGAGGGGAAAAATCAAAGGAACTTACAGTCCGTTCCCACCTGCCCACACATTAAAGAGCCCTATCTCCGAAGGGCCGACCCATGTCATCACGGTTCCTGTGGGAGTGATGCATGATTCGGACAGTCGCCGCATTTCCGCGATATGATTGATTTTGGTACAGCCGATATCTCGAAGTGCGGGGATGGAGAATGCCCGCGCGTTACCATCGCCGAAGAGGCCAACCAAGCTATAGCCACGTCCTTCGGTCTTGACGACCGCCGCCGAGTCACAAAGGTAGTCTTCCCATTCCTTGTGTGCACCCTTCGAGATTGGTGGCTTGAAGATACGACAACCTGAGGCAGTCACTGCAATAACGACACCATTGACCTTTGCTCCACTTCTCAGGCCCCCAACAGCGCTGGGCGTGGCTAACGCAAGACCGCCAGAATCTGCGTCGATAGGAATGACATTGATGACACTGTCCTCGACTGACGATGTTCCCGCGAAAGCAGCCTCGTAGGTTCCATCAGATGCAGGAATAATTTTGAAGGTTGCCACATTGCCTCTGTTTGTGCCAACAAAGCAACAGATGCTAGAATAATCTAATAACGAGTCAGCACTTTGATCAAGTCCCACGCACTTTCAGTCATAGTTACCGTCGCCTTCCAATGTCATCACACCAAATTCAATCTGAGTAGGCCATTCCGGCTGAGCATCCTCTGAGCCCCGAGCCTTGCGGAAGCTACTGCGTTTGGGTGCCTTGATCAAATCGGACACGTGCGCAGTGTGAATAATAGCAGGTCCCCGTAAATCAATGATGACCAAAGAGCCACCCTGGTAGCCAGCCGCAACAAATCCAACTTGACCGTGCTTCAACGCTGTGATTGGGCCTTGTTGCATATCTAGAAGGGTCAACGGAAGCATTCCTGTCTTAAGCCCAGGATCCGTTCTCTGTGTAATTGGAGTCAACTTCCCTGGGCCTTGGTTGGCACCAGGGGACTCCTCACGTCCATAAGAGGGGTTGTTTCCCCAACGGAAGATGGCAAGCTCTCCAGTTTTGAGTCCAATAGACATCTCGCCTGAAGCGCTGGCGAGACACATCTCGGTTACTTCGATATTGCTGACACGACCGATGGCACGGGCAAGATCAACTTGCACTACATCGCCATTTTCAATTTCATCATCATGCCCGCAGTCCCAGACTCGGACAGTCCCATCTGCGTGGGCCATGGAGACAATGTTGCGGTTCTCAAATCTTTTGAGGGGGTTCTTTGCCTCCGCACCGCCCATCACAAATTTGGGGCCTTGCAGTCGGCGCTCTTTGAGGCCGAGCCACACAGAGCGATCGACAGGTGTGAGGACCGCTTTGTTCACAAATGGATGAACAAGCGTTAGGAACGGATGAACCATGTTGGTTGGGGTTATTGTATGCCCACTTGGGAAGCTCAGGGTGATGATTTCACCCGATGATAGCATAGCAATCAGGGCGATTGGATCGTGGGCACCGTTGAAGTATGGCGAAGACCGAGGAATCAAACAAATGTCGACAACCTGAGCTCCAAGTGGGACTGACAGGTTGATTGTTCGTCGGCACCGTTCCATATAAGTCGACAAAACCTGCCAAGACGATGTCTGGTAGTTGGGAGTGGGACCCATGTCCAGGAAAGTGAAACCCTTGTTCTGATCACCTACAGGGCGACCTCCGGCCACAAGAAGACCAGTGTCATCCGGGTTTTCTTTAGCACACCACACAATCTTTGTGACTGCCTCTTTGGGTCCAGCACCATCGTCAGGCGAGCCAGGTCTGCCGGAATTTGGCTGGTCGATATTGGGTGTTTGAACTGTTCGAGCATGGAGCTTACGACCATCTTTTGTATCCCAAAGAACCAAGCTTGCATCTTCGTGAATGGTCAAGATAAAGATTCCGTTGGGATGCCAAATTGCGTTGGTCAACTTAGGCCTGCGCACTTCGTGCGTTGGGAGAGAATCTGCGCCTGGGGCCCCGGGAGGAATCTCATAGACAAAGTACTTTTGTGCGAGATTTTGCTTGAACGTGAATGTCACTGCTCCCTCCGGGTAGCCCACCAGAATCTTGCCAATATCCCGTGGAGAAAACTCTAGCGACACAACAGGGAAGAATCGTGCACGGGGGTTGCGCTCCAACCACAGATTCGGAACCTTGAAAGGCGTCAAAGACTCGCGATCGAGATCATAGGCGATAATTTCACCTATTTTAAACTTAGTATTAGACTTCATGGTACGCTCTGGGGGCAGTGGACAATGGACCGACCATTCTGCATGCCAATGAACGCATAATCCAAGCTCGGGTCCGTCAACAGGGCAGTCGCCTGCCCCGGTGGAGCATAAGATACGACCATGCGTCTAGTCTCGAGGGAGTAGACACAAATCTCATTTTTAGAGTCTATACTGATGAGCTTGTCGGCGCAAAACTGGAGGAAGCGGGCCGATGCTTTGCGCGGGAACTCAAAGGTCACCAACACCCGTCGCTGGCCGAAGATATAGATCTGCCCACTTCCAAACTGAGTATCACTGGTACCGACAGCGATCAGAGATTGAACCGGATCATAGGCGATCGCACTAATCTGTGAATTCACACCACATCGTGCAAACTGGAAACAGCGGTGTCAGTTGCGGGAAATGAAGATGCCTGGGATGCCAAGACCTACGTCGTCCAAGAGGAACAAGTCGGGGGATAACCCCTCGGACAGGTCCTTTTGAATACCGGCTTGCTTTCCACGCAAGAAATGAGCCATCGCCTGCAGTTGGAAAGAAAGGTATGATGGAAGACAAAATGCGGAGAGGAAGAGAGAGCTGACGCCATGCAGAAGCTAAAAACTACCCGGATCTGCCCCGCTCCGCCCTACGACTTGGCATTTCTCTTTGTGTACAACTGTGGTTTAGAGTGAGCTGTCTTTGAGCTGTTGAGTATGATCTCTTATTGACAATGAACCTCTTGGCCCTTGTGGATTAAAATCCCCCTTGAATCACCCTGGAGACACAGATCGAAAGAACCAAACTCCGAATCACATGCAACTATGGACCTGTATATGGCGCGTTATATATCAAAATCGCTATGCGGCAAAAGGCACGATCAAGGGACCCCGGGGGATATTGCACCGAATATGCAGGCCGGTCAAAAACAGTTTCCAGCGTCGCAGCGCTAAACTCCAAGCCTCGTCATCTCCGCAATGGTGGTCGTCAATCGTCTTCGTGAATCGAACTCACTCGCTTCATCTCGGGTTCGGTAATACTGGACGGTGATTTGGGAGACCAGCCGGTAGCATGCATACCTGTTTGAAGACACCGTTAGCTTGATACTCGGCTCGGAGGGCATTTTACACGTACAGCGCCAACCGAATAGTTTCTCCCCTTGTCCTGGTCATCGGCATGCCGGCTCCTTGCAAAATCGCCTGCGATGGGTGTGCAAAAATCTCGGCCATCAATACGTCGCCCCACAGTGCACTGCTGAAATCCACAATGCCCGAGAGTTGTTTAGACTCTTCATTCAGCAGGATGTGAGAGGGGCGACCAAAATCCACCACTACTAGACGTGGCAGAGTGACATCTTCGAGGGCAGGTGCGAGACGGCTTAACTCGTCTCGAATTTCCGAGTAAGGTAAATGAACAAAGGTATCTTCGGCATCACGGAGGACACCCTCGAAGAGAGCACAGAAAGCATCCCTCCAAGAGGGGGTGCCAGCGCCCCGAGCAACTTGCTGCAGGGTTCCAAACCCTGGAGCTGCATTCTGTCCAATCGTGCTCAATAAGAAACCCAAGTGACGGTCAATCCCGTCTCGTTGTTCGAATGAAAGGCCAGCCTCCATGTCCAATAAACTCGTTCCATTCATATATTGCCGAATGAGATAGGGAGATCCCCACGATCGTCCATGAGGGTCGTAATTGTAGAGCTGGGGGATGCAGGGGTTTCCACTCTGTCCGAGCAGAGTCAGGAACTGGGCTTCGGTTTCAAGGAAGGACCTTTCCCGTCGAAGGAGCGCCGTGCTTGATGAAGGAGACCCTTTCAGCAACAACCGTGCTCCATTCGAGAGCACAATGATTCGCAGCGAGTGGATGTGACCGGAAATCGACAAAGAACTGTGCACGTGTACTGTGGATGGATATAGCAAAGAGAGTACGGCATCCAACCGGTGACGTTCATCTGAATCGGCGGTATAAGGCTGGCGATATACCAAATTGGTATGGCTGTGTGTTCCTCCAAATGATGGCATTGCAGACCATGTTTTGAGATCGAGTTGTTGCATTTTGGTCTGCTCTCATGTGAGATTGCGGCTGATGAGGGGGGTACTGATGTATAAACAAGGCTGTCCCGCGAGTCATCAACCTGGCAGTCAGGGGTTCGTTATTCCTGATTGTGCCAGGTAACGTACTTTCTACTTTCTAAGAATTGGAATGTACGAGTAATGACTTTCGGGGCGATGTTTCCATGAATGATGGAAGAGCTGGCCATCCCCCCCCATATATGGAAACATGTCGATGATCATTAGACCGCCATGATTGCATATGCCCACGTAGCGTTTGAAAGTGACCGCGGGCCCATTTTCAAGCGGGCATGCCTCTACTAGGTTTGGACACGCGAGAAACGGGGGTCTCTTTCGCTTGTCCAGGACTTAAGCCGATCCTCTAACGAGATCTGAACGGTGGACGTGTTTCATTGGAAGTAAATATCGCGCATTATCTGAACAAGCGAGAGCCAAGCACGCACGATCAGATCTCTGAGTTTTGGGGGAGACAAGTTGGAAATTAAGTGAAGAAACTCGCCTAACGCTCCCGCTCTAAGAAAAGGTGGCCATCCGAGCACCCATCACCCGCCAATCACAGTGGCGTCTTGCCGAAGTTCCCCCCATTGGATCGCAGGGATCAGAGAACTTCCATTCTTCTATTTGCCTTCCCCGATGCTCCTATGCCCTTTTCGTCTTGTATTTCCGTGCTCTTACTATTTCTAGCCGATCTACCACTCTTACTTCGTCTCGTATCGAGTTCTGGGCTCGGTCCCCCTCCGGCCTTCTCCTCGTTTCACCCCCAGCCTTTCTTTGCTTTTTCTTTTCTTTCGATCTTCCTTCTTCAAAGGTCTTGTGTCACCAAAGGCTGGCTTCTTATTTGTCCTTATTGGTCTATTTCAACAAGCCAGTCCCCGCGCGGGCCGGTTCGTGGCTGCATGAGTCCCGAGATGGTCTGGGTTCGGCATAACCAACGGCGGTATACTCCGTACAGCGGCCCAACTTCATATATTAATTTTAACATGCGAGATCCTCGTCGCTTCACTCGCCGTCTATGCACAGTAATTCTAGATTGAAAGTTCGATCTAGAAACCTTGATCATAGAATTTGGTTCTATCGAGGAGAGTATTCCGGAGAAGGGAAAACGGAAAGAAAACAAGTTTACAAAGAGGTATCAAAACATGCAGGGCATACAGATTATGCTAGAAATTACTCAAACTCGAGAAAGAGTCTACTCGGTAAAGGAGTAGAATCCATGAGGTTGGGCCGCTGTGTACTGCCATAGGATAACTCATGATCCAGCATGGACCCGTACAAAAACGCCTTACGAAAGTGGCTCTCTGGGCTATGGCTATAGAGTACAGGGTGGGTTTAGAGGAGAGGTATCCACAAGCGATGTTGCGTCATCTAAACGCAAGGTATCCTTCAATTGAAGCAAAATGGCTGTATATAGTCCATACATCACTGAGTCTTGGGCTTCTTGGTGGATGGAGTCGTTGGTCCGCCTTTTGGACTGGGATTATAAATCTCAGCCAAATTGAACCGTCTCAGCTTATCGTAGTCACTTCCTACGACACTCATACCAATCACATTCTATGAAAAGTTAGTCAATGGCCTAGTGGGGATCATACATAGAACATACGTGGGCAATGTCAACCAGAATCATATAGTCGTAATTCTTCAAGTTCACGGGGTGCTCAGGACCGACAGCATCGGCCACCGTCTTGATCACGATGTCTCGGTTGAGCTTTGCATTTCCACGCACCGAGGGCCGGATGGCATACTAAGAAAAAAAAGTCAGATCAGCGCTCAAAGTACGTTTCCCCTCACCAGTTGACAGATCGGGCAATTTGCCAGATCAGTATAGCGCCGGGTGCCTAAAGGGGACCTGGCACTCACCGTCTTCGGTGGACCACCGGAGTGAAAGTAAGGCTTGAGAATATCCTTCGCAAATTCCGCCAAATCCACACTCAGAGTCTTGTGAACTTTGGTCATTGGATGCATGCGTTGAATGTATCGACTCTTCTTGACATCTGGGTTTGCGTGGGCCTCGCTACATAGACGATGAACCAGCTGCACTGGTTCTATTGAAGGATCCAGGCGTACGAATGTCACTGCCAGGTGTTAGCCATTTTCCTCATTGGGAATCTTCGGCGCATAAGCGACAGGGCGTTTCCGCAGTTCTCGCCAGACGTACCACATGGCATGTCCAACTGCACACCTCGGAATTGACGAGGTTTGTCTTTGTTGGGCTGTAAGCCCTCTAACTCCCGTTGGATCTGCGCTTCGATGTCTTCATCATCGGTGTCTTGCTCGTCATCCTGTGCGGACGGTTCTTCGAGGGCCTACTCGGATACTTAGCGAAGACTTGGAAAACTCAACAGCAGGACGCTCCCACCTGAGAAAATAGATCAATAGCTTCGTTGAGAGCCTTTTTCTCTCTGCCCATATCACAAGTCACAAATACACCCACATCACCAGATTCAATGGTGGACGTTTTCGTCTGGTGCTGCCATTTTCCACCTTTGCCACCCCCCTAGTAAGGCGATTAGTACGGAATCACAGAACCCTCTTATCAGAGACTAACCTTCCACTTTTTGGAGTGGTTTGATCGTTCCGACATGGCTTGTGAAGACTGCAAACGTTGTTGGTGGGGGGATTGGAGTTTTGTGTGATCGGCACGGAGCTATGATTGGAGGCGGGGATCGAGGAGCTTTTGTTTTTCAATTGGTGATTTTTACTACATTTTAGTAGAGAGTATTGGAAATACAAGTTAAGCTTCATTGCAATATTTTCAATTGCATACAATTATAAAAAGTACAAAGGTGAGACAGTGGCATGACATCAATACACAAATCCATGACGTAGAGTGGTCTCATCCGGTTGGCAGCACATCGTCCGATTGTTTGTTCCTTTAAAAGGTTGGTGCAACTCCCCCTCTGTCATACTCTCACTTTCTTCTTCTACCACTTCACTTATTACAGACAGATATGGCATCCACCGATATTGCTACCAGGGAGTTGAAGAACCCCATCGACCTTGCAGAGTACTTGTTTCGCCGCCTCCATGAAGTAGGCATCCGCGCAGTACACGGTGTACCCGGTGACTACAATTTGGTAGCATTGGATTATTTACCCAAGTGTGACCTCACCTGGGTCGGAAACTGCAATGAGCTCAACGCCGGTAAGTTGGCAAATCACTGACTACACAGTGTACCATGGCATGTCTCTGACCATAGTCTCGTACTTAGGGTATGCCGCCGATGCTTATGCCCGCGTCAAGGGTATCAGTGCTCTGATCACTACCTTCGGTGTTGGAGAGTTGTCAGCACTCAACGCGATTGCAGGCGCCTATTCCGAATTTGTTCCTATCGTCCACATCGTTGGCCAGCCCACCACCAAGTCGCAGAAGGATGGAATGTTGCTACACCACACTCTCGGAAATGGCGACTTCAATGTGTTCACCAAGATGAGTGAAGGGATCTCGTGTGCTGTTGCCCGTCTGAACAGCCCCCATGACGCGGCAACCCTTGTCGATAATGCAATTCGGGAGTGCTGGATTCGGAGTCGCCCAGTCTATGTCACTTTGCCCACCGATATGATTCATGCCAAGGTCGACGGCGATCGTTTAAAGACCCCCATTGATCTTACTCTACCCAAGAACGACCCCGAGAAAGAAGATTATGTGGTTGATGTTGTCTTAAAATATCTCCATGCAGCCAAGAACCCCATCATCCTGGTTGACGCCTGTGCCATTCGTCATCGTGCATTGGAAGAGGTTCGCGAATTGGTGGAGAAGACCGGCTTGCCAACCTTTGTGACCCCCATGGGCAAGGGAGCCGTCAATGAAAGCCACAAGAACTTCGGGGGTGTTTACGCTGGAACTGGATCTAACCCGGGAGTCAGCGAGGCCGTCGAAGCCTCCGACCTTATTCTCAGTATCGGCGCGATTAAGTCCGACTTCAACACCGCCGGATTCACCTATCGCATTGGGCAGTTGAACACCATTGATTTCCATAGTACCTATGTTCGAGTCCGGTACTCAGAGTACCCCGACATCAACATGAAGGGCGTTCTGAAGAAGGTTGTTCAACAGATGAAGGCTCTGAGTCCAGCCCCCGTACCTCCTATCAACAATCACTTGCCCGAGGAAGAACAAGCTTCCACTGACCAGACTATCACTCACAAGTGGCTCTGGCCAATTGTTGGGCAGTGGTTGAAGGAAAAGGACATTGTTCTCACTGAAACTGGAACAGCCAACTTCGGTATTTGGGACACCCGCTTCCCTGCCAATGTGACTGCCATCAGCCAGGTTCTTTGGGGCAGTATTGGGTACTCTATGGGTGCCTGCCAGGGAGCTGCCCTTGCTGCAAAGGAGCAGAATGACCGCCGTACAATTCTTTTCATCGGTGACGGGAGCATCCAGTTGACTGTGCAAGAGTTGAGTACAATTCTGAAGAACAAGCTGAACCCCATTGTGTAAGTTCTCTCTTTCTTCAAGCCTTTCAGTTCATACGCTCACAGACTCCAGGTTTGTGATTTGCAACGAGGGTTACACCATCGAGCGATACATCCACGGTTGGGATGCAGGATACAATGACATTCAGCCCTGGGACTTTGCGAACATCCCCAAGGTCTTCGGAGCCAAGGATAACTACGAGGGCTACCGCATCAAGACCCGTGATGAGCTCAACAAGCTGTTTGCCGACGAGTCCTTCAATGTTTCTGACAAACTTCGAGTGAGTCCCCTGCTCCCAAAACAACATTTTGATAACTATACTGATACACAATTAAGCTGGTGGAGCTGTACATGCCTCGTGACGATGCCCCTGCGGGTCTGAAATTGACCGCCGAGGCAGCTGCCAAGCGAAATGAATGAGCTTGAAATGCACGAACCCATGCCGGGCTTACTCCGGATGGCACGGTTGTCATGAGATTAATGATTGGATTATGCTTCCAGAGTCTAGGCAATCTGATAATGTTATTTGTTTCCCAGCGTTTGCTTTGAAGGTATTTGAGCCTGCAACTCTCTACGCAATGTCCGCAAGCGATCGATATCCACGAATTGAATTAATTTCTTCACATTGAGACTTCGAATACTTGGCCATCTCCAGTAATCTCGCAATTAAGAGAATAGTGCCAAGCTGATCGTGAAATCCCTCGGAGAGTCTACTTAGTACGCCCGTGGTTGATATGTTAGCTATGGCATTTTTATTATTTTTTTTTTGTTTATTTTTTGTTTTTGAAAAAAGAAAGAAAAAGAAAATTTGCTTGTGTTGTCCAAGGCCAGATACATAGTCAGGTAATGTCTCAATAATTTGCCAATCAGCATCATAGACACGCCGTTAAAAGTCGACGCTGGGTCTAGAGCGGCGGTTAATAAGTCCAGGGAACGGTTGCTTCTTCCTGAATCTTGGAAGTGCCAAGACGAGGCTGTGAACCACTAAGCGGGCTAAGTTCAAAGTCCGAGCATGTTGGTGCCAAAAGTGTCTGGATCAGGCAATGGCCAACCTGTGTGTCCAAGGCAAAGTTGGGAGTGGCTTCATTTTATTTCAATGTGAAGAAGCAGCTCAGCTTAACTCGGTGTTGTCCGTGTTCATCTGATAAGATGATCAGATAAACTGGACGCAGAACGGAGTGTTACCGACAGGGTGGAAACCCGATCCGTCATGTATCACGGCAGTGGACACACCTTGGAATGACAGATTAGTATAATATTTGCGTGGCAGATGACCCCGGCAAGACATCTCTCCACCAGAAGCCGAATCAGCTCGGAGTCCCCGGGCGGCGAGTTTTAGTCTAACGCGCATCTGGCATTTATCCTATATCTATAGATCCTCATCACATGAACTATATTTTGGTTACTTCAATGTATGCATGTAATGTTTCAATGAACATGGTTATATTTTTGTTTCCCAAGACTCCATTGTTGGGCTAGAGAAGAAAAGAAGTGTGGCGGCAGACAGGCTTTTTTCCGTGCGTTGCTTAGCCAAACTCTGTTGGACCACGTTGCTCAACACCAATCAGCATCCTCGGTGGCATCGGCAGATGGCAGCCGAGAGGAGCCCATTGGGTGAAACCCACGACTAGATCGTTTTGTCGAGTCTAATTCCATGGTAGCAGTTATCTGATCCGACCATCTCGTAGGCGACTCCGGCACTAAAAACATCGTCTTGGGCCTTTTTTGGCACCGGTGGAGATTGGCGACGCGAAGAAAACTTCACATAAATAGTGCCACCCGCCGGTGGTAGTTCGCTTGCTCTGATAAATCTCTCAATCTTACCGATGGGTGTCATTAATCTGACTCGCGGTCGTAACGACCGTGCTGTTGTCGAGGATCTGCGTCCAACACTGGAGACTGAGGTGAAAAATGAGGTCAATGTGGAGCAGAATAGGGTAGGAAGTGATCTCGATAACCTGGATCGCTCGGAAAAGGAGATCCAGGAACATCCTGACCAGGTCAGTGCCAATGCTGCCTCTGGTGTGCGCAAGGCCGAGGCTGTGGCCCTGGTCTGGAGCAAGAAGGCTGTCTACGCGACATACGCCTGGTGAGTAGCTTGGAGAAATCCCCCTCTGATGAGACATGAAACTAATAACAACATTAGGATTTGGGTTTGTTTCTTTATGCTGGCCTTGCATTCCTCAATTGGTACCAACGTCCTCTACTATGCCTACTCCAACTTCCAGGACGCTTCCCAAGTAAGCACAGCCTCAATTTTGGCAAGCATCGTTGGTGGAGTCCTCAAGCTTCCCATTGGAAAGATTTTGACCTTATGGGGACGGGCTGAAGGCCTCGTGATTTTCACGGCCGTCTATATCCTGGGTATCATCATCCTTGCTGGGTGCGATGGGCCTAACAGCTATGCTGCTGGCTATGTCCTCTATTGGGTTGGATATGATGCAATCTACATCATTCTAGATATCTTTATCGCTGATACTTCGGGTATGCGCAACCGGGCTTTTGCTTTTGCATTTGCCTCGACTCCGTTCATTTGCACGTCCTTCACTGGACCCTTGGCTGCCGCCAATTTTCTCAAAACCTCGGGATGGCGCTGGGCCTACGGCTCCTTCGCCATTATCATGCCTTTCGTTCTCTTGCCCCTGGCTGCCGTTTTCAAATATTACGAGAAAAAGGCTCGGAGTATGGATGTTTTGCAGCGCCGGGTCAGTGGCCGTACCACTATGCAGTCTATCGTTCACTACCTGCATGAATTTGACAGTAAGTCTATCTACTCTCTTCTGCTAAGATCGATGGATTTAACTAATTCTTTAGTAATTGGTGCCCTTATTTTGATGGCGGCTTTCATTTTGTTCTTGCTTCCATTCAGCCTGAACACAAATGGTCGCGCTCAATATGGTGAAGCTGCCTTCATTGCTCCATTGGTCGTTGGCTTCGTGCTTTTCTTTGTTTTCGCTGCTTGGGAGAAGTGGTTCGCTCGCACCCATTTCATCCCCTACAAGCTTCTCCGAGACCGCACCATCTTCGGTGCTTGCGCCCTCTCGGCCATCCTCTACTTCAGCTTCTATTCGTGGGATCTATACTACTATTACTTTGTGATGGTGGTATACAACCTCGATGTGACTAAGACCGGTTATATGACCGCTATCTATACCGTCGGTTCATGCTTCTGGTCTCCCATTTTCGGAATCTGGATCCGCTATGTGAAGGAATTCAAGCACACGTGTCTTTTCTTCGGACTTCCTTTGATGGCGCTGGGTGCGGGACTGATGATTCACTTCCGCGGCTCGGACGGCGATATCGGATACGTGATCATGTGTCAGATTTTCATTGCATTCGCCGGTGGTATGCTGGTGATTGGAGAGCAGATGGCCGTGATGTGCGCCTCTGATCGTGAAGGTATTCCTATGATGATCACCTTGATTTCTCTGTTCGCAAGCTTGGGTGGGGCCGTTGGCTACGCCGTTTCTGCGGCTATTTACGCCAACACTTTCCCTCAGGGGCTGCGGGATGCCTTGCCTGCCAGCTCGAAAGATCAATGGGCTACCATCTACGCTGGTGGCTATCTAGCTCAGATGAAGTACTTGCCGGGTACTGAAACCCGTGAGGCTATCAACTTTGCTTATGGCTACAGTCAAAAATACGGCTGTATTGCTGCTACGGCAGTGCTCGTGCTTGCTATTCCCTGCATCGCCATGTGGAAGAACTACAAGGTTGACAAGGAGCAGAACAAGGGCACTGTACTGTAATCAAAAGTACTTAAGTAATTGTTTAGATTAGATCCGACTGTTTGCAAGATAATTTATTATTCATAGAGTTCTCAAGTCGACAGGTGTTTCCTGCTTCCAAGATTCTAAAATGCTCTTCTCCCTCTGCTTATCTCTATTCTCTCTGCCTGTAGACTTTTTAAAGAGGTGATCTTATTGATTGTGAAGACCACGCCGTTAGTCCGGGGAAATAGGTTAAGGAACTGACGATCAAGCCATTGTGTCGAGCTGTTTATGGATAAATTAATTCATGGCCTATGGTACGGACTTCAGGAGTATAATGAGACCAGTGAGGACCCATTCGTCTTGGCATCATCAACTCTGAACAAACCTGGTCCCTGATAATTTGGGTATCTTATCCCGGCTCGTATAGGGGGTACAAAAGTACCATATACGAGTAGATCGGTCTGATGTTTTGATAATATTCCGGGGCATCAGCGAATTCCATGACAGCTGACTGCCACACATTCCAAGCCCAAAATGACTGATAATATTCCACTTGAGCAGGCCGTTGAAAATGATCTTCAATGAGTGTATTCCTTACTGGAGGACTGGAGTATTCAGCCAGCCCTGCCAAGTGCGATCCACAGCGGGTACCACGTGATGCGAATCATTCTGACTTGTCTAAGAGTATCTCATTAACGGTTTCTTCAAGGTTATACCGCAAAAGCACTAGCTTGATCCCTCGGCTCGCATTGCCTTGGCCTCTCGAGAATCTTATGTTAGCTTTCGTGGGTCTGGAGACCTGTCCCTTCCGAGAGTCTCGGTCTGTTCTGCAATCCTTGCGATAACGAAACATGTACGTTTCTCGCGTTTGAATTCGTCTCGAGATCAGGATTTCGGTTTTTGACGAATTATACTTGTTTGTTGGTTAGGACCGCCTAGTACGATGCGTTAATGATCGCTCCCTCGCATCGAAGAAACCGCCCAAACGCCCTCTGTAGGCGTCGCGAGCGAAACGGGCCATAATCACCTTTCCAACCGTGCACCGCGGGAGCATCAACTGTGACAATGGACGGTCGGCAACAGTATGTCCCGGGACCCCCACCTCCTTCCCAGGCACACATGAATCTACCACCACCTCCGCCTCGACATCCATCGGCCCAGGCTCCGACCTTAGTACCGCCCCCTCCTCCTGGCCCACCCCCAGGGGCAACGTATGGGGCGCCAACGGGGTGGCAGCAGAGCTGGGGAAGACAGCCGGTCAATCCTGGATTTCCTCCGCCTCCACCACCTCCTCTGGCTGCCCAAAACCAGCACCTGGCGTATGGCCGGCCGCCCGCCCAGCTATCAATCGTCCCGCCACGACACGACCACCAACCTCTGACATCCGCAACCTATATACCCGGGCATGATACCATTGGCGTTGGCATTCCGGGACTGTTCGACCCCCATGCACGAGCTCCATATGACCCCTACGCACATAACACCGCCGAGCGACAACGAATGAATCTCAGTCAAATGCATGATCATGTCAACACCTCTGGCCCTTTTAAGCCCGACCCAAATCCTCCTCAGACCCCTGGTGGGCGCACGATGGCTCCTTATGCTCTTCACGGCAACATTCATGAGCTGTCCCACAACGACAGTCCACAGCCGCACGGAACGCCACAAGCCACCGAAATCGTCAAATCCTCAAGCCATCGCCACAATAATAGTAATGCCTCGCTAGGTGGACTGTCCCACAGTGAAGCTGCAATCCAGTGGCCTTTGGATAGAGTGCTCATCTGGCTCGCGAGAAATGGATTCTCTAATGATTGGCAAGAAACCTTCAAGTCTCTGGAGCTACAAGGGGCCGACTTCCTCGAGCTTGGTCTGGGGGCTGGTGGACGAGGAAATCTAGGCAAAATGCACCAGGTTGTTTATCCCCAATTAGCCAAGGAGGTCGGTCTGAACGGCAAGAAATGGGAACCTAGCAAGGAAAGAGACGAGGGAAAGCGTATGCGCAAATTGATTCGTCAGATACACGACAATTCGCAGGACTGCACTGTATCCACCCCCTTGAATCAGATGCAGCCGCCGGCGACTGCGTTTCCGGAAAGCAGCACGGGTTACTTCGCTCATCATTTCCCCGAGCCACGTTCGGCAGGGCCTGTGCCTGGTGTTAATGATATCAGTCCAGAGCATCTGAGCGCATTGCAAGCTTCCTCCAATCACAACCAGAAGCCGACTGGTCAGCGCTCGGTGACCATGCCAGTTCCTACGGGTCACGACTCGCCAAGATATGAATCACCGAGATACGACTCCCCCGCAAAGGAAACTTCACACTGGCTGCGGTCGGATTACTCTCGCAATGCCTTGGCGGGGATCAACAGTGATCATCGACGCCAGAGTCCGTCGGTTGGCAGCGAAACTGGTACGTTCCAGTCCTCTTCGCTGCGGCCGCAGGATAGCCCACAGAGCGGTAGTCCAGCCTTGCAGCACATATCGCCCAATTATGCAGCATTCTCCTCCTCCGCCGGAGATCTTTCATTGAAGTACGATCACTCTCGGGGTAATAGCACGGACTCAATCAACGGCATGGGCCGAGGCACCACAGGCCGGTACTATGATTCTCGCAGACCAGCCCAAGAAGGAGCTCGTCCTTCGCCCTACGATGCATCTGGTCGGCAGTCAAGTGGTGAAACCCCCTCTTCGTATTCCAAGGATCACGGCAAAGGCTTCTTCTCCAACCTTTTGAAGAAGAAAGCCCATAGAGCCAATGACTCCAGTCATCCGTCTCCCGACCACCATGATGATTCGTCGCCAACGACAAGTCCTGAGACCCGCCCAAATGAGGCATATCTCCCTTACTCGAAGCCTGGCTTCAATGCTAGCGACATGTCTGTTGGCGAAAGACCTTCTACGTCGCCTACTAAATCGAAGAAATGGGTCTTTGTGACGATGGATGGCTCCAACTTTCGCCTGATCGATATCACTGAAATGGACACCGTTGAGGCGATGCGTGTTGGAATCTGTCAGAATATAGGAGTTGACTGGACTAGTGCCCAGATCTACCTCACAGAACCAGGTCAAACTGAGCATGAAGATGCCATGAGTGACACAACCCTCTCACACACCCGCCGAAGCAAGTCAGATGCTTATGGCTCCATCAAGCTCTTTGTGCGAGGGACCTCTTCACAACATATGACACCTCACACTCCGCGCTTCGACGGCCTCGGTGTCTCTTTCCCTGATAAGTTAAATCTGTCCCCGACGGCAACCCATCACCAAGTGCACAGGAAGCCATTGGATGAAGATGCACTTCACAGGATATCACCGCACCGTACGGCACCGGATTCTCCTTCATTGGGTTCTCGTCAAAGCACACTGAAGGCGTCGAATGTGAAGACGCCCTCGGCAGAAGTCGCACCAGACACAGCGCAAGCCTCTGAGCCTGATAGAGCAGATCTGCTTGCTCGCCATGAGGAACACATGCGTGAAGTTGAACGCAAGCAAAAACAATATTTACAAACTAAATTGCAGCAGCCTCAGCATAACAAGAATGCTTATGGAGATACTGGGTACAGGCGTAACGAGGTCATTGATTTTGATACTCCACGAATCTCACCTTACGACGAGAAGAAAGGAGAATCGCTGGTACCCTTTCGCAAGCCCCCAATGGCGCCAATCGAATCCAACACCCTCACGAAAGTTAACTCCCTCAGCAGGAGGCCTACCACGCGTGAACCTAGACCTCAGCAGTCTGCTCCAACTCATGGCCTGGGCGCTGCAATTGCCAGTGTTGGTCGCATTACAAGCGCCATCGGCACGCCAATTCCTTCTGTGCCAGCGCCATCTACCCCCGCCACCGATAGCCGAAACAGCGCAAGCTCGGAATCCGACCATCCAGGCACACTTGATTCTGCGGGAACATTCTCAAGTAGAACAACTCTAGGTCGGTCACATAACCACTGCCATACATTTGGGCTCTTGCTTTTTGCTAACCTTAACTAGACTCTTCGAGACCTTCCTCGAATCATACCACAGAAACCGAAAAGTCATCAGTCTCATTTGCCAATCAGTCTCCTGAAAAGCCTTCTCATGATCAGCCGAGACCAGGATTGCAATCCCGCAAGTCGTTTGGCCCTGAGTTCGACTTTGAAGAGAATCCAGTCTCTTTCCAACGAACTCCCCAGACCCAAGAAGATACCGAGAGTGACTCGGACGATGATTCCGACGATGGCTTATTCCAAGTCCGACCTTCGAGAGCCCAGGAGGAAAAGAACGTGGCACCGAACGAACCCGAGCCCGAAAAGAAGTCCGAGAGACCATCTTTAACGCTGAACACAAAGAATCAGCTCAAGCCAAGTCACTCTGTCAGGTTCAAGTCTCCGAGCACTGCCGGCCACAGTGCTAGCGGCGCTTCCGATAGCCGAGGCCCGTTCTCAAGCACTCATGGGCCCGTCTCACCTGAGGATGAGAGACCCGGACCCCGACGAGATTCATTTGCTCCAGATGTCTGGGCGAGCAGACCTGCTGTTGAGGGCGTCATTGACCATCTTGACGATTTCTTCCCAGATGTGGACCTTGACGCTCCCTATCTGGATGAACCTGCATCCCCAAGCATCAGAGCCAATGCCGATCACGACGCGGGCTTCAGAGACAAGAAAGAATCCCACCCGTCCGTGCCACAGCCAATCCCCAATGCGGCCAATTCACAAAATGCCGATGGAGCTACTGTGTGGCCATCAGGCTCCGATATCGTCGCCAAGCGCAGCATCGCGCGCGGTGGTGGCGGTGGTGGTCTTGGTCGCATGAAGTCCATTCGACAGGTGGCCCAGGGAGCAAACCGGACGAAGAGCGTGAATGCGAGCGGACCTCAAAGATCGGGCGATCTGCTACGCCGCAAGAGTACCAAGATGTTCGGCGCAAAGATTATGCAGATCAGGCCTCGCCCTGGTAGTCGAATCAGCCAGCTCGATCCTATCCCGCAGAATAGCAACCAGGTAGCGCCAAATACTGGCGTCGTGCCCCAGCGCCAGCCCACTTTCCGCATTATCCGTGGTCAGCTCATCGGCAAAGGTACCTACGGCCGGGTATATCTCGGCATGAATGCGGACAATGGTGAGGTTTTAGCAGTCAAGCTGGTGGAGATAAACCCCCGCATTGCAGGCACAGACAAAGACCGTATCAAGGAAATGGTCGCTGCCCTGGATCAGGAAATTGACACGATGCAGCACTTAGAACATCCCAACATTGTGCAGTACCTGGGTTGCGAGCGAGGCGAATTCTCTATTTCTATCTACCTCGAATATATTTCCGGTGGCTCTGTGGGCAGTTGTCTACGCAAACACGGCAAGTTCGAAGAGAGCGTCGTGAGATCGCTTACCCGGCAAACTCTGGGCGGACTCGCATATCTTCATGACAAGGGGATCCTTCACCGAGACTTGAAGGCAGATAACATTCTCCTGGATCTTGATGGAACATGCAAGATCTCTGACTTTGGTATCTCCAAAAAGACAGACGATATCTACGGCAATGACTCTTCCAATTCCATGCAAGGATCTGTCTTCTGGATGGCCCCGGAGGTTATTCAGTCCCAGGGACAAGGCTACAGTGCCAAAGTGGATATCTGGTCACTTGGATGTGTGGTGTTGGAGATGTTCGCTGGTCGTCGTCCATGGAGCAAAGAAGAAGCTATAGGTGCTATCTTCAAGCTTGGTAGCCTGAGCCAGGCCCCGCCAATTCCAGACGACGTGTCGATGAACATCAGCCCGGCCGCTCTTGCTTTCATGTATGACTGTTTCACGATGTAAGCTTTCAGTCTATCTTCCAACCTCCTCTGCTTGCCCTTTCTAACCTTCTATCAGTGACTCGGCTGAACGTCCTACCGCTGGAACCCTTCTTACCCGCCATCCATTCTGCGAGTCCGATGCGACCTACGACTTCCTCGACACGGAGTTGTATGCCAAAATTCGCACTCCTGCCCCAGCCTAGCAATACTGATTTTATCGGAGTCCCTGTATTTGCTGTGATGCACCATTTTCTGCGAGCTGTACATACCCTTTTTGAACCTTGTTTAAAACGAGAAATTCCTCTTTTTTTTTTTTTTTTTTTTTTTAAAGACTCCTTGGGTTTCACGGTCAGCTGTACATACTTTCTTCTCATGCAGTGGAAAATATCATGGAGAGAACCGGGTAATTTCACCTCACAACACGATTCGAATGTTATACCGCACTAACAGTATCATTGACTTGAGAGCTCAGGTACTTAACATGCTTCCAGGGTTTATATTGTGAAACTTGTTTGTATACAGAAGCGCTCAATTTCGCTTAATTTCATGGTATCTATGCTCAAATGCGATTTTCACAGAACTGCGAGCCATCCGGTGTCTAAGAGCTGGTGCTGAGGATGTCATCGTCGTCTTCGGGCAGGTCAGCTTGCAAACCTGATACGCCGACGCGGAACACACCCTCGCACCATTCGGCAAAGGTGTTGACATCCCACACGGCATCGTCCCGGCCCTTGCCCTTCTTGCTCACGTGATGACCTTTGCCTTTCTCCGAAGAGGTGTACTTCTCGAAGAAGTCCTCATAGATTTGAATGGTGCGGTCCTGGACAGCGCCGACAAGAGTTTCCTTCATGCGCGTGTCATCGATATACTCGTTCAGTACCTTCCGTAGGCCGGGAACTTCTTTTTCTATTGTATGACAGGAAGGCAGGATGAGCTCGCCGCGCTGCAGATTGCGTGTGTCCACAAACTTGGCAGGGAGGGAGGCAGTCATGCGCGCAGCAAAAGCGTTAATAAAGTCATTGATGACCGTGCGGAGGCGGCCATCCAACTCGACCTTTGCGTCAAGCATGTTTTCGACGACCCGCGGGATGAGACCGTGGCCGACAAGACGCATCAGGTTGCGGGGATTAAAGAGGCCGCCGCGTTCGCGGAGCTCCCAGAATGTGCTGGTTACACCAGAGAAATCGAAAGAGACTTCGGGGGCAACGAACTCAATGTCAAAGGCGACAATTTGTTGCTTCAGAATTAGGAGATGACTCATTAAGAAGAGTTGGCCATCGGCTGGTGTGGCTTTGGCGGCAATTAAGGAGCTAGCGTTCTGGAGGGAGAGGGTGGTTTGATGCACAATTTGGTGGGCCAGATCATCAAAGACAGTGGACTATTTTTGTCAGTGTGTGTGGCCATGGGGGACGACGGGATGCTCTCACATTTACTAGGCGGTAGATCCTGCTAAGGAGCCAGATCGCTTTCCGCAGAGTAGGATACCACCCCTTGAGGGCAGTTTGGGTCTCGAAATCCCATTTACTGTCGGAGTCTTGTGGTAGGTCACCAGCCTCAATCTCTGGTTTGGCAGTCATGTCGATCAAGGTGTCCGCAGAGGTGTCTTTCTTTCCCGAAATCTGGGTATCTGACACGGTCAAGGACACCTGTCTATTTCGCATGGGGTAGTCAATATCTTCTGGTCGGGGTTTATATCTTTCGATTTCATCATGCAAGACAGCCTGTGCACGGAACACAAGTCGGGCTTGAACGTCTTGCAAACCAGGCTGGATCAAGCCAGAAAAATCGAGATGATTCGTGTCGGTTTGCTCTTGTTCTTCTTCTGGGTCTGAGAAGTAACGAGTTTGGAGGAGATTACACAATTGGCATAGCTTGACGATGTCTGACTCGTGAATGATCCGAGGACGAAGGTGATCGTATAGTGGCTCGCATAGCGTTTCCAAGAACTCATACAGGCCACCCTGCCCATGGAACCATTCTCCCCATAGGTCATATTCATCAAGACACAGCCCGCGAATGTAACTGATACTAGCTCGGGCAAATGAAACCAAGTCTTTGGATGAACTAGGCGTCTGTGTGATTTCAATCAACTTTTTCCGGGCGAGGGGGACAATCAGTTTTGTACGAATAGCAGAGTAGTTGCTGTGCAGTTCGTTCATCAAACTTTGATACTCCGCTTCGTCATTTTGATCTGGATTCAGCGGAGGTACAGCCCTTTTCTGGATCTCGACCCCAATCTGCTTCAATTCAGGTGCCCCAACCCTGAACTTGGCATACAAGAGAGCCGACAATGCTGTGTCGTTTAGTTGCTGATCCGAAATTTTCTTGGAAACGTTTTGGTGAATATCTTTGAGTGAAGACACAAAGTTGCCGCGGATGAGGGTCAGAGCGCGCGTTAGAAGCAACCGGTATCTAGAGCGATAGACCTCGGCCTCTTTTTGATCGGGCTGTATGAAAGTCAGTAGTTTCCACCGAGTATCTGAGGTTAAGCTACTCACATGAGTCTCCATGTAGTCCAAACACACGTCTAATCGTCTCAGCATATCGGAGAACTCCTTATCGCGGACAGTGTTTCCTGCGCCGGGGGCATTGAGTCGCCGTGATGCAGGGTCCAAGAAATCATAATAATGAAGGTTGTTCTGAATTCCATTCGCAAGCTTTGTGTCCCATTCTTGAGCCGACAAGAGTCCTTCGCATTGCTTTTCAAAGTTCGATGTTTGGGTCTCAACTGATTTGAATGATTCGGATAAGCTGGAGAGGTCGTCGAGGAGATTCAAAGTGTTGGCTAATATTTCGTCGATATGATCTTTCGAGTGTTCGAGTTCGTCTAAGCAATTTCTAGGGGCAGAACAATCAGTCAAGCCCAAAGAGCCATCTCAATGTCGGTCATACTGGTACTCATCGTAGCTCTCTTCAATCATATCATCCTTGACGCCATTGAGCCACTGCGAGAAATCGAGTTCATTGTTCCATCCTGGCGCTTTCCACTCGGATAAGTCGGGCGACTTCTCCTCGACGGTCAAGAGACTGTTTTGTGTTTCACTGGCAGTTGGTTTGCGCGGCGGGCCAGAGGGGGCGGTCTGACGGCGGGCCCGTTGCTGCTTGGTGGAAGGCATGATACAGTCAAGTCCCGGAAGTCATAGAAGGGGACTGTCGTTCACAGCTCATGTCTTTATGCCGACTTTCTGTGAGGCGAAAAGCGACCCAAATCGAGCGATGCGGCCGAGCTGCGATGTGGTCAACTCCGGTCCCGCGTGGGTTCTGCCGAGAGATCCCGCCTGGGTCTGATGCAGCAAATCACACGCATGGCATTCCGCCTTATTCGACTCTTTGCCCGGATCCAATCTGCCTTCTGCGGCTTCGATATACTTTGATTGGGTGTCCGACTCTCTATGATGTTGCCATCACGAATGCGCCAGCCCGCGCACGCCCTCATTGCGTTCCGTTCGCCCCGAACCTCGATACACCGGTCACTTAATGCGCCATGGGCTCGATTCAACAGTAGCCAAGCACCAAAGCCAGATCCATCATCGCATTGGCTCCGCAACTCCCTTGGTTTTGCGGTAACGGGAACTGCAGCCTTCTTGGGCTACTCATACTACGCTGACGGGGGAAAGGAGGCTTGGACAACTACTCCGGAGGTCAAGAAGGAAGCCGTTGACGTCAATGACCTTCGTGCCCAATTCGTTCAAGAGAAGCGCAGCCTCAAAAGTCCTGCAGTTTATACATGGGGCTCCAATGTTTACAAAGTGGTGGATCCGGGATCCAAAGACACCGACATCAAGACTCCTCGGCGGTTCAAATACTTCAATGGCCAGGCTTTGAGAGACCTCAAGATTGAGGAAAAGTCCGGTGCAGCAATCACCGAGAAGGGAGACCTAGTGCAATGGGGCCAAGCGTTCTCGGAAACAGAATTTAAACCGACGGAAACCCTCAAAGGCAAGAACCTCACTTCCCTTGCTATGTCCGAAAGCCGGATTATTGCACTATCTTCGGATGGCACGGTTTACTCTCTACCCCTTTCCAAGGAAGATCAAAGTACTGGCCCGAAATCACGGGAGGGCTCTTGGATTCCATTCTGGAAAAGCAAGTCTGATTTAAGCTACCGTGTGCTCAACCCATCCTTGAAGCTGGGCGAAAAGGTCACCACCATTAGTGGCGGACTGGAGCATGTGCTTCTTCTGACAAGCTCAGGCCGTGTCTTCTCTGCGGCGTCATCCACCGAAAATTACCCTTCGCTCGGCCAACTTGGCGTCGAGGGACTCACTTGGTCTACCAGACCCAAGGGACCAGCCGATTCTTGTCATGAAATCACAGCCTTCAACGGTTCCAAGATTACCCAAATTGCCACTGGTGATTACCACTCACTGGCCCTAACCAAGGATGGTCGTATCTATGGCTTCGGTGACAATTCCTTTGGTCAGCTTGGAGTGGATTACGAACCCGAGCGGCCTTTCAAAGACAAGCCTTGTCCTTTGAGAGCAGACAAACTCTACAGAAGGAGCATGTACGAAACCAAGGCTACCAGCATTGCTGCAGGCGGGGCTAATACCTTTTTCACCGTTGATGCCAAGCGTATCCTGGGATACGGAGAAGAATCTGAAGATGTCCGGGACCTTGGAAATGTGACTGCAGACACATGGTCCTGCGGTCGAGGAATCTGGGGCACTCTGGGTAACGGTAGATGGGTTCACGTACAGGATTCGCCCACCAAAGTCAGGGCTTTGAGTGGAGTGAGCGAGTTTGACGAAAAGACGAACCAGATCACCCCCATCCGTATCAGAGCCATGTCCGTTGGTACCACGCATGTCTCTGCCATTCTGAACAACAAAGTCAGTGTCAGCAAGAACACCAAGGAAACATTGGATCAATCTAAGGACTGGGGTTACGACGCCGTCTGGTGGGGAGGCAATGAGCATTTCCAGCTTGGAACAGGCAAGCGAAGCAACCAGTCTAAGCCGGTTTACATCAACGCGCCTCCTGAGAACAAAAAGCAGGAGGAAGCACGACTGCAGATCATGCCCAAGCACAAGGGCAAGATCGGGAAGCGCAATGTGAACATGGAGCAGCGTGTTGAATGTGGGCGCCACGTCTCTGCCCTCTATGCTGCGGTTTAAAAGATCAAAAAACCTGTATAATAGTGATGCTGTATTAAAAATTCCAATGTAATATACCCTTCTCTCCGTTCGAGTCTCTCCAGGCTGTATGTCGACTTGTTGCAAACAGTGCAAACTCTTATCGCCCGCGGAAGCGCTTGGACCAACGCTTATCCAGAAAAATTCCAGCGCTTCAGTCGCAAGTTTCCTTCACGACACACCTCCATAATGCCTCGCGAACAGCAAAAGAGAGGCCGCAGGGCCGAAAAGAAAGCAGATAAGGATGCTGCCAAACGAAAGTTCGAGGAGGACCCCGAAGTGCCCGCGAAGCGCATGAAGTCCTCCGATGATGCCCCCGACGCCGAATTCCAAGATAACGCAGACTACATCCCCCTCGATGTCGATCAAGGAGACCAGCAGGAGCTCCAGGGCCCCGAGGACAATGGTGACATGCCATTCTATGGTCTTCTGGACGAGGAGGAGTCCGAATATTTCCAACGTGCCAACGAGATGCTCGAGCTGAACCAGTTCCAAGACACCGAGGAGCGGAGCTTGTTTGTCGACAGTGTCTACTCGGAAGCCAACGGCAAGGAGCTGAAGATTGCGTGTAGCCAGGGCTGTTCAAGACTTATGGAAAAACTCATCTCGATGTCAAACGCCCAACAACTGCGCCGGATATTCAGCAAGTTTGTTGGTTCATTCCTCCACCTGGTCCAACATCGCTTTGCGAGCCATTGCTGTGAAACCCTTTTCATTCACGCTGCGCCTGCTGTCATGCAGAAGACAAAACACAACAAGAAGTCCGAGGAGGAAGATGGAGAGGAGGAGCCGGAGCTGTCGATCGCAGACATGTTTATGGCTGTGATTGAAGAACTAAAGGAGAACTGGGGATACCTTTTGACGGAGCGCTTTGCGTCGCACACAATTCGAGTCCTGCTTCTGGTTCTTGCGGGAGAGCCTGTCGATGTCACATCAACGGACTCGTTTGTGGCAAGTCGCAAGAAGGAAAGACTTGAGATCCCAACGATTCAAGGCGAAGAAAAGGTGGAGCTATCCAAGACCGAAAAGCACAGTGTTCCAGAATCATTTGAACCGGCACTTAAAAAGATTATGACGGATATGGTCGCTGGTCTTGACGACGTCTATCTCCGCGCCATGGCCACTCATCCAGTTGGCAACCCCGTTCTCCAGGTGCTTCTGTTCCTTGAACTCTCGCATTTCGGCAAATCTAGCGCTAAAGATCCCAAGTCGACAATCAGAAGACTCATTCCTGATGAGTCGTTTGAGGAAGAATCGGAGAGCGGAATCTTTATTCGTGGTCTCCTTTACGACCCGGTCGGCTCACGCTTGTTGGAGACAATGGTGCGATACCTCCCCGGAAAGGCGTTCAAAAACCTCTACCGAAACAACTTGGGAGAACGAATTGGTTCTCTCTCTCGCAATAGCACTGCCGGATACGTGGTTCTCCGCATGCTGGAGAGACTTGGAAAGGATGACTTGAAGATTGCCATGAGCAACATTGTCCCCGAAGTGTCAGGCTTGATTGAGCGGTCCAGACTCATTGTCCCCAAGGTGTTGATTGAGCGATGTGTCGTCCGAGGCGTTGACACCAAGCCTTTGGCGGAAGCCCTCGAGGGCGCTTACAGCCAGGACCCCACCATCAGACTGCAGCAAATGCTCAAAATTAACGTCTCGGAGACCCCAGCCCCTCAGCCCGAAGATCACGATATGGATGGCGATAACGAGGAGAAGGAGCGCAAGCCACGCGGGCCGCCTCCAATGTCTGCAACTGAGAAGGCAGAGAAGCTACATGCCTCTCTCCTCGTACAGGCGATGTTGACAGTCTCGGGTCCCCTCAGTCAACTGGTTTACACAAGTCTCCTTGCACAGTCCCCCGAAACCATTATCCAGCTTGCGCAGGAGCCTACTACATCCCGTGTCCTTCAATCTGCTCTGACTTCCACCAGCTCAACTACCCAAATTCGGCGACAACTCACCACCCGCTTCCAGGGTCATCTCGCCACCCTTGCTTTGAGCCCTAGTGGATCACACGTGGTTGACGCCCTCTGGTCAGCGACCAAGGATATCTTCTTCGTCAAGGAGCGCATGGCGCAGGAACTGGAGCGAGACGAACAGACCCTCCGCGATTCGTTTGTGGGTCGCGCCGTCTGGCGCAACTGGTCCATGGATTTGTTCAAGCGCCGAAGGGGCGAGTGGACTCGCAAGGCAAAGGGCCTTGAGGAGCGAACTATCAGCAGTGAAGGAGCCGAGCGGCCCAAGTCCAAGATTGAACAGGCGCGGGCTCGCTATGCTGCTGCGAAGGAGGCCGCTGAGGCCGGTGCCACCGGTGCCAACCAAACTGCGGTGGCTAGTAAGAAATGAAATATACCAGCATATCGAAATGCGCATGTAATTTATCAATACAAAAGCGTGCTTGTGTTATAGACCTATATACATCTTCACATACAGAGTAGTACATAGTACTTGAGTTGACAGTATACATCAGACAGAACGGGTCCCTGCAGATCCCAGCCGCCACATTACTCGGCTTGCATATCACTAAAGTAGTGCGGAGTATAAACTAGACAGTCAATTCTTCAAATTGAGAATGGCCATATATTGAGGTTCCCCCAAAAATGAGCGAGAGTAATCCAATGATGTCAGGCTCTGTGGGTGTGTCGCCATCTCCGAGATCGCCGCATAGGGAACTTTTTTTCCCGTCTTCGTCTTTTTGGTCTTTTGGCTTTGCGGTGAACTTCAACTTTTCCTTCTTTTTCCTTCAATTCCTTCCTACCTCTTCTCGGTGCTATCTCTCCTGCTATTTGTACAAATGTCAGAGATTACACAGTCCAGCCGCGCCGATGAGGTGCAAGGCGTAAGTCACCTCCATAAGGCGAAGATCTGCACGTTTTTCTGGGTACTTTGATGTTAATCAGATCACTCGGTTCAGCTTTTGAGAGCAGTGGAAGACCTGCTCATTCCCTTCATTCGATCCGCAGACCAGGATATCAACAAAACCTCAAAAACCAACGGCACCAACGGCACCAACGGTACAAACGGTACAAACGGCACCAATGGAGCCAATGGACACACCGGGCTAGCAGGGTCTTCGCTGGTGGACTACAAGAAACCAGAAGAACTACGGGATCTCCTGCAGCTGGAAATCCCCGAGAAAGGCACAAAGCAGGAAGGTCTCATCGAGATCCTGCAGAAAGTCCTGAAGTATTCGGTCAACACCTGGCACCAGGGCTTCTTGGACAAGCTGTATGCGTCCACCAATGCCCCTGGTGTGGCTGCAGAGCTCATCCTCGCCACTTTGAATACGAATGTCCATGTCTACCAAGTATCACCCGCCCTAACGGTGATTGAGAAGTATACTGGTCAGCGATTAGCAAACCTCTTCGGCTTGGACGGTCCCCGCGCTGGAGGAATCTCGGTGCAAGGAGGATCCGCTTCAAACACTACCTCGATAGTAATTGCGCGCAACAATCTATACCCCAGCACCAAGACGGACGGTAATGGGGGGTATAAGTTTGTACTCTTCACTAGCGCCCATGGCCACTACAGCGTGGAGAAGGCGGCTCAGATGCTTGGATTTGGAAGCAGTGCCGTATGGCCTGTTCCTATTGATAATGTGGGCCGCATGATTCCAGCAGAACTGGAGAAGCTGGTCCAGAAAGCTCAAAGCGAAGGCCGGACACCGTTCTATGTCAATGCCACTGCTGGTACAACCGTCATGGGCTCTTTCGATCCATTCAATGAAGTTGCAGCGATCTGCCAGAAATACAACTTATGGTTCCATATCGACGGATCTTGGGGTGGATCGTTCATTTTCTCCAAGAACCAGAAACATAAGTTGGCAGGTGCAGAGAAGGCGAACAGTATTGCCATCAACCCCCACAAGATGATTGGTGTCCCTGTGACTTGCTCATACCTGCTGGCGGCAGATATGCGCCAATTCCACAAGGCCAATACCCTTCCAGCCGGATATCTCTTCCACAATGAAGAACCGGCTTCCAATGGCGAAGGGGACAAAGAATCCGAGTTGGAGGTCGAATCACCCGAAGTTTGGGACCTGGCAGACCTGACCCTGCAGTGCGGCCGACGCGCAGATTCCCTCAAACTATTCCTCGGGTGGACATACTACGGCAGTGAAGGCTATCAGCAGCAAATCGACACCGCATGCGACATTGCTGCACACCTGGCCAACACCATCGACCAGCACCCTGACTTCGTCCTCATTAGCGAAAACCCCCCGCCATGCCTACAGGTGTGCTTCTACTACGCCCCCGGTAAGGAGTTTGTGTACCCACGCGGTGTCGTCTCCAATGAAGATCAGCGTGCAAAGAACAACAGCAAGGTTACTGAGCAAGTGACACATGCGATCGTGCCTAAGGGCTTCATGGTTGACTTTGCACCTCCCAGCGGAGACGACAATGCAGTTGGGAACGGAAAGTTCTTCCGCTGTGTCGTCAATGTTCAAACATCCCGGGAGACAGTCGACTCGCTCGTCCACGCCATTGAAGAGGTGGGCCCTGAAATCGTCAAATCTTTGAAGGCGAGCAACTCCACTATTCCCCAGAAGCGGCCTGGTGAACGTGGCCATGGCCCCGTTGTTCACCGCGTTTGAACGCGAGGTAATCACCTAGAACGGTTCACGAATTTCCTAATCTTCTCTGGATATGACTGCAGGATATGGTGGATATATTGGAAGTAAACTGTCCATATGATAGACATGTACATACACATTGTACTCTAGTTCAGGAAGAGAGCCTTGAATAATCATAAAATACTTGCATGAAGAGGATTGTAGAACTTTGGGGCATTGCTCTTGTTTGTCATAATCTGGCGTCAAAAGAAATCAATTGCCGACCTCAACTCGTCGCTCCAAAACAGACCGAGCCTCAGCCTCTGACAAGCTGTCGATTTCTAGCTCTGCTAGCACGCCCCGCGCGCTCTCATTATCTCTGAACAGCTTGTTTTCTACGTCCCACAGCCTTGGCGTGGCATCGTCCTCAGAAGATTCGTCTCCATTGTCAGTCGCGCTCAAGCAAAGAAGGCGCAGACCCTCGCTCAGTTTTTTGATGGTCTGCAACGAGGCTCCCGCATGCTTTGAGGGAACCGTAGCAGAGTCCACAACGCTACATAGGTGATCCACGTCGCTGGCAATTTGAGACGCCCCGGTAGCTGAGAAATTGTGCTTAATCAGCACATTATCCCAGATGTAGGACTGGATAGACAGTAGAAGCTGGCGTGAAACTCGTCGCAAAGGGGCAGTTCCGAGTGCGCGCGAGAGAAGAGATAGTTGCGTGGACAAAGCACGCATCACGGGGGCTAAACTGGAAGTAGGCGAGAGAGGGGATGCGGTCGCCGTGGCGGAGGGGGTTGATAGTGTTGCCCATGTGGAGACTCGAGAATAAGGCTTCAGGGCGTAAAGGATGTTTGCGGACAAGGTAGATGTAATGATGGTCTCTGAGCGGAGACGGAGACGGCGATAGGCGGAGGCTGTCTCGTCAAACAGAGCGCCGTCGGACGAGGTCTCGATGTGGGTGCCGCTGTTGGCGACAGCGGGGGATGTGCGCGATGCTACCTCTGCGACAGACATTGTGCCAGCTACGTTTTGTCCGCCGTTTTGGTTTCGTCGAACGCGACCTTGGAGCTCAGACCAAAGCTCAACGAAGAAGACATCGTTGCTCCAATCTTCCATTTTCCGTTCGAGATATTCAGCGCTCCCGAAGACTCTGCAAAGCCGTTCTAGACCAGCAACTCCTTCCACGCTGGCTTGTCCATCAGCCCCCTGTACGGTGCGTCCGATCGTCGATGTCATGGCGAGATAAGCCTCCAATGCAGAAGAAAGACGCTCGTGGAATTGGTCGAAGATGGTAATTTGAATGTCAATAAGGAAGCGTAGCTTCTGGCTGAAGGACGACAGAGGTTGGTAGCGCTCTGTGATGGTTTCAAGGAGATCATTCACACGAATTGCAGCCTTGGTTGGCTTTGACGCAGTGATCTCCATGCCATCATAGTCGATCTCTCCACTGTCTGCTGTGTCGATGATATCTTTGTATCGTACCAGCGCAAAGTCCTTCTCGACCTGCAGCCATCGGTCATACCAACCTTGTTTGGTTAATACTTCCCACGTCATGCCTTTCCAATTGTCTTCCGCGTATGGGTCTGGCAGATAGCTCCATGTGTCTCGGACCTCATTGTCAAATTTCATCAGTTCGTGGATGAAATGACTGAGCAATTGGGGATATGTTGAGATCTGAGGAAGGAAGAGGCTGATCTTTTGGGTCAACATTGGAAGTAGTGCTGTGATGAAGCTATGCGAGGCATTGTAAAAGTTCCATTCAAGACTTGGCCCAACCACCTGGGCTCTTTCGTCGAAGATGGGCTGCAAATAGGAAGTGAAAAATTCACCGTGTTGGTTAATGAGGTCCATTATGTGCGAAAGGAAATATTCAGGCTGAAGAAACGTTAGTCTCTATGTTGCGTGCATGGTCGGGTCATTGACTCACCTTGTCGAGTCGGTTTGTTGGCTTGTCACCACTGAAGTGATACTTGAATCGCAAATCCAAATGGTGTGTCATGACCTCTAATGGGAACAAAACCGGTGGCTGTAGACTCACGTCCGAAGCGGCTGCATCGCGACTTTGAAGCTCACTGCCAGAGACAGGTCAATATATGTATGCAAACACAGCGAAGCATCAAGGGGGCGATCATACGGTGTTTGCAGGTCGAGCAGCAATTCAACGTCTTGTCTCCAGCGAGCCAAAAGCTGATCAGAGAGGTTCAATTCTCGTGTCGGCCACTTTAAATCTTGGAGTGTGTTTTGAAGCCGGTCTCCAAAGAATTTCTTCATCTGCTGTCGCAGTGCGGACGCCAGTTTGTCCGTATAATCGACCAGGTGAGGAGCTGCTCCTTCGGCGGCGGGCTGGGCATCTTTCAACAACCCCACAATCTTTCGTAGACGGGTATATGGACCCAAAGCCGCACGCGGTTCGGAGGACATCATTTCTAAAGCTTGCTTGCTGTGTCTGGTCTTAGTCCCCAGGCTCGCGCAACCGAAGATGATGACATTACCTCAACTCCTCAGCTTCCTTGAGCAATTCCACGTATCCCTTGGAGATTTCAAGTCGCTGGAGCTTCTCCATGCTCTTCTCGAGGCTTCGCGTCGCTTCATCGCTAGTTTCGGATTGTGTGATAGCCTTGAGCCGTCGGTCGATATCTTCTTGCTCCGCAGTGAATGCCTCGGCTTGCTTTCGAGTGGCCTCAGCATGTTCACGAGAGGCTTTGGTAGCGTTCGATAGTGCTTCTCCGGCTTCCGAGAGCTGTAGATATTGTCGATCAGTATGGGGAGTGGGACAAGGCCAAAACTGCGGGGGGCGATACCTGCTTCCGCTGAAGCTCCTGTTGCGCGCGAAGACTAGACAACAACGAATCTAGACTCTCGAGATCGGCAGAGACCTGGATCTTGTCGTTTAAATAATCTTCGACTCGAGTTCGCTCATGCGAAGACAAAGCCGTGACGGGTGCCATTGTTGGAGGAGGGAAACCCGTTGCGGAAGCGCAAGGTGTCGCGTTGATCTCCGCCTTCAGGACGTCCTTCGACCATCCCAATCCCCAGACCTTCACACCTCACCTCCGATAATGTCTAGTCCGGCTAAAAAGCGCAAGATAAATGGCAGCTCATCGTCACCACCGGTGCGCAGCATTAAATCGTTCTTCCAGGGACAAGCCGCCAGCCAGCCCAGTAATAAAGAGCCCGACGTCACCGAACAGACTCTCTCGGATGAAGCTCTGGCGCGTAAGCTCCAAACCGAATGGAACAAGCAAGAAGACGCTACTTCAGTCGATCAAAACTTATCAACAGAATCAAATATCAATACCGCTCAATCATTTCAATCACTTCCCATCCCGTCTAATGCCCCGGTGGCTCCAGTGACATCAGAAAAGAACACACTCTCACTTCAATCGGCGACTGGGGCAGACGATACAATATCCCTTGCCATTCCCTTGGACCAAAGCCCTCAAACCTTCGATGCAAGTCGATGGGCGGCGGAATTGGCGTCACACTGGGCCGCCCAAGGCGGAGATGCTTCCTACGCCCTGTTGACCAGAGCATTCGTCCTGGCAAATGCAACTACGAGCCGAATCAAGATTGTTGATACGCTGGTCAACTTACTCCGCATATTGATCGAAGGAGACCCTTCAAGTGTCCTGCCTGCAGTGTGGCTAGCAACAAATTCCATTTCGCCACCTTACGATGAGGTAGAATTAGGTCTTGGGGGATCTTCAATTTCAAAGGCACTAAAGAAGATATATGGCCTCGACAATGCGGGGCTCAAGACGCTCTACAACAAACACGGTGATGCAGGAGACGTTGCATTCGAGGCCAAAAAGCGCCAGTCTTTCACTTTAGTCAAGCCTAAACCTCTCAAGATCAAAGGTGTTTACCAGTCACTGACGAAGATTGCCACGAGCAAAGGAACCGGTAGCCAGGAGACTAAGCAGAGGATTGTCGAGAAACTTTTGCAAGATACACGGGGCGCAGAAGAGAGTCGATATATTGTGCGGACATTGGTTCAAAATCTCCGAATCGGCGCAGTGAAAACAACGATGCTCATTGCTCTTGCCCGAGCCGTTCTTTATTCCAAGCCGGTGGGGGCGTGCTTTGAAATCCGGCCTCAGCACGAGTTGGCCCGGCTGAAGAAGGATGAGCTAAGTGAAATGTACAACAATGCGGAAGAAATAGTCAAGGCTTCTTACGCCCGACATCCAGACTACAGCGACTTAGTCCCTTGTCTCCTGGAGATTGGGCCGACAGACGAGCTGTTGGTCAGGTGCGGCCTGTCCATGCACATACCATTAAGGCCGATGCTGGGTAGTATCACACGCGATCTGTCTGATATGTTGACCAAGCTCCAAGGGAGGACTTTCAGCTGCGAGTACAAGTATGACGGGCAGCGAGCACAGGTTCACTGCGATGAGCAAGGGAAGGTATCCATCTTCTCGCGCCACCTTGAGACGATGACGGAGAAATATCCTGATCTTGTATCTCTCGTCCCTCAGATCCGAGGGGAAGGAGTGTCCAGCTTCATTTTGGAAGGCGAGGTTGTTGCTGTGGACCGCGAAAATGGGGACCTACAGCCATTCCAGACATTGACCAACCGCGCAAAAAAGAACGTAGAGATAGGGGAGATCAAAGTCAACGTTTGTCTGTTCTCCTTTGACCTGATGTATCTCAATGGCGAACCGTTGCTGGACCGCCCTTTCCGGGAACGCCGTGAACTACTCCGCAGTCTCTTCGTGGAAATTCCCAGGCATTTTACCTGGGTGAAGAGCATTGATGCGCGGTCAGCCGATTCCGAGACTGTGCTTGAATTTTTCAAGTCTGCCACCGATGTCAAATGTGAGGGTATCATGGTCAAGGTGCTGGACAACGAGTCCAAGGATGATATTCAACAACCCACCAACGACCTCGGCGAAAGGGGTGAACAGCTTTCCCAAGCAATAACCAGCAAACCCAACACTAAAACAAAAGAAAAAGGCACCAGGCGCAAGGCGCTTCTATCAACCTACGAGCCCGACAAGCGTCTTGAATCCTGGCTGAAAGTGAAAAAGGATTACAGCACCTCCTCGGAAACTCTTGACCTGATTCCCGTGGCGGGCTGGCATGGCAACGGTCGCAAAGCCAAATGGTGGTCACCCATCCTTCTGGCAGTGCGAAATCCCGAGACAGGAAGCCTCGAAGCTGTCACCAAATGCATGTCCGGGTTCACGGACAAATTCTATCAGAGCAACAAAGACCAGTACGCGGAAGGTAGCACGAACGTGATCTCTCGGCCCAGCTACGTGGAATATAATGGGTCCCCGGACGTTTGGTTTGAACCGCGGGAGGTATGGGAAATGGCCTTTGCAGACATTACACTCAGTCCGACGTATCCTGCTGCCATAGGGCTGGTGAGTGAGGAACGCGGGCTGAGTCTGCGCTTCCCGCGTTTCCTGAAAGTCCGCGAGGATAAATCGATAGACGAGGCCACCACGTCTGATTACCTGGCGCTACTATGGCGAAAACAGGCGGAACGCGCTGTCGATAGTAAGGAGCAAAATGAGGATCACGATCAAGATGACCTAGAATAACGACCTCGGAAGTTAGCAAGGCAATAGATCGAATATAGCCTGATAGGATATAGCTGGACCATTCGACAAGCTTATAGCCCCGAGTACAACTTTTTAGAAGCTTGAGAATTCCATTCGCAGGGGTGACGTAGTTGGCACTTGGGGATGTTCTGATACCGGCAATATATGATTGGCTGAACCATCCTCGGCCTGAACGCGAAAGTAACGCGAAATAACGCGACGTGATTGGGCAACGCGAGAATAAGCAGCCATCGTTCCAGGGTTCAAGGTTCAACGCGCGGGAGTGTAAACTTGAGAATTTGAAAGTAGAACAATGTATCTATAGATACTTCTTAGAAGTGTTTTGATAGAGTTCAACTTTAGAACCCTTAAGAACCTGACAAAATTTGAAGTTCCAACCCCCTTGGGACTTCAGGAAAATTTTTAGGAAATTACAAAAATATATCTCTGGATCCAGTTCGGTTGAAATCACTTGAGCACCCGTGAACAATCTTGAAGAACCTTTGACTTTAGAACTACTTAAGTAGACCTCGGAACATCATTGTATTTCTCAACCTTGGAAGTTCTAAGTTATGCCAAAGAAAGACGTCATCCAATGATATCCATGGGCGCTCTATAAGTTCTAAAGTTCCAACGTTGGAAAGTCGCTCGAACTACACCATTGGAAGATTACCATGGCTCTGCTCGAGTTTGTCCATGAATGCAACCTCGTTGATTCGGACTGTCCCCTTCAATCTAAGCCCAACGAGAAAGACTAGCGCAAGAAGAAGATGTATTTCATTGAAGCAGTCAGTATTCAAAAGAAATTATCATAAGCGAGATGTAGTAGAGGTAATGAAAAGTGTGGGGTGCATTGGAATTGCCACGCAGGCACTGAAGTGGAAATGAATAGAAAAGGCAGATGGAGGCCCGGAGAAGCGAATGGAGATGCAAGTATTGTGGGTAAGAAAGAAAAACAACGCCTGGGGATGCAGCCCGGCTGGAAATGTGTTCGTAACAAAACAACAGTCCGGGAATGAACAAATTACATAGCGGGTGAACACATTGTGTACATATGACGATCATAAGGGATTCGTGAAGGGGGATTTAAGATGGATGTAGGGCATAAATGGACAGAGAAGAGAAGAGAAGGAGAGTGGGAAAGGGGGAAACACATGGTTTCAAGGGTGCAGTTCACCACCCAGCTGCAGGGCCAGCCCGGTCTCCTTGCCACGGAGTCGATTGTTGGAGGAGCCCGGAGGAACCAGAGCATCAAAGTTCAATCGCTTCCTGGCATCTGTGTTGACGAGGGGTGTGCGAATGGGGTTCCCAGGGGTGCGGCTACCCCAAGCCGGTTGTGCGGGGCTAGGAGTCACATTCACGAAGTCGGCAAAATTGAACTGCTGGTTCGGAGTGCTCATGTTGGCAAACATGCCTCCACCGAGGGTGGGAGTCATGCCAGGTAGGACCGTGTGCTGGCTGGGGGGAGTGGACGGTGGGAAGCCTTGGTTTCCGTTGCCCCTTGCAACCCGGGCAGGGGTCGGGGAGTTGGCCAGGTATAACAGCAGGTCGGCACCATTCTCATTGGGTTGGTGTTGGCCGTGAGGCAGGCGCATGTGTTTCGGCGGAGGGGTTCGCGGAGGGGAGGAGCCCACCATGGAGCTCATATTCTGGAAGCTGTGCAAGGGCAAGTCGGGGTCGATCTCCTCCGACGGTCTGTTATATACAGGGGACGAAAGTTCTGGGATCGTAGCCTCGGACATAAAGGAGGTATTGGGGCGTCGATTTGTGAGGGGTCGGTTCATTCCTGGGGAGGATTCGGGGAGCCGGTAAGAACTCTTCCATGAGGTCCGGGGGGCCTTGGCAGAACGTTCCGAGTCAGAATCGGAGCGAAGGCGCTTGCGACTGGCAGAGAGCATCGGCTGCATGACGCGAGAGTTGAAGGTGGCTGCATGTTTGTTGCGGGCAGATCGAGGGAGTTCCTTGGAGTAGGTGGAGGCCCGGAGAGGAGGGGAGGTAAAGGGAGTCTCGCAGCGACTGCGCGAGAACTCGGAGGAAGAATCGGATGGCTTGTCATTCTCCAGAGCAGGCTTGGTCTCCTGCTGGTTCGGGTTCAGGCCATGCAGTCGACCATGCTGGTACTTGAGTTTTGCGAGGCCCAATCGATCTTGCAGACTAAGAGAAACCTATGTTGACGAGCGCCGAAAAAGTTAGCTCACAGCACCAACAGGAACCACAGGAATTGCAGAAACTGCCGAGCACCCCTTAGACGTCTGGATGGAGCCATCGACACCCTCGAGGCTTGGCTTCAGGTTCAATCCCACGGGAAGGGGGAGGGGAGCAATGCCGAATTTCTTTCTGATTTCATACCTGTGCAATGTCAATTTTACGGACAGATTTTTCCGCCGACCCCGGCTGTGATAAAGTCATGATGTGAAGTTTGAGCCGGTAGAGGTGAAAGGGTGAAGGAGCAAGGGCGGCTGAAAAGGAAGACTTGACGATCCGGAGTCGGACACGATCTGGAGCTTGAACCGATTGGGGAACGTCAAAGAGCTTCACTTTTCACTCTGGAAATTTGCGTTTTCTTTTTTTTTTTCTTTTTTCGATGTTTTGATTTCTCATTACATGCTCTGTGTGCGATTGCCTGGGTATGTCTTATTTTTCTCAAGTTCCACTGGGAGTACACTTGAAGCCGATGTCTCTATATTCATACTTCAGGCAATTGTAGGCATTGTCAGAGGTATTCGGTATTACTTCAGAGCGTATTCCGTACTCTGACTTTAAAATTAGGCATTGAATTGATGTTTCCATCATGTAGACGCTGCTCTAGTGAATCCTACAGAGTACAATATAAGTCTCTCTTCTGTAGTTACTCCGTACAGAGTATGGAATATAGAGTAGACATATTTAGTAGTTCACTTGTAGGCAGTCGACTCGCCAGTCCTATGCCAATTCTCACCCCTTCCCCTGTTTTCATTTTGCAGAATTCGGGATCCCCATAGAAACAATCAGACATGCAGGATTCCGATCCACTAAGATCAGAATGTGGGCACGGCATGCTGATTTGGCCAAATGCGTGTTAACCGAGCTTAATCTGCGACAGATTGGCATTGGGGCTGGGAAATGAAAAATAAGGGAAAATAGAGCAAACGAGAATGAAATAGAAAAAAAGAAAAGAAAAAAAAAACGACCGAATCCACTTGGAAAAAAAAAGCAAGTTTCAAGATTTTGATCGCAGCCTAGGAACGTGTACTAGCCACCTACGTCTACGTTGATAGCGTACTCAGGACAGAGTAGGAGCAGCACACTTGTACCTAGGTACTCTGTAAACATAAACAGAGTATATCAAATGTATATCAAATGTAAAATAAAATACAAGACAGAAGATAAAGAAGCCAAAGAAGACGTCCACGGGTATAAAACTAAGACAGAGAATGATAAGACCTACGTAATGCGCCTAAGTATAGAAGAATAGTACATTTATTATTTTTGGCCCCTTTACTAGTACTACACGTACACTCCTAACTACACACGCTGAAACTATTGGTATTTTCCCCTGTCTGGCGGGGCTTAACCGCAAACGGCTTGTCTCTCTCTCTTTCTTACCTGGAGGATTTTCTCCAACACCTTCGACAATGCCGTTCTTCAAACAGTTACGGCGCCGTTCTAAGGCCAATTTCCAGAAGAATCCTGCTCCGAGCGTGGAGGAGGTCTCCGGCAAATCTTCCTCCACGATCGACACCTCCAGCTCCATCACTCCACCCTCATCGATCAAGCCCACCCTCTCAACACCCAGTCTGCCCGCCCTGAACGAATCCGAACCAACCAATACACTTGCGCCTCAGCGCCCCGGGCCCTTCATCACCAATTCACAGCGAAACAGTGTCATCGTAGGTGGTACTCTAATCCCCTATGGGGGTCATAGTCGCTGATTCTTCACGCAGGGTAGCAGCGCATCATCCGTCAATGGCGCGTATCGGTCTCAGGTCTCAGTCTCACCTTACGCCCCGAAGATAGTATCGGTATTGGACAATGCGTGGGTAGGTGTCCGTGAAAGCTATGGGAGGGGGCTTGGCTGGAAGCCACATGTGCACGCGCTAACCCGCTATGACAGGTCAATCAGAAAGTCCTCCTCGTGTATGGTCAAATCGGCGACCCGCGACAACATCCGCTGGACGGAAATGTCACAGTCTACCACCACCAAGATAACTTTCCGTCGCTCGGCTGGCCCGTCACGGCATCTCATTTCAAAGCCCTAGTACATCTAGTCCCCGGTCCCAATCGCCTCCGCTTCGACTTCGTCTCGCCGAAACTTTCGACCGGCAGTGCACACCCCGCCATCCACTCGGCCTGGATCTGCATCAACTACCTTCCCCTGGTGAACACCCCGCCCCTGCAACTGGTAGTACTACTTGGGAAAGACTCCGACGGTACCTACGATGCAGTGCCGGAACGGGCAGAGCGCGAAGGTAATGGCCTGGACATGGCGATCCGCAAGTATCGTATGGCAGCCTACCTGTGGCAGGCCTTCACCGGGGAGCAAATGTATCGGAACAACTTCGGACGTCGCTGTTTCCGGTTCGAGGAAGAGTGGCAGTCAGGCAGTCTGAGCCGCCGTGACCTAACCCAGGCTCATATGCGCAACGAAGCCAAGATCCACGTGGTGCGCTCGGAGAAGACGGTGGCCGAACTGCGGGGCCTCAATATTGCGCAGCAGAACGACAAGGCCGAAAGGAAAGACGAGCTTTTCAACATCGCCAAGGAGGCCGTGCGCAACTACTTCCAGCCCCAACCCGGTCAAAAGCAATACGTTTCCGTCCTTCTCCTCGATTCACACTGGGACACCCAATCGCAATTGGTGACTGGCCATGCGGCCTTGGGCTCCGCCGACGACGATATAAAGATGGCAATGTTTGGCTCTCACTGTCTCCAAAGCTACCCGTCGTGCCTTGAGGAAATCGTGGACGCTTTCACTGACTGTACCCGAACGGACACCAACCATGTCGCCAATGACTGTGGAGATGCAGGCTCTAACTGGGAAGCGGCCAACTTGGGTATCGGTGCTCACCTCCACGAGGTCGGTCACCTCTTCGGATGTCCTCATCAGGAATCGGGAGTTATGCTCCGCGACTATGTGCAACTGAACCGAACTTTCCTGACAAAAGAGCCCTTTTCTACGCGCACCAAGGCCCAGGGGTTGAAAGTATGTTTGCCGAATGACGAGTGCGGCTGGCATCGCTTGGATGCGCTGCGATTCCGATTCCATCCCAGCTTCAAACTTCCAACCGACGCCACCCCAAATTCGGACGACAGCGTTCAGGTCTGGCCCGTCGAGAGCGGCAAGATATTGTTCACCGCCGCTTCTGGGATTGCGTTTATGGAATTGTATGCGGAGGGAGACACCTTCTGCCACAAGTACATTGAGTACCTCAACACCGAGTCGAGCCCCAACGGACTTCCACGGCAAGTAACCGTGACCGAAACCGAGCTTCGCCAACGTGTGTACGGTACCGAAAAAGAAAAGAAAAAGAACATCAAAAACATCAAGGTGGTCGTTGTTTCTGGATCCCTGGGCAGCTACACCGTCGAGAACATCGGTGATCTGAAATCAAAGAACGCACTTGTTAAACTGCCAAAAAACCAACCCGGGTACAAGAGTGGCCGATTGGGAGACTCGGCAATGGAAGGCAGCCAGCAGGAGCAGTTGCTGCTCGATTGTGCTTCCACTAAACCGAAATTGTTGACTTCAATCAAAGTATACCATGGCTGTGCTCTAGATGGCCTGGAGTTCTGCTACGAAGACGCGACTACCCAGCTATTCGGCAAGCGAGGAGGGAAGCCAGGCGGCGATGAGTTCATTCTGGACACTCGACGCGGAGAAATTCTGCTGGGCTTCTATGTTCGGGCTGGTCAATGGATCGATGGCATCGAAATCCTTACCAGCTTGGGCAGGAAATCGGGAATCTATGGAAATGCCTCTGGTGGCTCCGGGTATGCAAGAACCGCTCCTTCCAGCACTGAATGATACTGATCATTTTGAAACAGACATACCTTGATCCCACCCTTGGGCTACAAAATCGCCGGTATTGCTGGCTCATCTGCATCGTGGGTGGACGGGTTCTCATTGATTATACATCACTGAGCCAATCGTTCCTTGCATTGTCTATCAACATTCACAAATTCTAGTTATTCAACCTTTCGAGCTCGTCGGCTTAATTTCCACACTGTCATGCCATCTTACCAACCGTGGATGCCGAGTCATCGCACGGTCTGATGAGCTTGGGCTCTATTAGGGTGTCCAATCCTTCTTCCTTCACCCACAGGGACCCGGGACCTTCGCCTCCCTCATTTCCATTCCCTGTGTTCTCGATTTGCTCCTCTGTCACGGGGATTGACAAGCCCAACATACAGAGCTGGCCCTTAGCCGCTACATACACGGTGCTCTGTCGAGTCTTCTCTGTGTCTATACTTTTCTTCATTTTCCTTTCTCCCTGTCTTCTCCTCACATGGTGTTATTGGTGTTGAGGCTGCATTTCAGTGTTGTGATTCTCTGCTTGGGTACAGGCCTGGTTAATATGGGTCGGGTGCATCACCGGTTAGCATTCAGGTGGAAGAACCTTGACACCAATGGGTATGTCGATGGCTACACGATATCGAGGCCATCATGTAAAGCAAACATTCTAAAGTTGTCATTGCTTGCAAAGTACATTGATAGTAATTTCATCGAAGTGCCATGAAGAACCAGAAATCAAATTCTGAATGATTCATCGTAGACCTAGTGTCAATCTCTACTATGGATATTGAAGCCATTCAACGGTCGGCCAGACTGACTTTCAGGAGAGCATCATTGAGCCCACCCTAAACTAACATTGGTGGCGTTCATGTTCGATTTTCACGTCAAATTTTGAGCCAAATCACACTCAGGTAGTGCATGATGCAACCTACATACATACAACCGGACTTTTTTTTTATAGAACGAGCCTATGTATTCCGCAGTACAACTTAATACTATGCCAATGACCATCAGAATTTTCGCAGACTCTGAATGGTGACCTCATTTGGGACAATCGGAGAACCAAAGTACCTCAAGACATCATAGACAGCGTACTACCTACAGAGTACTCGTAGGGGTACCTCAGGGCTTAAAACTAGTCGCACCAGAGACCATTTGCAAAGTCGTGTACGAGTACATACTTCATAGGGCTGAGTACTTCAAAGTATGGGATCTGCCCGATCAGCCACGGGGCCATGCACACTTCCATATCCATTGGCACCAATGGCAGCAGAGCCTGTCTGTTTACCGAATGGAAAAAGCAGCCGGTCAAACATTGGCATTGATCTCACTGTTGTGACGTGGGATAAATCAACCGGGCCAATGTTTGAGATGAGTTTTCGTCGACAAACTCGTAAATTCCATACGGAGTACCATACTCGTGCGTGGGGTCTTCGTTCTGGAGATGAACTTGGCGCTGATTTGCACCGGAAAAGGCAAGCAGACTCCAATCATGAGACGGAGCAAAGCGCCAGCCAATAGTGCACGGCCGATCAGCCTGCGAGAATGTGGGCCTTGACGTGTACAGTATGTACAATTTGTAGCTCATGAATCTACAATGTGGAGTCAATACAGGGGTGTATTCTGTCGTTGGCTTAGCGCTGGAGGTATTGAGTAGTACTCGTATACCACATGTGCACAGTGTATCTGCCTCTTGTACTCCGTGTACATATACGAGTAGTACTTTGTAGAAGTACTCGTATCTAGAGTATGGACTGAGTAACCCAGCATATTCCAGACAACTCACGAAGGACATTTGGGTATTCGCCACACTTATTTTTTTTTTTTTTCTTTTTACATTTTGAGAATGACAATTGGCCCCCAGAGCTCAGACAGTTCCACCCATTCCACCCCGCAATACTTCATGATTCGTGCTTCAAGCTCGACAACACGGGATCGCGGGAGAGAGTGAGAGGGTAATTGCATTGTGGCTCATGCAAAGTGCGTAAGCTGTCTTTGTCCGTCAAAACCCCCCCCCCGTTTGATAAGGTGGCAAGACCACTCTTAGGTCTAAGTGGCTTGTTGCACGTCCCCTGCAAGCCACCTGTCGATCGGTCGGTGGAACCTCCCCTTTGTTAACGAGTTGTACGAGTAGTACTCCTGTACTTGTACCTACATTTGGGGCTAAGGGCCAAAGTACCGAATACATCAGGCACAAATTATTATAACACCGTTGTACCTTATACAAAGGCCTGCGGAGACTTCAGCCGCTCAATGTTTTACAGTTGGCGCCCCACGGTGACGTCCCGGGTCCCGGTACAGAGTACGAGGATTCGCACTGTATTGAACGATCAATTGGACTTTCTCGGCATCTGTGGCTCGAGCTTGTGACTTGTGGCTCAGCAGCCCGGATCAAGCTCGATGAGCCCATCAGAAGTCATGATCAGCCTGGGTCCATTTTCCGATCGATCATAGTGTACATATGTATACAGAGTGATCGTACTCGCACGGGACATGATCAGTGTGTATACTCGTACAGTACGAGTATACTGTATGTAGTACTTAAGCATGTCTACAGGTATATTCTGTACATTGCGGATGAATCATAACGAGGTTTCGAACTCGATCAAAAGTGGATGCCAGCTTCCCAAACCGACTGGTGGCACTGCAGTCCATCAGCCCCTGTCATATCACCGAAAACGTTTGCCTATGACGGAGTGGCGCTTCTCATGGCGTGAAAGAAGCAAATTTGAGATCATGCATTTCTTATTTCGACCTGGGTCCTCTACGTACGAGTAGCGAGCGCCTCAAACTCGTACCTCGTAGTCTATATTGGAAAAGAGTTGTGTGACACTTCGTACTTATACAATGTGAGATCGGCTTGAACGATCCCTCCCGATATGAGTGGCATGAGTATGGAATATTCTGTCCATTCCCATTGATGTCCTCCCAGTGAGTACCGCCCTTTTTGACGCTGTACTCCATGAGGTATGCTTGATGGATCTCCCAATGTTCTGTTCTGCTCATACGGAGTACTTCATCGGCATATGGCGACATACGAAGTAAGCAGTACAGAAACATGACAAATTGCGAGAATTTCTCCGAGTAAAATGCACAATACCCATGATTGTGTCCCTTAGCCTCAGGACCAAAAATGATGTCGTCTACGAGTAAATACGGAGCATAAGTGCCATGTTCAAGGGATGCCAGATTTCCAAGGTTACAAATAGTCGGAAGAGTAAGTTCTTACATACGTTACTGTACAGTAATGTAAGCTGGTTCAAGGCACGTGCCCTTCCCGAGCATCCGAGCGCCAACTTGACCATCTTATTGGCGGGAACTCGTCCCAGCAATGAGCTGTGCTGACTAGCTTTCGTTTCAGATGGCGTATGGGCTCGTTTACGTACTGTACTCCATTGTAATGATAGATATATGGCACTGTCGCCACAGATACACGGCTCGATTTCTCCGACCTATCTTCCAAATATGTATAATTTAAAGGGCAATTAGGATAGGGTTCAGGTATACTGACCTAAGCCAGGCAGCAGAGAGACTGCAACAGTGACTCAATTGTACATACAGTAGATGCGGAGATTGAACATCTCTTGCACCATTCACAATGCTTCTGGGGGTTCTATCCCGTGCTCACAGACCAACCACATCACAGTTTGGTCTAACAGCTTATGACTATCGTGGATCTATGACGATATAGAAGTGCAACATCCGAATATATCGATTGGCTCGAAGTTCACTGGCAAATCACATAATGTCTCGCACAAGGTACCAGCCTTGAAAGTGTATGTAGACTTATCCATAAGTGGTCGGGATGCGAACGATGTGGCTGTGAATTAGATCTTCTATGACCATAAGCCGTCTGGAGTACATATACATACACCGTAGGCATCAATGGCCCGTATGCCGAAGTATTTTGTACGAGTACGAGTATATCAGATAGTACAAGTACATATTCGATATCGATTAAATGTGGCAATGGCACATGTCCCCTTGGTATGTGGATGGTACATGGTATTGCAGTGTCAGACCACCCGGACATCCATGGATGTGCACCATACGGTCTACCCAAATTGAGATATTTTGCGCGACATGTGTAGAGAATGAGAGAAGTGAGAGTGGTCGCAGAAAAGTAGCAATTGAGTCTGTTCCTATGTTGTCTTGGTATAACTACGAGTAACTACGAGTCAACCATACCAAGTACTCGTACCCGTACTGGCAGAGTTATGTATCTAAATTGATACCGACTGTTACGCTCTCGTTCTCGTTTGTGGCTTTTTTTCTTCTTTTTTTCTTTTCCTTTTTCCAATTTTTCCACCATTTTCCCCACCGCACGGCTTTCCGTGGCTCTCGAGTACACTCCTTTCCCCATAATTCACCCTTTTTACCAATCACCTGCTGTCTAGCTAGAGGAACTGCCATTTAGAATGTGCATTATTTGAGGGTTTTTCTTGGGTATTTTCTTTGTTTCTTTTTTTAATTATATTTTTTTTCCCCATTCCCTTTTTTTGTCATAGCTAAGGCCACTATGGAGTACGGAGTACCATACGGAGCAGTATTCTTTACTCGTACAATCCATGTGGCCCCTGTTCCTTATCGGCTGCCCCCCCCAGGTGGCGACCTATTCACGTCTCTCTTTCTCTTTAATCTTCCGGCCCCCCTCCCTATACTCCAAGTGTGGCTCAGTGGATGACATTTGCGTGGGCTTTTCATAGATCTTTCATTATTGGAGGCTCGCTGGACCGTACCATCCTTACTCTTCCTTCCTTTTCTCTCTCCTACAGATCGTCATACGTCTGATTCTCCCCTCCTTCCACCCCTCTCTCCAATTATCCATTTTTAACTCAAGTATAAAGAGGGAAAACCCTACATTACTATTATTATTTTGGTTTCTCTGATTTTGCACATCTTCCGCGATCCTCCGTTTCTAGCCTCCACACTACACACCGATACAGTCTCAGAGCATACCTCACCCCTTCACTCACGGGATTCACGGGATTCCACGATATCGATCTTTCGCGAACAGCTACTCGAACCAATACTGCCCCCCGGGGCCCTTCAGCTGTAATCTCCTGTTTCAACAATCTCCAACACTTTCTCACCCGTTAGAGACCCGGAATTTTACTTGTGACCGCGGCCTTGAAATACTTTTTTTTTTTTGACCCCTCCGTGCAGCCTGGATCAGATGTTTTCTGTCATCCTGGAGCTCTCTTCTTCTTTCCTACCTTTCTCGATCCTCCGCGTTTCCCTTGGAAACGCTCCCAAATCCCCCAATGTTCAGTAATCGGTAAGTTTGCCTTGAGCCTTATGAAGGCCCTTTGCGATTGCTCAGCTGACCCCAAACAGCCAAAACAGCCAAAAGCCTGATGGCGAGTTCATCACTCGCTTCCAACAGGCCTTCCAAGAAATTGTTCCCCGAAGAGACAGCCATGAAGGGCACGGCGATGGCACTTACGACCCTAGAGGCGATCCCATGATGTCTCAAAGGTTTGTAGAGCCCAGTTCTTTACAACGTCTTTTTTTTTCTAACAAAATCGCATTCAGGCTAGCCGATAATTCTGAAACGAAAATTGAGAGTCACGATGTCAAGTTCTCCAACAACAACAATCCCAATGACCGAACACCGCGAAACATGCATGAATTAGGATTGACACCCTCCTGGATGGAACCTGGGTCCTACTCGATGATGCCGATTGCCAACCAACACTCTGGATTTTATACCCCGAATTCCGGGGGAATGGGTGCAATCTTCCACAATCAAGCTGGCGACTTGCACACGCCAACGGGAATGCACTTAATCACTCCACTCTCTCTGTCCGGCTTTCCCCCGGGACATCACCCGCATGCCACTGGCTTTGAGCCCTTCAACCCGCATTTTTTGAACACTATGAACGATATGAATCAGTACCCCCAACAGTCTTACGCCCCTAGCGCTTTCATGAATCGCGATGCGGGGTACGATGCAATGGACGATTCAATGGATAATTCATCTTTCAACGATGTGCAGGCCGAAACCGCATCTAATATTACAGCATCAACAGATTTCTCTGCCGCACAAGAAAGTGGCGGCGGAGACATGTCTTATGCCAAAGGCGACAAGTGAGTCCAGCCAAACTGCACATCTCCTCTTTTCCCACTAACCAAAATCTCACTCACTCCAGATTCCGGTTCAATCTCTCTCTACGAGCACCGACAGCAATGGTGAAGAACAAGATGGAAATTCCCATCACCTATTTGAACAAAGGACAGGCATACAATCTCTCCGTCATGGATTCCTGCCCCCCGATGATGACTCATGAGCCGGTCCGGTATCGAACATGCGTCCGTGTGTCTTTTGAAGAGCATGAACAGAGAGCCAAGCCGTCAACGTGTTGGCAACTCTGGAAGGAAGGAAGAGGTTCCAGTGAAGCCCACCAACGTGGGGGCAAATTATTAGCAGTCGAGTATGTGGATCCTCTCCAGGGTGGCGGCGACGTGCACAAGCATCGGCAGGTCCAAGTCGAAAGTATGTCCGTCGACGGTTTTTGCGTCACCTGGACCGCAAACCCTGCGACTGGTATCTCCGACTGCCACATTCCTGTCCGATTCAACTTTCTCTCTACCGACTTCAGTCACTCAAAAGGTGTCAAAGGAATTCCCGTCCGACTCTGTGCGAAAACCGAGATTATTTCTCCAGGGGAGGAATCCGGCGTTCCCCGCGAGATGGAGTTGTCTTATTGCAAGGTGAAGCTTTTCCGGGACCACGGAGCGGAGCGAAAGCTTTCCAACGATATTGCACACGTTAAGAAGACCATCGAGAAGCTCAAACAGCAGATCACGCAAGCTGAGATGGGTGGTGGTTTCGGCAAGCGCAAGCGCGGTAATAATAATTCGGCCTCCACAAAGGGATCCGACCGAGGTATCAAAACTGGGAGCCACAAACGGACTTGGTCAATGGGCTCAGACGACGGTCCCCCGGAAAAGATTTCTCTCGAGGACGACTTACAGTCGAAACTCTCAATGATGCAGGAGATGTTCTCTTCCACTCGTCCTGTAAGCATACTCGGCTTGCGCGGCGAAGAGGCCGATGATCCAGACCTATATCCGATTAAGCTGGACGGCGATGCTTCCAGATTCGAGAAAACGAACCGCCATAACGTGAATGACTTGAACTCTGCGGAGTCCATGATGCCATCACCCGCCAACACCAACACATCTTCCTCCAATTCTCCCCCTTCCCTCCCTACTAGGTCATTGAAACACCCGACCACCATTAAGCGAAACCCTTCATCCGAGAAGGTTCCACGAGGATATCTCGAGGCTGTTGGCATTGACGCATCCTACCGACCTCCTGTTGAAATACCACCCAAGCCAAGTAAGTTTCTTTTTTCTAAGCTCACCTTATCATTGAATATCATCTAACCTTGTACAGTTGCTTGCTTCTACATTCGCTTCGCCAAACCCGAACAATCTCCTCAGAATTGCTACCGTGCCATCTATCTCTCAGAACGTACCGTCCGGGATTTACTCAAACAAATCTTCGAGACCTCTGATGTCGACCCATCTCGCGTGGCTCACATAATGCATGTCACCGAAAAAGGCCTACGAATTACGGTCGATGACAATGTGGTCCGTGAACTTCCCGAGGGCCAAGATATGATCATTGACGTTAGCGACGCATCCGCTCCTGATGGTAGTGATCCTGGCGCGGCTGGATCGTCTCTTGACCTCAAATTAACCTACTGAGCTTGCATTCAGCTGGTCGATTCCCTTTGGATAAGGCACAGGTACTCGATCCTAGAAGCATGCAATCATGCTCTGGACGTGGACTTCGCATACCCCCTTTCTCGCGTCATATCCTCATTTTGCTTCCTCTATTAATAGGGCCGGGAACTTTGTTTCTTTCTTTCTTTCTTTCTTTTTGCTTTCACACGGGGCGTTGCACACGGTGATAATACACGAGTCTCCTGGCAATGATACCCTGCTACATTATGTGTTTTCTTTTGGCTTGCAAGCTCGGCGTTGGTTCTCATCCCACGACAATATAAGAGTCGATGGATCGTTCCGCTCTTGATACACTTGTCTGTTGTTCTTATGATTTTGATCTGGTCGAGGGCTGAGCAAACGACGTTGATACCCCGTTCCATTACTTTCCTCGTCATTTCGCTTGATAATTTTTTTGTGGTCGGCTGGTCCTTCCAGCAAAGCGTTTAGCTTGAATTTTATCCATGGCTCTCATGTATCTATTTTGCATACACCCAAACTTCGGAGTTTCTCCTATAGATATTTATACAAGGACAAGTTTACCAAGTTAACAGGAATGGTCGGCTGAACTAGATGGCGGATCTCATGTCTGAGTTTGATTCCACGATGCTCAGGTGGTCGCAAATTTAAGAGGATGCTCATACAGTCTAGCTACATCATTCCAAGATTCATGCAAACGATCGTGCAATAAGCCTTGAGCCCGAGGGCGAAACGGTATATCATCTGACCCCAATGCTTGGCAAGCATACACGTCAACCAGATGATAGACAACCAATATCCCTAAATGGGATCGACCGTGCGAGCAGGCAGAAGAAGAAAAAAAAATCAAACCTCTCGAAACCCACGGGAAGCTCAACTGTGGCTTACGCAGCCTCTCAACGAACAAAATTTCTGAAGGTTGATAGTTCCACCCCCAGAGCCGGTTCCAGCAACCAGGTAAAGTGCCCAGATACCCGCCACTGTTGGGCTGGTGAAGATCCCATGGACCGTTGTTTTGGGACACTGTATGTATTATGATTGGCTGGGCTGACAAGCCATTAGATGTCATCCAACCAATGTAGGGCTCGGGATCTGAAGGGTCCTTTTCCCGGACGCAATCTCGGTGTTCCTCCGTATTGGGCTCGGTTCCCCTATTTGGCTGGATTGTTTTTTTTTTACTGGAATGTCTCGCGCTTTTGGCTGTATTGGGTCTGACGTGTTCCTACGGAGTGTAGAATGTGTTCTGATATTCCAAATCATTCGTGATCCTTAGTCCATTCACCGCTCGAATATTCTCGACGTGCACATGCACTAATTTAAGAACACGGAGCCATCTCGTATACGGAGTATTCGTACCCAAATTTGCTGCACAAGATTTGGTTCAGAAAATCTTCATCATTAGGGGGCTTGGTTCAAATGGGCCTAGAATGCTGTACTCGTACGAGGACTCCGGACACTCCGTTGAGTGATTCTCCCAGGGCATTTCCCCGTCTCTTTCGCCCCCATTTATTCTTTCTTTCTCTTTTGCTTTTGCTTTGAGCTTCCCAGAGATGTTTTATCCTTGCTCATTTCAGAGTAGGAGTACTTGAGGAGGCCCCAAAGGTTCTGCTAGTAATTCTGCTTCTCAAGTTGCTGGAAACATCTTTACTACGAAGGCTACCTCGGTACTCGTAGCTCCAAAGGATTCCAATATTGATCGTCTCTTTTTACCTCATACAGCGAATACATAATCATAACGCACTTTGGCATCCTGTGCTTCGAAATGATCTTTATGCAGTCATGTCTTTCACAACTGCAGGGCGTCCTCCACATCTGTCATCCCACAGGCTCTTGGTACGCCACTCACGTTACGGAGTATGTATATAGTAATGTGGTTACGGGGACGAAGTAACTGATTTTTCTCAAAAATTACGGACTTCCAGAGCACACACAGCAGTCTGTCACTGTACTCGTACGGAGAACTCCATACTCCGTAATTACTTTGGTGCAATTACTTTGGTTCACTCTGTAGACCCAGAGCGTTCTCCTGCCGATCTTCGATTCCGATGAAAACCCTTACCTCTAGCCTGTCCGCGGTGGATCTCTTGCAATTTAATAACTGTCCGTACCTCTTCCACCTGACCACTCCGTACTCGTAGATGCAACAGACATCTGAACGGAGTACTCCGTACTCCGTAGTTACCCGTAACATTCGTTCACGGCAAATTTAATTTAATTACTCGGGTATTCCCACGGGATTTGATTTGACGTAAGCTGCAAGTTCCTTGGAAGCGGGACTCTGGGAAAAGCAGCCACTCCCACTAGTTCCGACGGTTTTGTTTTGTTCGCGGGTCGTCCCGTTACTGCACCCCTTCAGGCTTAGTGTTGATACTTACCGCCTGTTTGTAGAGTATCGTGCTGTAATTACACTGGGGCCAGATACATACATGTATCATGCTGGTATTGTTCGGTACCTGGGCATACGAGTAGATCTCAGCGTTGAAGCCGGTAATGCAAGTGCGTAGGCTAGAGATCCTGATTGGATCGTGAGTGAGATTCGGCTAGCTACATATCAGTACTCGTAGTAGTATGCCCTACGTCTGCTTTTGCTCTCGGCAGCCTAGCGCATCTCCAAGTGGAGCGTTTAAACTGCCGCGACAGCACGGAGTACGATGTAGATCTGAGGTAGAATTCACCTCAGAGATTTGACCCAACTTAATCTAGACACCATGGAGACTCTCAAGCTTTTGATGGGCTCTACAGTGTACGGGAAAGAGGGAATATTTCTTTATATTTCTTTATTGTAAACCTACTTACATTCTAAAGCTGTGATAAGTCTCGCCATCTTCATCCGATGGCCATGCCCTAAGTAGTGTTACATTCCCCGGCTGCGCATGGCATGGCAATCATACATGATATAAAGGGCAATTCTAAGACTCTTTGATCCACCAAAGATATTCTGAAATCATTCATCATAGTCACTCTGGACTCTGGAGCTGTCATGAAGTCGAGGCTCAAGGAGTCTCGTCCAAATGACCTCCAGGGCTCGCGCTGTCAGCTATATTTAGGTTGTTCTGCAAATGCTTGTCATGCGAGTCGTCATGAAGTTAATATCCGGGTTACAATCTACTACCATGTCTTATACAAGACCAATTCCGAGTCATTTGATGACCTAACGGACTAATATCAAAGTGGCAAGGCATATGGTTTCCAACGGTTTACTTTTAATAGCACTAATTGACCTTCTCGCCGGGTTCAGGTAGCACATTCATTAGTTTCTGTGGTACCCCGGCTCTTTTCTAGACCTGGCTCTCATCTCCCGAGCGTACTATGCCCTGAGGCCAGCACTTTCAGCCGGTACTTATCGATCAGTGAGAATGTCTGCATTGCGGAGGGTACTTATGATGGCTCATCCTACACCGAACCCTCCGATCTCACATCTTTTGCCCTCTCAGTTGGGCTTGAACCATATTTAGACCTGTCTCACTCCAGTCGTACAAGTACAGAGGCCAATATGTCCCAAGTTTAAAGTTATATTAGAGTAGTACGGGGAGGCTATTGCTTGGATACCACAGGGTCTGCGGGTACTCTGCGAGGCACCTGGCAGTAGAGCACTTGAGGTCGTGACTTTTGCTGTTTGCTCTTTCCTAAAAAGCCACTGTTGTCGCGGCGATCGTTCCTTCCTCGTTGGGCTCTCATCTTTGTTTACTTATTTCTTCTCTTCCCTTCTTCTCTTCTCTTCTCCTCTCTCCCTCCTCACCCTCGCTCGTTTCTATTTTCTCACCTTCGTTTCATCGATTGCTTCTGGTATCCCCATCAAGTAATCACATCACACTCGTTTACTCAGTTCTCAACCTCTACTATGGCAATCTGGACGCGTTTCCAGTTGCTTCTGCTCCTGGTCGCCACTCTGGCGGCCAGGGTGCTTGCTCATGCCGGTGTGTTTCCCCCTTCTACCCCAGATCATTGTGGCACAGTACTAACATGATCCAAATCAGAATGTCACCACGTCGAGACAGTTATGCTTCAGGATCCTTCTACTGGCGAGCGTTTCCAGGCTGGTGAAGGTAAGCCAAACCTGTCACTCCGTTTCTTGCTACGTGCCTCATCACTGACTGTTGAACACAGTTAATCTTCTGCCTCCCTCTGTGCTTGGTCGCGCTCTCCGACATGCTGCTGATTGGAGTGAGTTGAGACCATCTGAATCCCCCTTTGAGTCTTAAGCAAACATCATTGATTTGCTTCTCTCTTTGTTGAACAACTGTCTAACCAGAGTCTAGTCACTGTTACTGTTACCGAGACTACTTGTGGACCGGATACACACGACTCCACTACTACAGTCACCACCGATGTACCTTGCACGACTGAAACTACTGTGACTACTCCTGTGCCCGTGGTCATTCAGACTACTGTGCCAGATGTTTCACACACTTCGGTTCCCAGCACTACAAGTGTTCCCCTCACTTCCGTGTCCAGCACTATTGTGAGCTCGCAGACCACTGTGCCGGTCGTTACTCTCTCGTCGACCTCCACTCAGCCCACCGTGCCCGGCACTACAAGTGTTCCCCTCACTTCCGTGTCCAGCACTACTGTGCCGGTCGCTACTCTCTCGTCAACCTCTACTCAGCCCACCGTGCCCGGCACTACAAGTGTCCCCCTCACTTCCGTGTCCAGCACTACCGTGAGCTCGCAGACCACCGTCCCAGTGGTTACTCTCTCGTCGACCTCTAGTGTCTCCGAGTCGTCGACTCAGACCACTGTGTCTACCACCTCTTCGATCTCGGTACCTACCGTGCCTAAGATCGTCACTGGATCTACCGTGCCTCTTTCAAGCGGGACTTCGGTGTCCAGCAGCACTATACTGCCAACCGGAAGCGTTAGTTCGTCTACAATCCCTTCAGCCACCACTGTGTCGGTCACTGCGACCAGCTCCCCTGTGCCTCCAACCGGTACCGGCGTGGCCCCAGTTCCTTTCACTACTGTCGAGACGCAAACCACATCCGTTGTTTCTCATACCCTTTCCACTGTTGTTCCAGGCTCCCTTTCACCCAACACTACTAGTGTTGTTCCAGTGCCTGTTGGAACTGGCCAGAGTCAAACCACTTCTACGGTCACTGGTCCCGCAACTGAGGTTACAACTGAAACAGTTACTTCCCCATGTGCTCTCTCCACCGGAGTGTCTCCCAACCCTGGAAAGACCGAGATCCCTGCACCTGGCAATGAAGTGACTACAGATAGCACCACCCTCTCCCGTTCTACTAAGGTAGTTCCCCCTGTTCCTGGTACGACTGCAGTTGCATATACCAACTCAACTGTGCCTCAGGCTCCTGGCCCCGTCACTGAAGTGACTACGGACTTCATCACCTCGCCCTGCCCTGAGTCTACTGGAGTGGCTCCTACCCCATGGACCACTTTGATCACCGTCACTGTCGCGGTCCCTTGCACTGAGACCACCCGGTGCCTCACCACCAGCGTTCTTACCACCAGTACTTTGCTGGTTTACAACACAACAACTGTTCCGGTACCCGCACCATCTGCCAATACCACTACCGAGATTCAGCCCACAGTTCCCACTCCCGTGGGGACTACCACTGTCTCAGTGACTCCAATTCCGGCTACTGTCCCTGTGTCCTACACAACTACCCAAGTTGTGACCACGGTCATCAAGCCAACTGCTCCTGGTGTCGCTCCTGAGGAGACTACCGAGGTGGTGACCACGGTCATCAAGCCCACAGTCCCTGGCTCTGTTCTAGAAAAGACCACCGAGGTTTTGACCACGGAAACCAAGCCAGCTGCTCCCGGTGTCGTTCCTGAGGAGACCACCGAAGTTGTGACTACGGTTCTCAAGCCAACTGCTCCCGGTGTCGTTCCTGAGGAGACCACCGAAGTTGTGACTACGGTTCTCAAGCCAACTGCTCCCGGTGTCGTTCCTGAGGAGACCACCGAAGTTGTGACTACGGTTCTCAAGCCAACTGCTCCCGGTGTCGCTCCCGAGGAAACCACCAAGGTGGTGACCACTGATCTCGTGCCTCTTCCAGAAGCCACCGCAGTCGAGGTTACTACTCACGTCAAGACACCCGTCCCTGCCCCGGTGTCCATTGCCAATGAGCAGACCACCGAGACCAAGCCGCTTGCCGTGGCTCCGACCACACTGGCCACCACTGTTGTTCCCAAGCCCCCTGCAACTCGGCCTGAGGGTGGCAAGACTGATGTCCAGGCTTCAGGCACTGAAGGTAGTGGCTCGGCTCCCCAGAAGCCCACCACTAGCCCTATTTTCAATGGTGCCAGCGCTATTGGGGTCGTGGACAGCCGTCTCTTGGCCCTGAGTATTCTAATTGCTTTGTCCCATGCTATGCATTATGTGATTCTGTGAGAATCCGGTGTCTTGCATACCTGGAGCCTAGTCGAGCCATCCTTGGATGGAGCGGGGAACGCTCTTTGTGCAATGATAAAGTTTGGGAATGGAGTCAACTCCGGGCAGCCTTTTTGTTTATGTGGGACGCAATGGATCCCTTTAATACTGAAATTTTCTACCGGTGACTCATATTTTAGTTTAAGTTTAGCTTTTCAATTCAATCATTTCACTGTTTGAAGCATCCGTGAAATTGTAGGCCAGAAACAAGAGCTCTTTGTGTTTGAGCAGCCAGCATCGCCGATTCCACCTAATAGCGCCTATGTGGATACTGTCATTTCTTTTTGGCGGGCATGGGTGTGTGTTGGGCGTGATATTTTGAGACAAGTGTGACTGAAAGTCCCCTAGAGAGGCCTTGCATATTCGAAAGGCCTGAAAGGTAAAACCAATGAAGCCGTAGGGTGGCTAATCAATTGCACACCTAGGAATTTATTGACAGGAATGTATGTAATGCTTCAACCCACTGGATGAATGGTATGCGCGGCTTAAGAACAAAAAGCCAGGGTATCTCCAATAACTAACGAGAATGCATAGGTAAGTGCATGTGAGGTATACACAGGACAAGCAGGTCAATGAAACAGAAATCTCTTTCAAAGGGCACTTTAAGGCTCGGTCTCGCCAAGGGACTCTATCTTTCTCGTCAACGCACAGATCCGGCATCCATCGCCGATCTGGTCACGTAAAATCCGCGCCGTCGTCACCTTGGGGCCGATAGTGCGAGAAGCGGTGGCTGATGGAGACTCGTCGACTGGGGACATGGGCCGAGGTGTGTGGTCTGTAGATCGATTGTGACTGTGCGTGTCAGATTGAGGTGTATCTGCATGCAGGTGGGAAAGATGGAAAATGTGACCACAAGCAAATCCAACAAGAATCTCTCGTTCTGTGAACTCCTAATTAGCACCCCTTTTGGTACAAAGAAAACATTGAACCGGACAGATACATACCGTTTGCACGGAAAGCAGTGTCACATCCACCGCATCTTCCTTGTCTAGACGCTGCAAATCTTTTGCCACTGATCTCCGATATTTGATCTTGAATTTGAGGCTTGATTGTCGGCGTCAGACTAACATTTTGTTCACCATCCTCTCGGACGTCGAACTTTATTCCACGGCGCTGGCCTTTGCGCAGAGAGTCCATGCCGAGAGCAACCTCACTTTGCATGACCCTGGCCGCGCCTTGGCTTATACTAGCCTGCAGATCGTGCTCACGGATCAAGCGAGTGAGGCCCTCTCTGAGGCCCTCAATCTCCAGTCCGCTTGGAATTCGGCGCACCAGTTTGATCGGATCGATGGCTGTCCCCGCCTCGACCAGGAGGCCATGTATGAATTTCGGCTTGTCCATTGAATAATCGAGCAAATCTTCCCAAAGGTCCGGATCCTCCTGTGATTTGGCAAATGATATGGCCTGGGAAACGTCCTTGAGGTCTGACAAAATCAAATTGAGAGCACGTTTGGTTTGGCCCATCTTTGATAAGAGGTATATTAATTCAGCTGTGAATTTGTGCTCTTCGCAGATGTATGTGGCTTTCTCGAAAGAATAAGAAATGCTGTTTTGTAGGAACTCCATCAAAAGGGGGCGGTCATAGTCGGCGAAGACCTCAACGGTCGTGTCGGCAAAGTTGTCAATCAAAGCCTTGCCTTCATCGGCAGCAAGTTTGCTGGCTGCGTCCCGAGCATGGGCCCCACGTCCCCTGCGAGGTTTAGAGGCATCATGGGGTAATGACTCGCCACGCCAGAGCGCACGGAGATAGAAATAGAGAAACAGGAATCGGTTTGCGTCGATTAATTGCGATACGACGGTCTCTGGGAGGACAATACCTGTGTATGCCTCGCTCACGAGCAGCCGGGTAGGCTCAGAAGTCAACTCCTCCAACTCCGACTTTGATGCAGACTTCATCTGCTCTTTACTAACGCGAAGCATGATGAATGCCGGGATGTCATCGGTGACTGCATCAAGCAGGCGGTGTTCGCGGACTAAGGCCATGGCTGCATCCGCGTCTTTCAGTCGAATGTAGCAACGCAAAGCCTCGCGGTAATGCCCTCCAACTAAGAATAACTTGGCGAGACAATCCGTGAGGGTTCGCCAGTCCTCAGACTCAACTTGCCCAGGTTTTGTTTTCAACTGTGCCTCGATGGCTTCTGTGATCGTGTTCGGCTCGAACAAGTCTGAAGGCCATGTCTCCACTAACTCTTTGAACTTGACCAAATCTCGGGATACATAATGAAGGAGAATGGTTTCATAGATCACGGCAGATAAGGGTGGGTTCAAGTCGACCGGAATATGGGGAGTAATTTCGTCAACTCGATCATTGTTGATAAAAACCCATGCCCAATGCTCCCACTGCAAAGCAGTGCGGATGACTTTGCCGCAAATCCTAACAGCGTCAACCCACTTCTCCTGGCTCACAAGCTGTTTGACCCAAAGTTCTCCAAGGCGAGCCTTCTCTTGCTCAGCAGCAGAAACCTTTGGCTGCCGGGTTGTTGTTATGGATGATCTATCGTCGGCGAAGAACTCACCAAGGCTGGTTTGTGATCTACCAGCAGCCTCGGAGACAATCTCGCTAACATCGGGTATTGATCCCGCGGCTTCGGGGTGTCTATCCACTAGACGCCAGGCGTCCTCATACTGGCCATGCATATCTAGCCAAGACAAACGATCAGCGAGGTCTCTTTTGACAGCGACTACGCAATCATATGGACTGTGGACAAAGATTTTAGCACCAGGAGCACCTGAAACTTCTTGAACCTCTTTTGGAAGGGATTCTTCAGCGGAAGAAAGCTTGGATCTGAAGGAGGGTGGAGCTCGGATCGAGCCTTTGTCGCCGCTGCTGGTGGTACTGCGGATGCTAGCGCCGGAGCTAAAAAGCCGAGCAGAGTACATAGTGGCATCCAAAAGCCCGTACCCAAGGGCTCCCAGAGCTCCACGTTGGACAATCTGACCTTCCGGGGTTTTCCAAGGTGGTAAGACGCTCAAGTGATAATCAGATGCAGAGAGACCCTCAAACCGGTTGATTGAAAGAGTATCAGCACTAACTTCCTCTTTGGTCTCGATGTCGATCACACGAAGCTCAGGCTCAAGGCCCCTTTGCCGATTGTGTCGCCCTTTGGTTCTTCCATTCTGGCTGCTTTCTTCTTCGGCTTCCATGTATGCGAGAATGACGAGAAGACGAGGCGTGTACAGTGAAATGCCCGATACCACGCAGTCAGTTCGCAATCTGGGTTTGTCAAGTCAGTAAAAATGTCGAAAGCGATGGGAGAACCGAAGACTTGCATGGTGACAACCTCCGCGGATCCAAGTCTTTCGCCCTTGGAGGATTTGCTTGCCCTTTCAGGGTAGACATCAATGACCCAGACGGTTCCTCCCCAGCCCACGACAAGCTTTTCCACTTTTTCATTGGGCAAGGTGGGTTTAGTCCCGGGGCTTTCAGTGCCATCTTCGGGATTAAGATTGTCATGATTGTCCAAGGAAGACTGGTCGATCCACTCTGCGCGGGCCTTCCAGACACTGGACATTTCATCCCAACCGGGTCGATTTGGGCGATCGATGTGGCTGATTCTTTTCCATGCAAACTCAGTCTCTGAGGAGTCTAGATGCAAGTTGGACCGCATGATCTTGATGCCCTCTTCGTTGACCCAGGCTACGTATTGCCCTGACAAAGACCATCTAATGGTGCTAATAGCCCCTTCGCCACTGTGTATGATCGTGTCCTTCCCACTATTAGATGCCAGACCCATAGACCCAAGCCAGCTTGACGCAGTTGCAGCTGCACCGCCCATAGTTGTGGAATTGGACGTCGCCCCAACACGGCCACCAGTGGTCAATATCAATTCACCGGCCCGCCCACCTGATAAAAAGCTCCGATCATTTTTGTAGTCCGGTGACAAAGCAACAGACTGCACTGGACGGCCAAAATTGCGCAGCATGACATCCTTGGGATCTACTAACGAGGAGATGCACACATTACCATCAATTGAAGATGTTCCGATGTAGATCGAGTTGGACGGTATTGAAGGTATTGAAGGAGGGTTTGGCGGTCTTCCTTGCCCACGGATACTGCCCGTTGTGGTAGATGACCGCGTAGACGGCCGGGGGTCATCTGTGGTCTGTTTACCGAGTGTGTCTGGTTTGAAGTTCGGGAGTGGAGGTGGAAACGGCGATATGGAGATAGATGTGACACTTGCTGAATGTGCATGATAGACACGGAGAGACTTCAGAAGTGGCAAGGACAGTACATGCTTGATAGAGTCAGCCTGTGAGTTATTGAGCGTCGATGTGTATTACTTACGACGTTTCCGTTATGCGTTCCCACGATCTAGATACACTGTTAGCCCTCTTTGTCCAAGCTCCAGCTGATAAGACATACCATTTTGTCCCCCGCGACTAGGAAAGAGCTTGTGGCATCCCCATTGCGATAGACTGAGCCCAAGTGCTTCGTGAGGTATGCATATTTGAGGCGAGGCTCCTCTTCCTCGTCGGAATCTTCTTCTTCATCATCATCAACTTCCTCATCATCTTCGTCGCCATCGCTGCTCGAGCTATGGCTCTGCCGAGAGCTTTGATCCCGTGTCCCTTGGGTTGTGTGTGTAGATGATCCGCTTCGTAGAGTGTCGGTAGGGGTCCGTCCCACAGCACTTTCGTCCGGCGATGTCGCGCCAGGCGCATCCATGGCGAGTCCCTCACAGCGCCTAGAACTCCCAAACTGGTTGAAGTAGAATGCGACACAGCTGGGATATCCCGTGGTTCTGCCGGGGTCAATGCCTGGGACTGGACCGGCAATGGCCCGCTTAGTCATGTGACTAAGCGGCAACGATGTCATCACTTTCACTCACTGGTGTGTTTTTCCGCTGTCTACACGATGTTGGCAAGACCAAATCTCTGCTTGGGCCGCTGGCGGCCAACATTCAGGGTTTTCACAGCATTACAGAACCAGTACATTCATGCGCATCCAGCATTGGCCTCTCAATCATTCAAAAAATGCCTGTCATATAATACTCGCCTCAACCAGTCTGGAAGACAAACCAATCCGGATTCCACCGAGGTGTCTTTGGACTCACAAAGCCAACGACGAAGAGGAAGTAGACTCCCCGCAGCTCCTACTTCACTGCGGCGTGTAGCAGTTGAAGCCCAAAGATCGAAGGATGGCTTCATTTCCAAGGCGTTGCTACGCGAGCAGGGACTACATCGAACTAAGGTAGCTGACCTTGAGAACTTCCGCGCATGATGTGCGCTTTGCTTGGAGAGAGCTAACACATGATTCTGAGGTTTCTAGACAGTGACTGCGTACGCTGTGGCCGAACAATTCAACATACGCCAGGTCCGAGACATCTTGCAAGAGAAAGGATACGAACCAGACCCATTGGAGACCGGACTTTTCCCCCAAGTTGTTCATGTTCAGATCCCCACAGACTCCATACGTCGCGTGACCAACCCGTCCAGTACAGATCTACCATCCGATGAGGTGGGCGATGTCTTCGTCTTTCCGTCCGGCACAGTGGTGGCGTGGTCGCTACCGGAAGGATTTACGTCCTACCTAGCAACACGCACTCTTTTGCCCGCGGCAGAGGGTGCTCATGTGGATGAGCTGGAAACAGAAGACTTGGAATTTGTGGAGGACCCCAAGAGGGACAACAGTATCATCAAAGGAGACACGATCATCTTGGGAACAAACTCTGGAATGAATGAAGGACTGTCAGCCCCGCAGCAATCTGTTGATACGGTTTTGACCAAGGTCGCATTCTCGTCCGGCCTCGCTCGAAGCACGAAGCTGGCTGTTCTCGAAAGCCTCCTTTCCAACTATTTTGAGTCCACTCGGCCGATACCGACCCTTCTCTCTCAAGGGTCTAGACTTCCTTTCACGCGAGACTTTATTCTTCGGAAAACCGGGCAACTTCTCAGTGTTCGGGCACAACTCAATCTTTACTCGGAGCTTACGGACTCTCTTCCCGACATATTCTGGGATAGCCGCCATGAGCTTGGTCTGGAGGGATACTACGAACAAGCTGGACGGGCTTTGGACGTTGGCATCCGCATCAAGCTTCTGAACGAGAAAATGGACTATGCACAAGAGATTGCGAGTGTGCTCCGGGAGCGTCTCAGTGAGACGCATGGCCTCCGACTGGAGTGGATCATCATTCTGCTGATCGCGGTGGAGGTTGGATTCGAGGTCATGCGGCTATGGAAGGAGAGAATTCACGAACAAGAGGAGAATGCGCGGAAGAGTGAGGTGCATGATTGAGGTGACGGAATGTCAGGCGCGCAGTGATATTTTCGATATTTGGCACATGAATGATACCCCCTGTTTTGAACTTCGTAGAGATCCTTGATATCTTGTGACCTCAGGACTTGGAGTTCTCATGTGCGTAGACCGCCTCCCCGCGCTTAGTCACTCCTTAGCCAGCCTCGTGCGGAGTCGTCTGGGCAGCAACTCGGTGCTGTCGCCTTCTCAGTGCCTCTATAGCCCTCCACAATCTAACTACTCAGGATTCTCTACTTATTTCAAAGCTCCTATTGCAAGGAATCATCTCAGGTCTTGGCTTGAACAGCCTTCACTCCCAAATTCCCTGCGACACGCGGCTAATCGACGATGCGGGGATTACCACAACAGTTCCTGGGGATCCCCGGTCCCCAGAAGATTTTCAAGACTCTCGGTTCCTTGTGGCTTGCACAAAGCTCGGATGAACGGCCGTCTCCAGGGGTCTCGTCCTCATGCCCTGTGTCCGAAATCAGCTGTCAGGCGAACTACCACGGTCAAGACACCTGCTGTTTCAACTACCCCGGCGGTCAGATGCTTCAGACTCAGTTCTGGGATGCAGACCCCGCTATTGGCCCTGATGACGCATGGACTATACATGGGCTATGGTGAGATTCTCACAGTTGGTATCTGATGAAGTGAACAAATCGCTCATACTCCTTAGGCCCGACCATTGTGCCGGCGGTTTCGATCAATTCTGCGATTCCAAACGCAAGTACAGCAATATCTCGCTCATTCTGGTTGACTCAGGTCGTGGTGATCTGTTGGAGTACATGAGCGAGTATTGGAAGGATTTCCGTGGAGACGATTCCAACCTATGGCAACACGAGTGGAACAAACACGGCACTTGTGTGAGCACCCTTGAGACACATTGCTATGATGACTACTTGCCACAACAAGAGGTGGTAGACTACTTTGACAAAACTGTGGAGGTTTTCAGGGAATTGCCCTCACACGAGGTAAGTTAGGGCATCCTGGATCATCTTTCAAAACCAAGCTTCTGACCAAGTGCAAGTTCCTCGCAAATGCAGGCATCGTACCGTCCCGAACACAAACTTATAACCTTGCGGATATTGAGAGTGCCCTGGAAAGTGCTCATGGAAGCCCAGTCACCGTGCGTTGTAGAGGCGGTGCTCTCAATGAGATTTGGTACTATTTCAATATTGCGGGAAGTCTGCAGAAGGGGTCATTCATTGCTGCGTCTCCAGGTCTTGTCTTTCAATCCATGTATGCTTGAATCAAAGGCTAACATTGCAGTGTTGCAGATGGCCAGAAATCCAACTGCCCTTCAAAGGGCATCAAGTACCCATTGAAGCGCGCTCGACACGAGCCCACCCAGACGACAACTATCGGCCACCCGAGTCCTACAAATCCAGGGACTCCGTTCACTGACAGAGGAAACCTCATTGTCTCAACCCTGAACCGCAGACACGGCTGTATCATCAGCTACGGTACTTGGTTCTCATCGGGCACTTGTGCAACTTTCCGAGCTGAGAAAACTTCAGGTTCGTACTCCCTGCATGGTTGGGCATATGATTCCTCTTTCTCTCTCAATATCTCCAGCACAGATTAATTAACATATTGCAGATGATAAATTCACCTTGAAATCCAGCAAGGGGCCCTGTGCATTCGAACGGGACGCCCTTGCTTGCGGCGCTCATGTCAATTCCCCGACCGATTTCACTGTATGAAATCCTGTACCTTTATGGATCAATATACGTTACTTACTCTCGTGCAGGCCAAGGATGGGAAATTGACTTACAAAGATCAGACTACTTTCTTTGCAGACCAGGCACCCAAGGGGCGTACCCAGAGCAATGTATATGCTTCTTCAGGGGGTCGGCCAATCGAGATTGAGATCACTTGGGCATCGAAATAATTCCACCCGACTAGTAAACCTTGGAAGTTCCACTTAAGTATCGGGATCAGGTCTTGAAAATGAATTTTATTTTATTTTCAACAGATGAAATCGGTGGGGCCAATTTGGACATTCGAAGTTTTCCCTTTCATTCTCCTAGTTCAGAATGTGCAATATAAACTTGTGATATAAACTTCAGAACTTGTGGTGCTCGAACAATTTTGTTGGACCTTCAGTACTCTTAAAGTTAACTTTAAGAAGTATTTGGGTAGGTCCGGCTCTAAAGGTCGAGGTACGCCTGAGGTTCCGACCCGGGAGGTCTTAGGATATATAACGGACCCGAGTACTTAAGTACTTGATTATCCGAACATTCTACATCCATGGACTTCTAAAGTTAACAAGGTATGTAGGGAGCACCCAAGCGCTGGGAGAACAGAGTTATAACCTTGGGAGCGACCCAATTGTTTGGTCAGGCCCTGGAGCCCTGGGTCGAGAAAACCATGTGACTTGTGAAATGTGAGCTATGATCATAGTATACAGGGTGTATAATGTATTATGCTAAAGGGAGATAATCCACCAGGTGAAGCACATCTTGTTGGCAAGTAGGTACAGGGAGGATCCATTGAAAGGCATCAAATACATGTCGCATCATAAAATGTAAAACAAAGAAAAGAAGGAGTAAACACCGGGAACGATGTCTGAGCCAGACCGTATGATCAAACATCGTCGAGTGGATGCGACGGAGGCCAAACGAGATCGAGTAAAATCAGAAAAAGCAACGAAAAAGCAATAAAAAGGAGAGAATACAGGGCGCGCAAAAAGCAACAGGGGCAGAAGGCAAATGGCCCCAACACCGCAAGTCCCATAAAGTCATGTCAAATCCCGAATGTGTGCAGAGAAGTAAAGCGCCCGTTTTTTAAGTATCGTGTGTCATTAAAGTGTACAAGGTCGTGCCGTATCGTTGAATATTGTGCCGCGAAGAAAATGGTGCGTTGTGCCGTAGTCATAGACCGGCATGTGTTCGAAAAGACGTTCAAGGATCGACAAGGAACTCGCTTGACAAGCATCCAATTGGGTCTTCCAGGTCATCCTCCAGACTGGGGAGACCAGAGAAAGCTTTGGCGGGATAGAATGCTGAGCCAGAGAAGTCGTTGGTATCCACAAATTGATAGCTTGGGTATCCAGGCACACCAGTGTTGGCAAGGTGACCAAACTCTTCCCGGACGTCCTCGGAGTGATCTTGTGACATGAAGATATCGATCTCCGAGCCAACTGATGACTCTGCCAAAGTAGGCGCCGTGTGAGGAGAAGACATCTCCCGAGGCGAGAGAGCAGATTCGCTGTAAAGTGATTCTTGCGAGTATGTCTGGGAACCAAAGTTTGACCCATATTGCGCCATTGCCTGCTCATATCGAGCGTGAGCCATTTGTGGTGGTGACAATGGCAGCATATCATCTTCGGTCTTGGAGGGGAAAGATTGGTACTCGCTCGAGGGCGAGGACATGCCATAGTATGTTTCGCCGGGGGAAGCAGGAGGCGTGAACGATGAGAGGGCGCTAGATGGGCCATATTTGGGCGAAGTGAACACAGGGGCATCCTGGAGAGTAGGACGGGTTGGGGCAGAAGCGAGCGAGGTCGCTTTCTCAGCGACACGTTGGCGAGTACGAGTAGATTTGGCTTGACGGGCGTCAAGCTCAGGTCGGTTCTTGTTCTTCTTGGGTGGACGACCCCGCTTAGTAGTCTTTGGGACAACGCCAGTGAAGCCTCCCACGCACATGTCGCGTTGACGGTGGCGAGTCAAAGCATCCTGCCTGGCAAAGCTAGCTCCACATGCACAAGCGAAGGGCTTGTTGCCGCTGTGTGTCTTGAGATGACGCTTGAGATCATGTCCGCGGACAAAGTGTTTTTCGCAAATATCGCACTTGAATTGGCGGTCTCCAAGATGTGTTTGAACGTGGGACTTGATGTTTTCTTTGCGACCAAATCGACATAGGCAATCTGTGAAGAGACACACCCACTTGCCGTCCTTGGGATCTGGACCGGAAATGAACTTGGAAATCTCGTCGTTGGAGATGCCGGTTTCTTGGACCGAAGCCTTAACTCGGGCGTCGAGATCACCATCGCGGGATGCTGGAACAATAGGGGTTGACACAGAGGACGAGGCCCGCTCTTTCACATGTCGGGTAGAAGATGGCAGGGACATAACTGGCTTCTGAGGCGTCACTCCATATGGGCTAGGCGTGGGGATGTCGGCGACCTCGGCAAACGATGCACTGATTGGGGAATTGGCAGGGGAGGGCATTTGCTGCTTGATATGTAAAGGACTAACAAAAGGAACTTCTTGCAGGGACTGGGTTCTTTGCATATCGGACGTGGCAGGAGTGTATGGAAATGAGAAACTCTGAGACTTGCAAGGTGTTGGGTCATTGCTGTACATAGAATAATCAATGGATCGTTTTAATGGGGTGGAATCGGGGGTCAATGGGGATGTGTCTGTATTGCTGTTAGCTTCGGCCCAGCAGGTCGGCGAGTGATATCCTCACAAGTATAAGACATTTGGGACAGAATCTTGGCCGAAGGGGCCTTTGGTTGAACAGAAACTGGATGCATGCATTCGACATAGGCCGTTACCTGCTCGCCTTGGACCACTGGATCACCGTGCCGGGAAAACAATTCCCAATCGGCATGATCAGTGAACTGCTGCTGTTGGCTCGAGGTTTGCTCGCTCTGCATACGGTGCAGAGCGAGTTTCAGTGGTGTGTTCTCGGAGCTTTCGCTCGCGGATCTGGACAAGGCTGGGGCGCCGATGGATGACGGCACCGGGCTGGCTGCATGGATGGCCTGTAGTTGGTCTTGGTCGAAGGCCTGGCATTCAGCCCCGAGCGAGGCTTGAGGTTGGTACTGATAAGACTGCTGTGCAGGTAGTTCTGACGGGAAGTAAGACTGCTCGGGTTGCTGGCCGTATGATTGATACTGGTGCACATCCCTTTGTTGACAAGGGAAGCCTGATTTTTCGTTAAAGTAATCTCGCAGCTGCGAAACCGTCTTGGGCATATATTGTCGGTCGACGGAGGCCTGTGGATTGAAAGATCCGTAGTCCATGGTTTGGCCTCGACGATGTGACCGACGTTGATGCATGATCGCTGATGTGGGGACCTCGTATGGGGCTGCTGGGGTGGAAATTTGACGGCGATGGCGACCATTTCCCAGCGCATTCGGTGCGGTAATCATGGCTAGATAGCCGATTGACGGTTCGGTCCTGATAGAGTGTCAGTATGTGATTAGGCAAAGGCTGGGAATAGAAGCAAGTGGGAAGCTAGAGGCTCAAGAAGCTATGAGTATCAGGGTCACACAGTTGGAAATTCCGAACTGAACGACTCTTAAAAGCAGAGACGCGGATGTATGAAGGTTTTGGGTCTGGAGCTGGAGATCTATGTGACCCGCGGTTCCCATCAACAATCTGGGTGTTGGCATAGCAACGCAGCAACACACAGGCGTCTAGGAAACCAGGCGCTGACGAAGGTGGGCCCATCCCTGCCCACTTAGTACATTCTACGATTTATTCTTATTCGGCCTTGCTTGCCCTTCAGTCTATCCCTTCAAGGGTTGCTGCGAGGGAGCTGGTCACGGACAATAGTCCCTACAATTGGATCTTAGCGGTTACTCCCTTGGTGTCTCCGGGGGAATAACATATACAAGTAAATTGTCCCTTGCCCGGCGGCGAGAATATATGTACGAAGTGCTGCGTAGAAGCACAGGCCGTACTCAACGAGTGTAGAAGGACAATGGCGTCACGGATTTGATATTCGACGTGTCCAACACGGGATGTTCCAAGGTTGGGCTGCGGGCTGCGGCTGCGATCCACTGGACACCTTGGTGCCTTGACACCTGAATGTGCATGCCTTGATGCCTTACTGACGATGGTGTCTTGTTGCCCTGGTGCCTGAGAAAGTGACATTCACGATCACGTGCAAGAACTTTCGGACTAACGACGCCCCGGCGAAGAGATTTCCGGCTAGTCCGTTTCTGACCGAGATCCACATACACGTGATCGCACAACGATTTTAATCACCAGCTCGCTCGCTCATCTTTCGTGATTCTTGCAAGGTTAAGGAAGACACATCTGTTGAGGTGAGTAAATATTTCCGACAGCAGACAGGAATGCGATCAGCCGAGGAGTGAATGAATACCTCTTTCGTCAAATTCCTGCCTGACTCGTTATTCTGTCCGTCGTCGCGATCATCCCACTAACATCATGCGTGCTGTAGGCCTTCATCAAGATGCAGATCTTCGTCAAGACCCTCACGGGTAAGACTATCACCCTTGAGGTGGAGTCCTCCGACACCATTGACAATGTCAAGTCCAAGATCCAGGGTGAGTAGATCTGAAGTCCCCGCGTCCAACGCCTGATTCCGCAGTTCAGTCGCTAACTTGACCCCGCGATAGACAAGGAAGGTATTCCTCCTGACCAGCAGCGCCTGATCTTCGCCGGCAAGCAGCTCGAGGATGGCCGTACCCTCTCGGACTACAACATCCAGAAGGAGTCCACCCTTCACCTCGTGCTTCGTCTGCGTGGTGGTGGTAAGAAGCGCAAGAAGAAGGTCTACACCACCCCCAAGAAGATCAAGCACAAGCACAAGAAGACCAAGCTCGCCATCCTCAAGTACTACAAGGTTGACGGTGACGGCAAGATCGAGCGTCTTCGCCGCGAGTGCCCCGCCCCTGAGGTATGTGACCGACTCAGAACCCAGCCCTGTTGTACAATACTAACTTTTCTTTCCAGTGTGGTGCCGGTGTCTTCATGGCCGCTATGCACAACCGCCAGTACTGCGGTAAGTGCCACCTCACCTACGTCTTCGACGAGGCCAAATAAACGGTCTCAAGTCAGGCTGTGGTGTGACATCGAGTTCGGGCATGTTTCTGCTAGTCTAGAGCAAGTGTTGGAACATCATGGTAGATGTTGGTTTTAGGTGTACTTGTGCTACAACCAATGACAAAAAAAAAAGAACAAAATCAGCTGTTTGTCAAAGCATAAATTCCAAGTAAACTATTGCGTATGGTCAGGTGCACATGATCCCACCTGTAGACGTAGGGAGGGTATCGTCCCGTGGCCTACTGGTCAGGGAAACCAGACTGGACATTGGCGTATTTACTCTCTGGGTAATGGAGGGCATTCTCGGACTGATCCAACGCCCCTTCACCACCTACACCGTCGACGAAGATGCCGATTAAGCTGCCGTCCGCTGCCTTGGCTTCCCTTCCTCCCTTGTCACCGCTGCTTTCCCACCACATCCCACCACCCAAGCCACGCCGGCGAATGTAGTCTGCCTTCACCTGCGCCATGTAGGGAGTGTCGTAGGAAACCATGGTGCGCGAGTTGCCGTCATAACACCATGTCGCGCCAGACTCTGCATCAAATTGCTCCGCGGCACCAGGCCTTGGTAGCGCCTTGTAGTCCCACACTCCGTTCTCCCAGCTGCCTTCGCCGACTCCTGAGAATGGGGCACCGGGACCATCGGTGTTTTCGAATGTTCGTCCGTACAACGGCATGCCCATCACGATTTTCGATGGCGGTACGCCACCAACGTTGATGTAGTAGTTCAAAGCGGCGTCGGCTGAGAAAGGTGTAGATGCAGGGTTAGACCCTGAAGGAACAATGTTCGCTTGGTGGCCCGCATTCGTGTCCCAGCTCCCGGCAAAATCATAGGCCATGAGGTTATAGAAGTCCAGCACTGGTGTCATTTCTTGGAATTTCATCTTTTCATAGTTGCTTGGTCCTGTTGTTGTCAGCTTCGTGGCTCATTCCGCTTTGATAGGTCCACATACCGGCCGGACAAGCGATGGTCAAGTAGAAGTGGCGATCGGCGCCAGCCTCTCTGTCCAAAACCTGATCGAAGTTAATTGTGATCTGGGCGAGTCTGGGTGTTTTGATACCTCTCGGCACTTGTGAAGCAGCAGAACCAGGTTCCCAGCCTCACTTTCATCTGAACACCATGTTAGCCCGGTCTCCGTATTTGTTGGCGCAGGTCAATTTACCTTTGGGGTATTCCCAATCGATGTCAAGGCCTAAGAGAAAGTCAGCCCGTATGCCCCTATCGATCAGGCAATGCCCGACCAAAGAGCGTACCATCAAATCCTAGATCAAGAATCAAACGCGTTGCTGATTCCGCAAACTGCGTTCGACCTTCGTCGGTGCTCGCCGGCTGGGCAAAGTTGGCCGAATACGTCCAACCGCCGATAGAGAGCAGAACCTTCAACTTGCGGTTTTGCTTTTTGAGAAGAAAGAGTTGTTTGGCGCACCCGTACACATTAGTCCCAACATCATTCCAGGAGTCTGTTGGGTAATGCTTCTCAATGTCGGACCAAGTGTCGGTCAGGTATCTTGCATCATCAGTCAGCGGGAAATATTGAGAAGGTCTGGCGGAACTGTAGAGCTTACACTTCGCCGCTCTCGGGGCGGACATTGGCAAACGAGTACAGGATATGGGTTAACTTCTCTGCCGGGAGATCTTGCGGGTTGTAATTGCGGCCGTAAATCGCCTGTTACAATCAGTCAGAAGTGCTCTTCCGCGGACCGTTATGCCGGGACGCTATATATATTGGGCATATAGGGCATCGACCCACGCCAAGCCGGAATGGAATGACCAAAGCCATGATATAAACATACCCAATTCACAAAATAGGCGACAGATCTCATCTCGGACATGGCTGTGGAATGGGGGATTTGAAGGTAATAAGTGTATGGTATCAGAATGGAAACAATGACCACGAAGACAGTCGATAAAGTACTTGGCTTGATGTGATAAGCCACAGTGTCTCAAATAGCACGGGGAATTGCAGTCCTTAAAGCAGTAGGTCAAGACTTAAAATGGAGGGGTACCTTATGTCGCAGCCTAAGTACTAGTGGGCTTTCGTACCTAGGCGTCTGGGCGTGTTTTATAAATAACAGCGACCCCACGTCAGTGATCAGGGGCCAAATGTGGCGGATTCGCGGATTTCCACGGGATAATGTGGCTGAGCGTGATATCCGTACAACTAGCCGTGTCAGGGTTTCTCTAGGGCTGAAGTCACTGCAGATCGCTGGGCTTTGAAGATCTGTTGAAATTGAATTCGAATTGGGTTCTTTTGTATTGACACCTTTAAGGACGCTGGAGAACTCAAAATACCGACGTGAGGTGTGACATCTCCTGCTGCATCTCTGACTGCAACCGTAACATAGATATCTAGTCACGTCGTCTGTTCACCTGCCCAGGCATGGCCTTTGTTTAGTGTTTCGAATGAGTGTGTCAAGTGCTTCTCTGACAGGCCAAATCTGATGCCCCGCACGACTCAAGGGGCAAAAATGAAGAATGACCAGCGTTTCATTCCAACCCTGGACGATTCTGCGCAGCTTCATCAGAAGACCAAGCCTTGTATCATATGTAAGTGCGCCTTGCTCACCTATTCCTATTCCAAATTGACATCGGGAGGCAGGGTGGATGTGTGTTTTACTTGCTATCCACTTCCTGTTTCTATCCTTGTCAATCCGAATCCGTTGTAATCTACATGTATATGCCCAGGTGCATGTATATGTGTGGATATATATTTACACCTGTAGAAACGCAGGGCATAAAAGTATAATATCACGATCTATACCTAGTAGATGCTTTCAGTGTCTGATCCGTGGAAATTGTGTGGCAGTAACTGTGAGTATTGGCCTCAGGCACGATGCTGGCCTGAGGAATACATTTTGGTGGGTTGAGCCCTAGAGGGCTTGGCAGACGGCCGGGAACTGCCCAAGTGGTACGGAATATCCCAAATTATGCTCGAGACTTTCGTACAGGATGAATTGAAGTCTAATCTCCGAAGGAATTGAGACAAACTCAATCGAAAGTCTACTTTGTCGAAGAGTTTTCATGGCAAAATGTAGCTATTTGCGAACCCGAGTGCGAACCCGAACCCGACCCGAAGCTCGAGTCGATATAGACGTTGGACAATGACAGGTACGGTGTTTATCTAGGCATCTATTAAAAGGAATTATGATGAATCGCCATAATGACGATCGGCATATACTTTTGTGGCCTGTGAGTAAGGTTTATCTACCAGGAAACTCTGGTATAAATACTTAAGTACATTGGGTCTAGTCGTGATCTACTTTGTATGAGAATCTTCCTTACTATTGACGACTTACTGTCCTATCCAAAGAGTCGAGCGTCACTCGTGGGCTCTCATTTTAAAACATGGACTCAATGGACACCTACCCATACAGACCGAGCCTAATTCCCGCTGTGATAGGAGTTGGTCTATACTTTGCGCTGTTTGCTGGCCATACAGTCCGCATCCTACGCACTAAAGCATGGGATGGGCTTTACATGCTAGCAGGTGCCTTAGGTAAAAGTTATCTGAATATGATCTGAGGCTGCTTCGCATCTGCTGACGTATCATTGATATACTAGCCCAAGCCATGGGTCTCGGAGCTCGAGTGTACTCTTCGAAAGATGTTAATAGCATGGGCGCCTACGGTGCTCAATATGTACTGCTCCTGCTTGGACCCACTCTTTGCATGCTGACCGTCAATGTCACTCAAGTGAGGATGATGCGCTGTCTGAGCTCTGTGAATTTCGGTGTGATCCCTGCCCAGTTCACGTTGTCTACCTACCTCACCGTCAACATTCTATTGCTACTCCTGCAAGTGACTGGATCTACCATTCTGGTAGTGGCTCGCACAGAAGCCCTCATCGTGACTGCGACGAAGATTCTCATTGCGAGTTACGTCTGCCAAATGACCTTTTGGTTATTCACTCTGGTGGAGAATATTTTCTGGAGAATACGATTCGGACGATCCCCTTGGAGCACCCCATCCAGGATGGCTGACTGGAAGTACTATACCCAATTATTTGATCTGGCGATATCCATTGTTGCCCTCGGCCGAAATCTGACGCGATTGACGCAGCTTGGCATGGGGCCCAACGGCTTTCTCACTGTTCATGAATGGCCCAGCTACGCTTTCGACTTTTACCAAACTGGGGTCATTCTTTTAGCCTGGGGAGTTTTCTATCTGCCAGGGGTTTGCAAGGAAATTCAGTTCAAGTGTTGTGGAAGGTGTTTGCCCAACCCCTAGTAGTAGATAGCTCAGCCTCCTAGCTTAGCTCTCTTCCTTCTTCTTCTCTCTCTCGCAATTCAATTCTTGGTTCAGTCTTCTTGCTCTCTCAACATCAAGAATGTTACATGTTCGACGCCGGCAGATGAAGAGTGAAAAGAGAGAATGCAATGAGGATGTCACTTTCAGAACAACCAACTTGACTTTCAACAAAAACACCTTAAGTGACTAGACAGCTTCAGAACTAAATTGCGAGAGGTGCAATACTCCGCACAGGGCGCTTGCACGGAATAGTCAGGTCCAACCGAGCTTATCGGCTCTCCACTACTTGTGTGTACAATGTCTTTGCTTCAGACTTGACTTTCTTTCCACCATCCCCTTGATTAGTGTCTGATGTGAATGTAGGTTGATTCTTTGTACATGAATGCGATTGCCTGACAATGACAGCGCCGTAACCGGAGACCATACAGTTACCGGCCTCACCTCAAGATGACACCCCCGGCCTCGAAGCGAGCCTGTGACCAATGCCACAATTCGAAAGAAAAGTGCCGGCGCCCGAACACAACGATGACATGCGAGAGGTGCCGCCGGTTGAGACAGACGTGCCAAACAGTTCGCAATCTTGCAAAAGCCGGTCGAAAGCCTCGAGCTACCATTACACTACTCCACAAACTCCCCGCCTCCAGCCTCAGCCCTAGGGCAGAGAGCTTGGAGGCATCGCACCCGTTCAAAACCAAAGACACTCCTTATTCACATTTGTATATTCCCTTTGATACAGGACTCGGAATGAATCCGGCGCTATTCCCAGAACTGGATCAATGGGAGCGTCACTTTCTGAACCTCATGAAAGACATTGTGGCGCCATCTCCGCTTGACAAATATCTCATCGGACCAAGCTTCCACGAATCTCATCATCGATCATTCGTACAGAGTATGCTCCAACCAGCCCCTGCACTGAAGAATGCTACAGTAGCCTGTGCTGCAGTGCTGTTCGGCGATAAGTATGCCGAATACACTCTGACCAGTGTTGAGGTAGGTCACCGGCGCGCTGCATTGGCCCTTTCGGAGTTAAGGGCATTAAAAATATCAGAAGAGCAGGACTTGGTCACAGCGTTGGTCTTGGGCGTATCAATGGTTACATTCGCTATGCATGTCGTCGATGGACAGCCGTTTCTCATATCACACTATACACTTTCTCTGGTGAGGCCAGTCTATCAATCTGCTTTGAGGATGGACCCAAGCATCATGGATTACCTGATGTGTCTTGTTAGCACAGAGACATTTGAATGTCTACTTACAGCGCAAACTCCAACCTTGCGAATAAACGAGCATGATCGTCCAAACGTTGTTGATCGGTACCTTGGGATCGCCTCATCTCTCTTCGCCCACCTTTATGACATATGCGCAGTCAGTAGTCTACTCCGGACTGCTGGTGGGACAATGACTGCCCAAACTGCGCAAAAAGTGGAAGATATCCGCGAATCCCTTGAGCAGTGGAAAACATCGCCGCCACTAAATTTTCTCGAGCGTTTTACTGTGGCGGAGACCACCATCATGCTTGCCCAGGCCAAAGTCCTCCGCGTGGCGGCCTTTCTTATTATACATCGATTGTATCATCCTTTTGGGACACACAACAGTGCGGCGCTCTCATTATCCAAACTCATCGACATGGAATTCGATAGGGTGTTGCATCTGACCGGACACTCGTTGCCATGTATGTCATTTGCCTACTTGACGGCGTGTTTTGAAATAAATGGCCGCGAAGCACGTACATCAGCCATTGAAAAAAGCCAGCGAGTGGCCAATTTCTCTAAACAGTCGCAGCGCCGTTTCCAACAGACTTTGCTCTCCATGTGGGCCGCAAAGGATGCTGGAAGTCAGATCTATTGGTTCAGTCTCAATGATATACTAAACAGGAAGAGCAGTACATGGATCTAGGAATGATATTCAGTGACGAAATGATGAAGATCTCTCAAGTCTGTCTCTGGCACCAGCAAATGGTCAGATGTTCGCACACAGTCTGCCCCTGCTGCTGTATCTTAGAACATATGCGACTGACCAGTCAATGATGATGCACTTTCTCTGTTGCCATCATAAACAATGCAGATCTTCCGGACGCTGCAATCTGTCACAAGTCATCTTTTTCTACCAAAAAGCTCCCCAGCTGCCAAAAAGCGCGGTGCTTTTGCAAAATCTTTGGATCTGTTTTATTCATGCACTCAATGCAGCCAGGCTTTAGACTCCACTTTCAGCACAACTTTTCATGGTCCACTCAAGGGAACGAATCAGACATGGAGCCGACAGCGCGGAGGTGTGCAAATGCTACAGATTTAGGGACCCGTACATCATAGCATTCCATGTGAGCGGGGATGCTTCATCATGAAAGTCGGGCATCTCGATGAAGAAGAATGTTTTTCCGGAGATATGAAGAGCCCGAGAATGCATTTCGTCGCCCTTCACAAGCGTTCCTTTACCGTCCACCATCTCAGTACCGGAGAGAAGGTTCAGCACAGTCCCAGTAACAAGCTGGATGTCAATCCACATCTCGCGGGGAAACAATGATTCAAATGCCGGATTGTCGATGATTGGTGTCTCCACAACCCCCGGGCAAATAGCGTTGACCCTAATGCCTTCGGTCCAAAGCCGTGGACCGGTCGAGCGAACCCATCCAATAAGTGCGTCTAGGAAGTGATGAGCCAATGGATCCGACAATCCTAAAAGTTTGAATGGTCCTTCACATACGCTTGGTGCTGGAGTAGATTGGACCCAACGCGCAAGGGTATAATCCACCTATACTCGACGTGAATATCATATGTCTGTCCCCTTTGGTTGACTCCGGGGAGCGACGGAAATAGTGCATTGCCAGATAGCTGGTATACAGAGCCCCGCTCATATTGACATCGACAATCGAAAGATCTGGCTTGGGCGGGATCCCCGTATCGGGTTCTTCAGCATAATAGTCAGTGTAACCCGTTATGCCGGCGTTTACAAAGACAAAGTCCAAGCGCCGACCGCCATTGAAGATTTGATCAAACACGGTGGCCAGGTTGTCATAGTTCCGCACGTCGGCTTGATAGAAGGTAGTACCAGGGAGGGAAGCAGCTGCTTCTGTGCCTTTCTCCTGGTTACTGCCAAGTATGTTGACCTGCCAGAGGCCAGTCTTGCTCAAAGCCTGCGCGACCGCGAAACCGATTCCACTGGCTGATGCGATGTTGGTCAGTAGAGAGCGAGAAGCCTAGACTGCGCAGGGTCACATACTACCACCAGTGATGAGAGCCACTCTGGTCATCGTGAGGTATGGTTATTGACCAGGGATTGAGGATTCCGAACGAGCTAAATAAAATTGTTGAAGAGGGGGAGGGGCGCTCTTTTCGGGAATGGCTGTGTGGTCGGTAATATCCTACGATATCCATTCAAAGGCTTGATGAATGTTCATTGGAAGGCTTACATCGATTTGACTCCATACCCCTAAGGGTCTATGCATCTACTCCACTTGCCCTCACGCCTGTCAATTGGGGCGGAAGCACATTGAACACCTCAGCACAGGCCCACTAGTGGAGCTAGATGCAGCTGAATGTGGCCAGTATCATTGCCCCAAGAGATCGAAGATCTTAACATGATTCATGTTGTGATTAAATTTGACGTAGAAAATCATCACTTTCCACAGCGGGTCTGAAGATCGATTAGTCTACCTAACTGCTCGTATTATGTGCTATGTATGTACATACTCCGTACTATACTCCGTACTCCGGACCCTGACAGGATACGGGTAGCACTTCCAGGATGCGCGGAGACACTAATAAACGGGTAAAGCGTAGGCATCGAGGTCATAGACCCAAGTGTCAAAGGACTCCTGATCGAAAACGCAGTCCATACTTGTACCATTGTCCTTCCAGAGAGGGCGCAACGGCCATGCACACAATTCCTGATGAGCACCCTTGTTGTCTCCACTCAGAATGGTGGAGTTCAGAGTGATGGGGACTTCTTGATGTTCAACCCAATCAATCAAGGAGCCGAGACTGGTTTGAGGGAAAGGAGCATTTGGCTGCAGACTATTGGTATTGCAGTGTGAGGCTCCCGGGACCAAAAACAACCGATACCAGTCATTCAGGGCGCTGGTGCTCTTTTGGAAGCTCAGGTTGGAATACATTGTGGACCGAACAGACTCATGGAAGCGAACGGAGGAGGCAGGGGGGATGCTGTCATCCGATTCGCCGTGATAGGAAATGATCTTCCCACCGGCTGCTTCAAAAGGACTGAGATCGGACCAAGTCGTTTGCAGGACATCGTCATACCGCTGCCAGCCCTCAAGCATCCAGTCCCGCAAGGTATCGTAGGTGATGTTCTCGAGAGAGGAGAGATTATCTAGCTCCAGAAGCTGTAGCCCGCGTGTCACCCACTCACCACCAAGCTCCGAGATGTCGATTTTCCATTTTGCCGAGGTAAAATCATACTGGGTTTCGGCGTCCGACATCTCCGATCCCAGCTGGTACCAGAAGTATGCACGACGACCGTCGCTGTCGTGAAGTCCGTTGTAGATCGTGCTCGCGAGAGCTGCGCCTTCGGCCGTGACTGTTCCATTTTGAGCAGGCGTGGCGGGAGAAGGCATCTGTCTTTTCCTTTGATTGACTGCAGAGGTCGCAGAACAGTAATAGCTTTGTCCAATAGTGGAATTGAAGTCAAATCGAAGTTTGCAAAGATCGGTGCGGCTGACGACACCATCCTTCTTCCCATCTGAGATGTACGGATATTAGTTTCATTTTGCATGCAATGCGGTCGGGCGGAACTTTACCAAGATGATCGCAAGCAGCAATAGTGAGATTGACAATCTTCTCGAGCTCGCAATACGGCGGGGTATAGTTCAAGGTCTGTTGAGCCACCTGCGGGAACAAATGGTTGACCTGCTGCTGACCGTAGCGAATGGCGGGCGCTCCAATCACGGCGCCATCCCACTCATCCGGGAAGCGCTGTACTTGACTGAAGCCTTCACGGCCACCCTCGGAGCAGCCTTGATAATATGCGTATAGCTTATTCTCATCAGTGAGACCATAGAACGTCTTGGTAAAAGCCTTACCCAGAGACGACATTTCATGATGAGCCTGGTAGCCGAACATGAACAGTGCATCCTGGTTGGAGGTCCCATTGACCAGAGGGAATACATCGTCGAAACTAGTATCAAATCCCCCGAAGCCACCGTCTGTTCGTCCAGTGGCTGCTCCGTAAATGACACCACCGGGAAGGGTTGACTCAACATTGATTGCGAAGCCGAAACCACCGGTAGAAACCCAGCGGTTTTTGAAGTTCTCGGGCGAAGGAAGCCAGAAGTTGAGCAAGACGTTGTCACTTTTGCCACTGTGAGAGTAAGTCATCGTCACATTGCAATACTCAAACGTAGCATCGGGATAATATGGCTCATCTGAAACGGAGACATTGTACACCGGATTCACGGTGACGATCGAATCTGTAGTGTTGAGGCCCGGGAGAAAGCCCTGGATTGGAACGGAATCTTTGACATGAGCAAGGGTGCAAACTTCATCAAGTGTAAGGGCCCGAGCCATCGATGCCGTGGCTAATAGCCCGAAAATGCTAATATTTAACATCTCGAGAGCAGGGGAAAATCAGTGAAGTATGTGCGGAGCCATTTTCAAGACTTTGGGGCCAACATATTTATAGACACAGGAGAATCTGGTTGAAATTCGTTTTTCAAAGATTTTGGCAGATGGCCACGTCTAGGCAGGTGGATACACAATAATCCCAAGAGCGAGGCGGCACGAAGAATGCACCGATTTCCCTCAGGGGTGACGCATGCGAGTTTATATTTGATGCAGCAAGATGGCAAATTAGGAAGAGAGAAAAGCATGAGGTGGGTATGACCATAATATGTGGAGTTCTTCATGGTGAACTCAACCTCAGTGAACCGTTGAAAGATAATGCGCAGTGGGTAAAAATGTAGCAAAAATGGGCATTGAAAAATTATGGAGCAAGTCCATACACCAGTATCCGTGGCTTCTAAGTGAGCGGGTGAGGTTTGAACCGAGGACTTCCCGTTTCATCGTTAGGAATCGCGAGATGGGCGTTCAAGTAGGTCTTCCGCGCTCGGAGTTAGCACCGTGACCTCCTGAGGCCCCTTGATCCCCAGGCTTGGATTCCAGAAACCAGTATTGCACACTTACCTGTATCTCTTTACGCAAAACAGAGTCAAACATAGGCTCCAGCTACCGATCAATAATCAGTCCTACATGCGTCACCGTTAAGGTCCTGCGTCCTGTAGAAAATAGGAAGCTCGGAGTTCTCGGACATCCGAGAGCTACCCGTGGAGCTATTCCCAAAGTGGCTTAGTCTCCGCAAACCTTCCAGGACTGCCGGTACAGACCATCCATGGATCGTGCAACCTACTCGCTAACCTTGCGCGTCAATGTGTGATCCTTATTTCTAGTGCACTCCTTTAATATTACTCGGGATACCCTTGCTCAAAGCCTACGAGTAGCAGCTCAAGCGCTACAAGCAAGCCTGAAGATCATTCCCTGATCAAGTTCAGGAGTATGGCTTTGTTGGGTCAAACCACCTCGGTGCTACCTTTTGCCATGACGCGGCCGACACATTGAACCTGAAGCAGCCGAATAACTGATAAATACCATGCATCCAAGCTGTATTGAGGCTTTCTATCCACCAAATCCTCTCATTCTCCCCTGAATCATTACGATGTATCTTCGGAAGGTTGCAGCGATTGCAGCTCTTTTGGGTCGTGATGCAGCTGCATCGATAGCTCCTACCCGCAGCAACTGCACTGCGTCTACATTTCAAAACTTCATCAATGCCAATGGAACCAATGCAACCGTTGAGTCGGCTACATACATCCCTCAGCATGGGTCGTTCAACCCAATGAACTACACATCTTCGACCGAATACACCACGAACCTCCCAGAGTCCTGTGCCGTTCAAGTCAACGTGGCATCTGAAGGAAACTCAAGCTACTTAGTTGGAATTATCCTGCCGTATGAATGGAATGGACGCATGCTGTACGTGATATTGATCTACACGCCTCGGACTGGGTCATAAGTCAAGTCACTAACGTACTCAAAAGCTCTGCTGCCGCTGGAGGAGGAATTAACTGGGTTGACATGGTTGGTTTGACGTATAAATACAATGCTCCCCTCGATTACTTACTCCCTTGAATAGGGTACTGGAACGCATTACGGATTTGCCACATTGTCCAGCAACCTGGGCCATGTTGGAATCGACACAACTGGTACCTGGGCCATTGGTAGACCCGAATCTGTTGTTGACTGGGGCTACAGGGCGTGGCACGGTACGACGATTTTGGGCAAATCATTGATCAATCATTGGTATGGCGCTCCTTCTGAGTACAATTATTTCTACGGTTGCTCCACCGGAGGACGGCAGAGCATGAAGAACCTTCAGATGTACCCTGAAGATTACGATGGTATCATTGCTGGAGCTCCAGCTTGGTGGACAACTCACCAGCAACTATGGAATTTGAAGCAAACCACCTACCAAGCACCCGAAAACTCGACCCACACTATTCCAGAGAAGGTGTTTGATATTCTTGCTGCAGAGGTCATCAAGCAATGCGACCCACAAGATGGGCTGGTTGACTCCATCATCTCGGACCCACAGGGTTGCAACTTCGATCCCAGCAGACTTTCTTGCAATGCGACGAGCGCCGCAGATGAATGCCTCACCTCCCAGCAGCTTTCCACACTATACAAACTATACAATGACTGGGTCGATACGAACCAAACCTTTGTCTATGGGCACATGTGGCTTGGCAGTGAAGCATCTTGGCTCCTTGGTAACATTGGCCTTGGGAAAAACACGACAATTGAGCAGCAATACTGGTATCCCCGGGACCTTATGGGCCTCGGAGATGGATTCAAGTGGGAAGACCTAGACTACCTGACAGTTCAACTGGCCGAGAATCTGGATCCTGGCAACGCCACAGCTGACAAGTTTGACATCAGCGATTTTCAGAAGCGTGGTGGCAAGTTCCTCCACTACCATGGAATGTCTGACTCCTACGTTTCTCCGGATGCCAGTCTTTACTACTACGACCAAGCTTCCAGTGCCATGAAGCCCCAAGGAATTGAGATGGACGATTTCTATCGGCTGTTTCTCGTCCCAGGAATGGAGTAAGTAATGTCAATTTTCCATCTCCACTATTGTACGGATCACATCGTGCTACGGAGTACGACGTACTCGTATATAGAGGACTAATCCGTGCTTTCTCCATCCCCAGACACTGCCTTTCCACCCCTGACCAGATGAATGCCCCTTGGTATTTTGCTGGACCCGACCAGGCTGCGACTATCAACACGGGTACCTACAGTACTCCTGGATACAGAGATGCGCGACATGACATTTTGCTCGCTATGATGGCCTGGGTTGAAAACGGCACGGCCCCAAACGATATCATTGCAACCAAGTGGAAGAACGATACGAGCGCGGCCGAGGTTTTGCGTCAACGCCCCATCTGCCATTATCCCTACCAAGCCAAGTATGACGGCAAGGGCGATCATAACGACGCGGCAAATTGGTCATGTGAGATGCTGTACTAATAGGCTAGAGACATCACTGGTCAAGGTTCTGTGCCCCTTGTTAGTGCCCCCTGTCCAGCAGGTGTAGGGACGCCTTTTCAATATGTGCAATCCGTACGGATATTCCGTACTCCGTACTCTGGGTTCTTCTGTCCGTGTCCTCTCGTTAAAGTTTGCCTTTGGCCCCCTTGCAATGTGTGCAAGAAAAAAAAAGCCATCTGAAATCAATTTTCTGCATACGAAACCCAAAACGGAAAGAAAGCGTAGATCATAAATTCAGACACATAAGACGTGTAATCCAACAAAGTACGCCATCAACACGATATGATTCAACACCATGCCCAGATGTGGACCGATTGGCATCATGATGCACCGGTCAAGCCTGCAGATGGCCACGGCAAGGCTATCCGAAGCCCCAAATTGTACTTGGTGGGGACTGTGCTGAATAAGGCTTATTGGAGGGGCTGTCCCCGGGGAGATCGGAAGGCCAAGATAGCTCAATTATTGGGCGATCATGGCGGTTTTGAGAAACAGACAGCTGTCATTGGGAGCATAACATCTGTGCGACATATCGATTTCTCGATAGTTTTTGGAGTAAGTTGAACCCCGCAACATTTATATTTTCCTTTTGACTTTTCCCTTTAATTTGGCTTAACCCTTGCGTGAGGCCGGGCTGGGTTGGCTTTCCGAGTTATCGATCCTTTTGATGGAAACGTCGCAATATTTCACAATCGAAATTGAAGCGACAAAAGAGAGCCCAAAATATAAAAGAAATGCATTGATGTGCCATTTCCAGAAACCGGTTCGTCAACAACGCCAGGTGGATCGGAAGAGAGATGCGAGTCGATACATCCGATCCCGCGACCTGACATGTCGGGAATTATTCTCTTGGAGGCGGATCTGATTGGATCGCAGTTTTAGGCCAAAGCACACATTAGATTCAGTAAATTTCTGATCTCGCAGGCCGTTGGCGGCATATTGCTTTTTTGTCTCGAAATAATGTTCCGGTATCCTGGTTCGGCGCTGAAACTTGTGGTGCCTAGTGGTTTAATGCACTACAGAAGCTCCTAGATTGCAATCGATGTGATCGGTATATCTGTAATGTCGCCAATGCGGCATTTCCTGGGAGAAATGAAGATATGACAGATCGAGGAGGTCAATTGTTATGAAGGTCTCCTATTCCAAATCTTCGAAGTATAATAGGAATGCCACGCGCAGCCCTAAAATGATTCCAAATATCTCAAACCAACTGACTACTCTCATTTGAATTCGTCTGGATCTTGCAGCTGTCAGATCCACCTGTCTGCCTGTCATGTCTTCTGCACAACATTCTGACGCCACTTGGACGCCCGGGGATTTTGAACATCCCAATCCGGCACTGCGACGGTCGATTATTATCGCGCTCTGCTTCGCCTTCATTCTATCGACGCTGGCCGTGGTTCTTCGCATCGTGGCGAGAAGAATGACCGGAAGCAGACTGCTGTTGGATGATTATCTGATCTTAGTCGCTCTGTTTTTTAAATACTCCTGCTCCGGTGGAGTGACTGTCCGTAAGTAATTTCATGCCGCCAGATCCTGCTGGTGACAATACTGATCGTGCAATCAGTTTTATACAATGGCTTGGGATCACACATCACCATGATCCCGGCGAAGAATGCTCTGGTTTACTTACAAGTAAGGAATCACATCTCGAGTGCTAAGAGCTTGTATTGACATCACTAGATCGGGTATTCCAACAATTTCGTATACACCGGCTGCATTGCCTTTATCAAATTTTCAATCTTGGCCCTCTACAAACGGTTGTTTGCGATTCGGACTATGAATCTGGCAGTGAATGCCATGTTTGGATTCGTGTGCCTGTGGGTCGTGGGCGTCTATGTCGCCGGAGCTCTGATCTGCATTCCTGCGAGTAAATTCTGGGACCCATCAGTGGAGGGAGCTTGCCTCGATCCTTACAAGTTCTACTACGGAATTCAGGTTCCCAACATCCTGTCCGATCTGATTCTTCTCATCATGCCAATGCACGTGGTGTGGTCTTTGCCGATTCCCAAATCTCAGAAAGCGCTGCTTTGCGGCGTGTTCCTTGTCGGTGGCTTGTATGTGCCAAATCTGCTCAGCTAGTGTCGACGAGATACTGACATTCTACAGAACCCTGGTCTTTTCCGTTTTCCGACTCCAAGCCATGATTCGATTGGCTGATCTTGGCCCTGATATTACCTGTAAGTATTCTCGAGGTTGTGTTATTGATGTGTCCGCGTTGCTAATACCTAGAATAGACAACCAAGTCCCAGTGGTTGTGTGGACTTGTATCGAAGCGGCAGTTGGAATCACCGCGGCGTGTCTTCCTAACCTCCGGCCTCTGTTTAAGCTTGGACACCGTAGCTTCTGGTCCCAGGCCAGATCCGCAAGCAATACATCTGGAAAAACTTTGGTCGAGTCACAAACATCCCGAAGTACTGTGTCCCAACAGAAGGAGCCGTTCGGCTTTGTGGAGGAAAGCGTGGAAGTGGCTCAGTATAAGGATTACACCAAGTGTGTCAAGGAGTAAGACCAAGCCTTTTGACTTTCTTACTGGGGACTTCAAAGTCCAATGCAGAAATCAGGTGAAATGTGGACAACAACAGGAGTCAAGCGGAATCTTCAATATTGGCGCGGTTATTTCTTTCTTACGATACCTACCTCGATACCTTCTTTAATATTTCATATATTTCTTTACATCTCAACACCTTCTGATTTCAAAATTTATTTCTTTGAACACAAGATCAATACAGACTACTGTACATTTGGTACCTTCGATTCCCATATTTGTGGCATATCCATGCCCTAATGCAGCATAAGTGAAGGCGAAGATGAAGATTGTAACCTTGGAAAGATTACGCAGTAACTGACTACTACTTGATTATTTTACGACGAGCATATATTCTAACCTGATCGAGCATACCCTCGCGTATACAGCCCGTATAGGGGTTCGCCCATAAGCACGCCGGGCACCAGTCAGACGAAAGCTGACCTTTGCAGCAATTTTTAGCGAGTTTGATCTGGCGCTCTTATTAGCTGCATCCCAGGCTCCCTGTCGGGGATATTATTAGTTCTCTGCCAAGCAGTATCCTGAAGACATCTGGAGTTCCCAAGTCATCTCCCTTTCACTTCTGTATTGCTTATTTTTGTTTGACCATATATTCTCTAACCTCCTGGATTAAAGAGCAACTTGACGGCGCATAGTCTGGAAAATCTCGATCTGCCTTCCTACCACACTAAATCACTAGCGATAGAATGGTTGGGTTCCCTTTCCGGATCCTTTAAATTTGGTGGTGTACACCTGGATTCTAACGCATTGTGTAGGCGACGGGAGATCATGAGTTTCCCTTCTTGGAGGAGGTTTGCTCTCCAGTCGTTTCCCATAAGATCGAGTATGGATTTCTCTCTCTCTCTCTCTCTGTTGATCGGTGGGGATATTTCTGAACCTGAGCTCTTCTTAGCTTTGTCTTTGTGCATGGTCTGAACCCCAGCGGTCGCAATGACCATCCATTTCAGACATGGACACACAGCAACGGGACTTTCTGGCCAAGAGATCTATTAGGCCAGGACATTCAATATGCTCGGATTTTCGTATACGGATACAACTCAAACATCACGAACCCACAAACGATGTCGACGGCAAGCATCAAGGACCACGCCAACACCCTTCTGAACCTTTTGGACATGGAGCGCAGCCTGGCCATGGTGAGCCCCTTGAGAATTTCACCTCCGCCAGATTCTGATTGAGCAAATATCGCAGGGTACCATGCCGCCGAAATTGATCTTTATTGGGCACAGTTTGGGCGGGCTAGTGATCAAACAGGTCCGACCAGCCTCCCTCGCAGGCCACATGCTGTGCATTGCTGACAGGTCCGGTTTGTGTGTCATCTTAGGCTCTTCTCAATGCCAAGGAGGATCCGAAATATACATCTATCCGCAATTCCACCTCTGGCCTTGTCTTTTTTGGCACGCCTCATCGGTAATACCCTCTTTGTCCACGCCGTGCGGTACAGTTGCTGATTGAATGTCCTCTTCAGGGGAGCAAAAGCCGTGGAGCTGGGAAAGATTGCCGCTCGGGTCGCTCGCTTCGTGTCCAACGGTCATGCCAGTAACGACCTTATGAACTGCTTGGAGCACAACTCACTGTTCACCCGTCAGATGACAGATCGATTCCGACATCAACTTGAGGATTATCGGGTGGTCAGTTTCATCGAAGGAAAGGAAGTGCAACTGGGAGGGCTTGGCCCAGCTTCGATCAGCCACGTGAGTGTAGTGTACTGTAATCCACTGAGTGGATATGATAGTGCGCCCATAGGCTGACAATCAACAGCTTGTGGTTGATGAGGAGTCCGCAGTATTGGGACTGTCCGGTCTGCGCGAAACCCAGCTGAAGCTCGATGCCGATCACTCCCAAATGTGCAGAATTGCCTCTCGAGGCCCAATGTACCGCTTGATCCAAGGAAATATCAAACAACTGGTCGAGCAAGCACTTTTGTCGGAGCAGGGATTTATTCCACAGTCGATAGCTCAAGGGACAGGCCCTTCTCCGCCCCCACTGCCACCGCGCATTCATTCCAACAGCAGCATCCCTTACCAGACAAGGCCACCTGCACCGGTGGAAAAGGTCACGGGCAGTATGTTTACCCCGGTAGACAATGATCCCCGATCGGTGCAAGCGGCGGAACTTAAGAACTGGGCACGGTGGGATGAGGCGAGGACGGTCGAGTATGAGATTTTCCAGGAGCATCTACGAACGCTGGGTCCAGATCATTTCAGCACTCTCGCGGTGGCGTACAATCTCGCAGAAGTGGAACTGGAGAGCAACTTTGTAGAAAAAGCCAAGGAATGGTGTAGATGGGTATCGGACAATTCCCAACGCGTTTTTGGGCCCAAGCATCCATTAACGATGAGGACCGAAAGTCTGATGTCGGAGGTTTTGTGCCAACAAGGCCAGTACCAACAGGCGGAATCCGTTGGCGCCAATGTATTGGCGCGCCAGCAGATGACCATCGGCGAAGAACATTGGGATATCTGCGAAACACGGCGCCGATTGGCCATGACATACAATGCGTTGGGCCGTCGCGAAAAGGCCGTTCTGACTGCCGAAAAGCTCACCGAGACCGTCCAGAGTCTTCTTGGGGAAAAGCACATTCGGGTGTTCAGCTCTGCCTTGAATACGCTGGAGTACATCTTCTGCAATCAAGGAGGGGATTCGAGCACCCTCATTGTGATGAGATTCCAACCAGAGGTCCAACAAGCGGTCGAGGTTCTGCAACGGGTCCACGGCGAACTGCAATCCGCCCTGGGTAATGGTCATCCCTATACCATCCGCGCTCTCTGTCTGCATGGTCGGGCTCTTGGCTTTGTTCAGCAAAACATCGAGGCTTCAGAGACGCTCCGGCGAGCGTTGGCGAGCGCAGAGGAATCGCTTGGGGCCGATCATCCACTGACCATGGACGTGGTGGGCAGCATTGGTGTCATGTATGCTCAGCAAAGTGCCGCTGCTTTCCACCATGAAGCGACCGAAGCCTACCCCTGGTTGATCCGTTATCTGAACTGGGTGGAGCAGCGCAAGGGCAAGAGTAACCCAGAGACACAAGCCACTTTGGAGTTGCTGGCAAACATGCACTTTAAAGCCAAGGAGTATGAGTCTGCGCAGACTTATTTCGAGCGCATCGTGGAAGGGGCACGGGGTGGTGACCAGAAAGTGGTGGAGCGGACGGATAGTTTCCTCCAGCTGTGCCGGGCCAACACCATGTATACGCGACGCGGTCGTGGGTCGAGAGGCATTTTGTCCGCGTTGCAACCCGCATCTACCCGATGGAATTTTTGATGTTTTGACTCTACAAACTTGAACTTGGTGAACTTGAAGAACTTGGGATTATTCCATTATCGTGTTATGTAAAGCTCATTATCATAGTTGGGTATCATGATATCGCTGCCGAAGACAGTCACGTCCAAAAACAGTATATGCCCGGCATCGGTCGTCGAGATCTAGTTGGAGATCTTGGAGGGGACCTTCTTTCTGTAGAAATCATCAGCACGGAACAGGGTCATATTTGAGCGACAGAGACGTACCCAGTGGCCTTTTCGAACTGCTCACGACCAGTGTCGGTAATCTTCTCGTTGGTGGAGCGCATCTTCGCGGGGTCAACCTTGCCGCCACCGAACTTCTTCTCGAGAGCATCGAGACCTAAGGTTGATAAGCTTCAGAATCAGAAGGCTTGCGAGGGACCGTATACATACCCTTGTCGACGTAGTCCTCTTGGCCTTGGCCACCAGAGTTGGAGCCTGAGTGGGAGCTGGAGCCCTTGCCGCCGAGCTTGGATGCGAGACCAGAAAGCTTGTCCATGATGAAGAGGTAGATGTGATGTGTGGTAAAAGTTGTGAAATGATAAACCGATCGGATCTGTCCGGGCTTTTTATATGTCTGCAACCGACATGCATGTGCATACTCCGTACAGGCAAAGAAATGCTATCGTCATCGCGCTCAGATCATCGAGACCCGCCAGTTCCAGTTCCAAGCGCCTCCAAAAGGGGACGATAGGCTTGGAGACCATGCAAATGGGTTGCAGCGGGGGTGTCTGAGGTCATCTGCCGATCCTGATCTTACCGATTACATCGGTGGGAAGAAGAGAGGAGAAGGGAATCGGATTCTTGATCGATGATCTCACGTCTCATCCAATCGGGTCTCGGCATCTGGATGATGTCATTGTCGTCATAGACCTCAGGCATCAAGGCAACAAGACAGGAAGGCAACAAGGCAGCGAGGCAGCGAGGCAGTAAGGCCACAACGTCGAAATATCTTTACACATCAAGGCACATTCACACATTCCATTTGGACACCTTGCTCAGTTCGTGACCTACACTTCTGATCCTACTACTCAACTCTCGAAACCTTGCCGGATTTATTCTTTTCAATTGATACAAGCTCGAATCCCAGGGGCTATCGCACGGATGCGACCGTGACTTGCAGACAATAATCTCAATGCCACCGCATCAAAGCCTCAATCGAGACAGGCGGAGTCGCAATACCTGCGGGCCAGGGCACACGGTCGAGCCACACAGGAGGTTCGGAAGGCCTTCTCACCACGCCCCGACGATCCCTGCGATCGGAATATCGATCCCACTGGTATAAGAACTCGCATCACTGAGGAGGTAGACATATGCGCCACCCAACTCGCGAGGATCTGCCAGGCGCGGCATCCCGCCGTAGTACTGCATTTTGAGATCCCAGTCGGCCGCCTTTTCTACATAATATGTCATGGCAGTGCGGACGAAACCAGGCGATATACTGTTGACGCGAATGCCATGCTCGCTCCATTCCATAGCGAGGGTGTGGCACATATTCCGAACTGTGGAAGAGGTTAGAATAGGTACTGCAAAGTCATCGAGCATCAGGCACAACACTCACCAGCGGCCTTGGTCGCTCCATATGGGGCAGACGGTGCGGCCTAGCGAATGAACGTTTGCATTAGTTCGGTTTTGTGATGTCGAGGTAATGTTGTCCAGACTCACTCGATTCGGTCGGTAGGAGGTCATGCTGGATGTCATGACAATTGATCCCTTGATACCGAGTTCAATGAATTTACGGGCCGCAATTTGCGCACAAGAATAAGCCCCGAAAACCTGCCATGGGGTGTGAATGGGGGATCAAGTCACTTGGCCGGGGAACACGCACGTTGAGATTGAACAGCTTTTCAATGTCGGGCCGCTCAAAGTCGAGAGCAGGCTGATGTTTCGTCATACCGGCGTTGGCCACCAATCCATCAATGCGACCGGTTTCCTCAACCACTTGGTCGACAGCCTTCTGAACGCTTTCTTCGGAGGTAACATCGGTCTGAATAAATTGGAAGTTGGAGTATCGTTTTTGCAGGTTGAGAAAGTCCTCCCCTGGCTCCATCAGGTCTAAAGAGTAAACCACCTGGGCTGAATTCGCGAGGCAGACTTCAGCGATCCCAAGCCCAATCCCCCGGTTAGCACCTGTGATGGCCACCACCTTGTGATCCAACGTTATTTGCCAGTTAAAATCATTGTTGGGCATCGTGCTTCGAGGCAAAGTTCGCGGCTGGGGATTTGCAGCCGAGGCCGCACTTGGTTCAATCGCAATCGGAGGCATAATGGAATAAAAAAAAAAAAAAAAAAACAAATACCAATTTGTCTAAGAGCGAAAGGCGAGAATGTAGACAACGGATAGGAACACCTGACTCTCATATAGAGGAAAGCCGGTACTCCTCCGGACCCCCTCCATTGTGCCCCGCGAATGAACGGTTGGCCGCTCTGGGATACTTGCATATTTGGAGGCCGACGGGGTGGAGAATGCTCGGCTCGAGGCAGCCGGTCCGACCAAGACCGGACGAATGGCCCTGGTCCAGTAATCCCAACCCTCCGCCTCGTAACGAGGCAGTCCGATAGAGTTTGTGGGGAACACACAGCATTTTGCGGAGGTGGATCCTTTGACAACTGCACGTCTTCTTTCCCTGGGATAGGTGCTGTCTGGCAACAGGTATAGTATGTATGCAGGGGATACTGGTATAGCCCCTTGAAAGCCAACAAGGATTAGCAACACGGAAGTATATAAATGATGTTCACCAAACCGAGGGTTTCTAATCCCAAACTCGTTTCCACCGAAACCAACCTGCACTGATTCCACACTCATGGATCATCTCAACAAGGAGCAGGCCAAGGCCGGAATATCCTCCGACCAGATTGAGCATGCTACCATACACGACCACATACTAATTTCCCCGGAAGAGGAAAAGGCGCTGGTGAGAAAAATCGATCTGACTCTGCTGCCGATGATATGGATCATGTATCTTCTATCCTATATGGATCGCACAAAGTACATTACTCTTCAAGTCGCCCGGGCGCTGTGATGAATTGCCACTGACTTATGCATCAGCATCGGCAACGCCAAAATCTCGGGGATGGCGGCCGATTTAAACTTGACTTCCAACCAGTACTCAACCGCACTGGTGGTGTTCTTTGTGGGATATGTGGTTTTTGAGGTCCCCAGCAAGTGAGAGCTCTTGTTTCCGGTTGTTTATGACCCCCTCGCTCATCATATATGCGATCTAGTCTCGTTCTGACTCGCACTCGTCCTTCCATTTTCCTTCCAGCCATCATGATGACCTGGGGTGCCTTAACCTGTGTGATGGGTGTGATTCAAGATTACAGCCATCTCCTCGCATTGAGGATCATCATTGGGTGCGTCGAGGCAAGTTTCGCTCCCGGGGTACTTCTGGTTCTCTCCTCGTGGTACAAGCGCACTGAACAATCGCGCCGATTTGGGGTGTATATTTCTGCGGCTATCCTGTCCGGTGCATTTGGTGGATTGTTGGCGGCGGTCATTGTGAAAAATCTCGAAGGTGCGCATGGAATCCGTGGGTGGCGGTGGTTGTTCATAGTTGAAGGTGCTGCCACCATAGGAGTCGCACTGATCGCACTGTTCATGTTGCCCGACTTCCCGGCAAACTCAAAACGACTTTCTCAGCGCGAGAGAAACGTTGCAGTGGCCCGATTGGCATCAGAAAATGTGACGGCTCTTACAGAGAAAAGCCAGCGCATGACTCATTGGCAAGCTATTGTGAGATCAATCCGGGACTGGCGAACATGGATATTTGTTGCCGGGTACATGGTAAGTGCCCCCCTCACTGCATATCCTGCCACATAGTTGGGTAATAACATATACCATGAACAGGTCATTGTGGGATCTAGTACTCTTTCATACTTTTATCCCACCTTGGTCAAAGGCCTCTTTGGAGATGCCTCGAATGAGAAAATCAACTTTCTGACAATTCCAATATATGGTATCGCATTCATTTGCACCGGTATCACTGCCTATTATAGCGATCAAGTGCCTGACTGGCGAGGGTTGATCATTGCGGTCTGGCTCCTCTTTTCATTGGCTTGTTCAATTGCCGTTTGCGTCGTCTATGACTACACGGCCCGATATGTCCTCCTGGTTCTCATGGCTGCTGGGCTTTGGGCTACCAACGGCGGCACACTAGCGTATGCTTCGTCGGCATTTGCTGGGGCAAGTCCCGAGGCCCGGGGTGTGAGCTTGGCTATAGTCAATGCATTAGGGAATCTCGCTCAAATCTATGGCTCGGTAAGTCTCCCTCTTGTCAATTCAAAAGCTTCGGAGGCTCATCAAGATCCTTCAGTATCTGTTTCCCGATGAAGATGGTCCAAATTATACCATGGGATTCACTGTCATTTCAGCGATGCTGGCACTCGGGGTTGTTGTGTTTGTGTTTTTGCACGTATGGTTCCAACGGCAATCTCGCTCGCGGGCAACAGAGCCCGGCGAAATGCACAGCACAAACGAATGATTCCTTCTCAGATTCATTTATCTGCGTTTGGAAACTGTCTTCATCGACTTTGCTGTCATGTACATTGATTTTCACCAACAGGAATAACACATGGCGCGCAGCGGATACCAAGCTGAGTGCTGGTGTCAATGGAGTTTCAATCAAATCTGAGATGAAAAGATTTATCGTTCAGTGAAGTCGATGTAATGATCTTTGGCGTATTCCAGTTCAAGCTCTTTCCGTAATGATGTGGAAGGCCATCGTACTCGTTGTTGGTGAAGGTCCAATAGATCTAACAATGCCAGTCTCTCATGTGGGCTAGCCACGCACAGGCCAGCTAATAACAATTAGAAAATCAGTGGTGTTCATATAGGCAATGGCTGGGGGACATTACCTCCAAATATGTACGGCAATGTACTTAGGCTGGATGCGGTATCTGCGGGATCTATTGCCCTCGCAATGCCACATATAGTATTCACCGAAAAGGACAGGAGTTTCTGTGCAGCTTGATAGTCTTGCATACTACCTGATGGTGGGCGGTGCAGGATGACAAGGATGCGGGCAAGGCTGTGAGCCTGAAGTGCGGCAGCATGAGTTGGAGGGTGAACCCAGATTGGCGGAAAGATACCCGTATCGGAAACAACGGGAAGAGCATTGAACTCGTGGGGCAGGCTTTCGTGCCATTGCTGTAGCATATATAACAGTTCACTGCCTCTTTCAAGACGCAGAGACAGATCTGTCGTATCCTTCTCTTCCCTGGATGCATAGTTCACGCACCTGCCAAGGAGCCATGTAGCTCTCATAGCCAGCTCAGGAGATGTGAGGACCGACAGCGGCTTCTTTGGCTGCCAGAAGCTAAATATTCGCCGGCGTTCGCGCATTGCCACCCAAACATCTTGCCGGACCCAGGCCCACCAAACAGCTTGCCTGAGCCCCCCAGACTCTCCATCGTTATCTTGAAATCTTTGGATCCAGAAGACCCCCTTCAGGTGTCGCTCCCAGTCTTGATTGGAACCATCAACCATCTCGTAGGCACTGATTAAGAGGGCAGTGGCCACTAGCTGGTGACTACGGGCATAAGATGGATATTGCATTGCCTTGTTCAGATAGTGCAATGTTTCATAATAGTACTCCACGGCCACGTTGCGATTGATCGTTAGAGGATGAACGGCAGTTTCTGATTGTAAAGATGGCTCTTGATCGGATCCAAGAGACATATGGCGTGCAGTGAAAGCCAGCAGGGCCTTCATTAACCCAGGATTCCGCAAAGCGAGATGCGGCACTGTTGTTGAAATTTGCTTCAGAGGGTCATAGAAGTCAAGCCATTGACTCGAATGACCGACGAAGTGATTGAAAATGCGTAGTTCCAATTCGGATAATAAGATCGGAGAAGCTGTCGTCCACGATGAAGAGTCATCGGGTAGAGGGGTTTCTGCTTCAACGGTAGCAGATATATGCCGAGCCTCGATTCCAGAGACCCGTGGGAAGGCCGCAGCCTGGAAACTCTCCCGCTCCCTCCAACTGCGCGGTCTCAGGTTTTCGCTGTGCTGGGGATTTGTATTTTCTCCAGCCTCAGGGGTCTGTGGAAACCTTTGCGGGGGAGATAGGAGAAATCCGTTATCCGCGCTTGCCGCATCTCTGGCGAGAAGCTCAAACCAGCTTAGAGGTGCTACTCTGGTCGAAGCCACCGAGACTTCTGTCCCTGGCGATGGGACGAAACCGTGAGGTGGCTCCGAGTGGGGATATGTTGAGCTCCCAGGAGTAGCTTCCACAGGCGACAGAGCGCGGGAAGTAGGGGGCCTATGGTCTAAATGCCGTTCTTGGTGACAAGCATCTACCAGAACCTGCAAGGGCGTATGCACGTTCCCGGGCGAGAGGGTGGACTCCCCATTTTGAGAACTACCAGATGTTTCTGAATAAACGCACGGCCGATTGCCTTTCATGCATGGGCCACACTGGGGTTGTGCCTATTATCCGATGGTTAGGGGATTTCCATTTTTTGTACAGAGGGGACGCACCTCATCACATTTCACGTGGCGGCGCTTGCAGATGAGACTAAAGGAAGTGAGTAATCGAACAAACTCCGGCGGGGGTGGATGACTACCATCCCGTTGTGGCACGAAGGCCACGGCTCCTAGATTTACGTTTTTGCCGAATAGCCCCCGTCATTGGCGAAAAGGGTGGAGGAGAAGAAAAGATTCGGCACGAGGAGCGACGCGGGTCCAGCGCCAAGACCGCCAAGACCGCCAAGACCGCCTCGAGACGAAAACATCTGCGAACGACTCGCTGTTTTCTTCCCTGTTTACTCTCCTTATGTGGACCAAGTTCTGTTCTCTCATAACCGGATATTCAATGATTTGACTTGGTTGAAAATTCCACTCGACTAATTGCAGAAAATCAAGATGGGCGTCTACCTCCATGGCTGGGTGAATCAATCTCATCAAGAGCCGGCCTAATTTACACCACAGGCCATCCGCTGGAGAAATCAATCGTGTTCCACCCAAACAGCTTTTGGCCGTCTGCATAGCCAATGGTAGTATCGACGTAATGATAGTAGAGCACGGGACCCAGACTAGAATCGGTAAAGACACCCCTGAATAGGAAAGGCTGTTAGAAAGCGGGTTCGATGCCCTGTCTGGGCAAGTTGGAAAGACTTACTGTCCACCAGGACCATAGACAGTGCCGTGACTTTCAAGAACGACGGTGCCGCCTCCATTCGTGCATGCCGTGCCAGCTTTGTCAACCTATAGGGAAGGGTCAGCAGAAGCAGACGAGACGCACATCAGGGAAAACCTACAAATCCTCCTGTCGCCGAGCTCGATCGGCAAACTTTGATCTTGTATTCCGCTCCACTGGCAGGGCGTGACGTATCGTAGCCGCAACAGGTGCCGGCAGAGTAAAAGAGATAGTAGTAGCTTCCATACTTGTACATGTACGCTCCCTCAACGGCATGGGTCCCAGAAGGATCATATGCGACATTATAAGAGGCGGAAGCCACTTTCATCGCAGCTGAGTTCATGGGAGCCTGGTATAGATCGTGCCAAAAGGAACCGAAGTTCATGTAGAAGGTGCCGCCATCATTGAACAGATTGGCATCAATGGCGTTATAGGCCTTCGAAGACGAGGAAGCGATATCGGTGCTTCCCCGATCGGTCCAAGAACCAGATTCCATAGTGGGAGATGTGGCCAGTCCAATGGCTGAGTTCTGTGAGCCGAACGTTGAGACCGAATAGTAGACGTGATAAAGGCCATTCACAAGTTGCGCATCGGGAGCCTGGTAGATGGATTAGGACACACCTACTCAGTAAACATCCAAATTTACTTACCCAAAGGTCGGTATTTCCGGCAAGATCGATTGAGGACCCATCAGGCAACATGGATCCGATCGTGGTCCAAGGGCCCTGGATAGAAGAAGCACTTGCATATGAAATCTTGTTGCCGGTGGAAAATCGGAAGTACCGCTTGTCGGAAGCGCGTTGAATGACCGCTGGGTCGTGTATGTTGCAGGCCCCCGAGCTTTTGAGAGACAGTCAACGAACGATGTTAAATGAAGAGAGAGAAGCCATTACCAGCTGCCAGGGTTTGCGTATCCGTTGGCGAGAGCCGCGAACAATGCTGTGGTGACAATATCACGGAAATACATGTCGAAATTGAATCTGCGAGTTGAAGCAAAATGCCTGCTCTTGAATCAGCAGACATGAGAATTTATATAGTCCATTCTCACGCGCTGGAGGAGAGGGAATTGGTGGAAACCGGAGGGTGTATCTGAATTGGGCACGGGGTGGAGATCCTCTGTCCTCTGAGTATAGTCACGAAGTTTCTAGCGGAACGGAACACTGAACCCTTGCGGGGGAACGGAAGAATCAACATTGAGTATCTCGCGTAAGAGTACGGATGTATGGGTGCGAAGTAATGCAGTAGCACTCCGGACCGACTGGTGGGAATTGTCAAACGCTAGCCGCAGACGCCACCATGCAGCCCGAAACAGGCTCGGTTTCGGGCGTTCTCCGGTGGACACAAGATGAGTCTGGTCTACGGATGTAAAGATAAAAATATAATCAGATCTCCGACCGTCAACATGTCACCCTGATTCCCCTGATAGAGCTGATGCTGATCATGTCGAAATGTGAAGACGAGGAGAACCTAAACCCGTTTCACTCGTCTCTTGTAGAAGGATAAGATCCCTTAGAGTAGTCCAGCCATGACCCGTGTAAGAGCCTCTTCTTCAGCGTGAAAGGCATCCAATGTATTGGGCAATCGTGTCTCACCTGCGGGTGTCAACCCTACACCTACTCCGGCGCCAATGTCCGAAGTAGAATGCGGGTCAAAGTAGAAGCCACCCGCAAGTTCAAAGAAGCTGCTCAAATCTTCACAGCCATTTGTTTCGGATTGAACTGTTGCGTCAGGTGAGATTGGCCAAGACAGGGGGGCTGGAGGATGGGCACCGGGAATTGATGATGGTGGGTGCAGGCTAAGAGTTCCCTGCGCCGCTGGAGATTCTGCAGTATTAGCTAGTGAACTAGCTTCGCATGTTGCGTGTGGCAGATGATGTGTGCTCGTCTGAGGGGTAGAATGAACTTCGAGATATGTTGGTGATCTCTCGCCCTTGTGCTCCGCATCGAAAAGATGGGCTTGCCTGAGTGATTGTTGGCGCCCGGGGTTATTTTCCCGTTGAACGTTGAGTTGGATGCGCTTCAGACCGCGAATGACTTTTTGCAATCGCCTAGACGTGCGGGCCTGGGTTGCCGAGCGGCGGACCATGCCCACTGCGGTGTAAAACTCAGGCCGACAGGCACGGCTGAAGTGAGTGGGGGCATGGAGGACTGCCAGAAACAAAGCAGCCAAAGCGGAAAGCAGAAAGTAATTAAATGGCTCCGGTCGCTGGAAGTATATGCTGGAAATCTGGCTGAAATACTCCAGCATATGGATCGTGCTCTTCGCTGTTTCTACAGCAATCGAGGCACCGGTGATGTTGTCCATGATCCGTTCACTGCTAAGCAGGTTCTGTCTGTACACAAGAATCCGGAGTTGGTTTGCCTGGAGGGCGAGAAGGACCTGTAGCATCATGGCTCGATCGGTGTGCTCTAACCCTGCCGGGGAGCGCCAGGTAGGGTCAAATCGCAGCTCAGATGGAATGGAGTGAATCCAATGTTGAACCTGGGCATCCAAATAGGCACAGCTCTCGGATGTCGCAGCTTGTGATCGGTTCTGCCAACCCACAACTAAACCCCAGATTTTCGTGCTCAGGCGGGCGTGAGAGATCATGCACGTCAAATATGGGGTAGAATGACCAGGCTCGGGGAGATTGGTGTCAATATCGAAGTCTTGGATGGAGAATGGCAGGCCAGAGCCAAAGGCAAACTTGCGATCCAGTACATAGATGCACCAGAACAGCCGGCTTGCCCACGTCCATTCCAGCTCCCCTGGGAAAACGCCTCCGGTCTTTTGCCAAATTTCCTGACGATGTAGGCCTAGCTCGGTGCTCCCCCGAACGGCCATACCGATGAAGCGACCGGCAATAACTTCGTCGTCACGATAAGAGTGGAATATTGACTGTCACGATCAGTCGATTCTTTTTTCTGGTCGCAGAAAGCGGTGCCTGAATCATTCAGGGATACACACCAATAGAGTAAGGATCAATATCTCCTTCATATCAACCTCGGCGATTTTCAATCGACTTGCAAAGCGATCCTCCACGCTATCAGCCAAGTGAGCGGCACGCTCGCTCCGACCGTGCGACTCAACTAGAAGGGCAGTGGCCAATAGGATTTTGAACACCTGCACATCACGCGCAGAAAACCAGTCCTGATCCGAAACTGCCTTGTCTGACTGGTTTGGTGACTGGGTGACCGAGTCCTGACGGTAGTATTCTAGCACTGTGATTGTGTGAGCCTGGGACAAGCTTTGGGCTAAGCACAGTCTGTGCTGCTGGCTGCCATACTTACCGTATGCACGCACCCCATCCAAGTCAACAAATGGGTACATCACCCCGACAGTATCTTCATAAACTTGCACTAGCCTCAATGCTTCATCTGCGCCAAGGCTCTTCAGTGGGTCTCCGGTAGGTGCCTCCGTCCTTCTTTCCGATGGTGCAGGGCTAGCCACGCTGCTTGATGAATCAAGGCCCTCTTCGGGGCCATCGGTGATGGTTTCCCTGCCAGTCTGCGAAGAAGGCCCTCGAGGCTGCCCGAGCCCGAATTCAGCACTTGTGGGCCCGACATACGTTGGTGACTTCGGTGCATCGAGAATGCGGTGTAGACTGGCTGCAGGGACAGTAACTGACTGCTTGTTTGGAGAGGCATTTATGGTGCTAGATTCCAGCTCGTGCAGTCGAGCGGAAATTGTCCGCATATCCCGCCGTAGACTTTCCAATTGACTGTCCACGGCTCGGAAACGGGTACTTGCACTGGTGGGAATTAGCGCAGGTGCCTCAACAAATTCAATAAGACGCACTTTTCATCCTTTTCATCTATTTCATGAGTTCCCCCAGGGCGGCTGGTAGCATAAATACATTCGATTTGATCTCGTGTACACCGTGCGCAGACGGAATCGCCGCTACATTTCAACTTGCGGCGTTTGCACTCATTGCTGGGTGGTCAGCAAAAATGGGCATTGCGGTAGCTAGATCTTTAACATACCATGCGACCTGCGTGTATTTGGCTCTTTTCCTTGCCCGAGAAGGATCCGACGGGGACTCGGAAGTCATGATTGAAGAGAAGAAGTGAGGAAGTTCGGAACGCGGAAACAGAACCGAAGAGCCCCACCTATCCTGACGCACCAATTGGGACGCACCTCGTAAGTCATACAGACGAATAGCCCTGGAGCTGGTTATAAACTGATAATATCTACATCTGCAAAGATTATCTGGGAAGTAGATAGTAGGTTGATGTCAATTTTTAACTCAAGATAAATTACAATGAACAGCCTACATCAATATATCTACTGACCCACAAGCTTAGACTAACAAGATAATATCCGTTTTGGACGGTTTGATCACCTACTTAAGTAGAAAGTGGTGACCACATCGCTATGGTATAGTGAGATTCAATGCAGCATCTCAAATATGTGATTTTCGGCAACATTCCGCATCTGCAAGTCGAGATGATCCATTCTTATTGGACGGCACGTCAATAGAGGGATTGGCCACGAAGAAGTCCACGGGCCGAATCATGAGTTGGAAGATTTCAACGGGCCTGTAATTCCAAGTTAATCAGAGAAAGGGGGGGATTGAATGGTGAGCAACATACATGACAGGCCAATCTTCTACTCGTGGGTTGTGAGTGATCCCGAAGGAGTTCCAGACCACTACGTCGGTGTCAACAACAGAATCCCCACGGCGCACTGCGTCCGCGACACCTTCTACTTCTGTTTGACTCTGCAACGTGTACCGACCACCGGCATAGAGCTCTCCATCACGATGCTTTGTCACCCACACATGGTGCTGGGCGAATTGAGCACGGCGCGCCTGCACAGATTCTGGGTCGGCCAGAAGGGTCTGAGTCGCGAGCGGGATGAATTTGTATCCCACCGGGTTGCCACTGATAGGGTTTGTCTTGTGGGGATTGATCATTTTGATCGTACGATTTAGCTGGGGGGCGGCATCGATCCAGGATGCGCGCTCGACCGTTTGCTTAGTGACTTGATAAAAGTTTCCGTTAGGATTAGTGACGGCATTCATGGGGACTGGGTGAGATTCCTCCACGACCACGGAGTTGTTCTGCCCGTCAACAGCTGGGTCAATTCGGACATTGAAGATGTGTTGATGATTTTGCGCCAGCACGCCACCGGAGACCACGTTGCCGTAGTCGCTGACCTTGCCCGCATCGATATTCACAACGTTCAAGATGCCGGTAGCACGGGCCTCGACAACAATGCCTCCAGATTGGTCGAACTTGTAGGCAAAGATGTATTCATAGTTCGCCAGGGTGATGATAAACTGAACCACCAACTCGCGGTTGCGTGTCACAACGGCACGACCGGTGCGCCAGTTGGAGTGTTTCCACCCTATGCCATTGTCTTGCTCATGGAGGCAAATCGCATTGGGGAGCTTTTGAGCAGTGCCGTCTGCCTGTGTAATGACGGCATCAAAGTATTTGATCACTCCTAGGCAGTCGCAACCCAGGGAGAGATTGTTAGCCATGTTTCCACCACCACCGTCACCAAAGTCAAATGCCTGCTTGCGATGGAATGGAGGACGAGGGTCGGCGTAGGGGACAGTCTAAAAAGTGGAAATTAGCATCAGTATCTGGTTGGCTCCTCGGTGTATGTCACACCTACCATCTCGCTGATTGCCAGTCGGTGCATGACACTGCGGCCATCATATGAGAGGTCATGGATCGTAGCACCCTCTCGCGGGTTGAAGGCCACGCGGAACCGCCATTTCTGCCATTCCACCAGAGACTCATTTGTTACTCGGAAAGACGGGCCTTCCGGTTGAACGACATTCAGCGGCTTGAGATCCTTGCGAGTTCCCTCGGGCATTAGCTCTGGCACGTACTCAGATGGCTTGCAATGGCCAATGATGTCTCGCTTAAAGGTTTGTTCCAGGAGTCCATCACCCTTCCCGCCCGTGGCAGGTCGATCCACGCGAATGATCTCTTGAGTGTGGGCATCCATTACGGGAATGATGGGCAAGGGGAATGAATAAAAATTGGAGTCTTCGTTCCCTGACCGCTTATCCTGAGCAAAGCACAGTCCCTGGAAAAATCGTCTGTTCTCATCAGTGTGATCCAGACCCCCATAGGGCCACGGCTCAATGACAACTTCAAACCCGGCGGGAAGGTCGAATTCAGATATGGCTTGTTGGAAGAGCGGGGATTGCATGCACCGATCGACGAGAACATCAAATTCGCTCCTGCTTGGGTCAGCAGCTGCCTCGGGTCGGATTTCAAGTTTCCGGGGGACACGATTTCTTACAGGGTCAAACTGGCATGGTGCTCCTTCCCCACCACGGTGTGTTTAACGCGCGATCGTGAAACCACATCAATCACAGATTCGTGGAATTGGGGAATGCGATCGGACCCGATAACATCGTATTGACAAAGGGCTAGACGTGGAGGACGAGGGGTGGTTGGGCTTAAGCGACCGGCGTGTTCGATTGCGAGGAACTCCACCAGTTGCGCCTTGGGTGGTTCCTGTAGGAAGATCTCCCGAAAGTCAATGACCACGTCAGGGTGGACGGACTTGACCACATCGCGGGCCAGGTTTGTTTCCTCGACGGATAGAATAGCGAGTGGGTGAGACATGATCAGCGCTTCGCACGGGAAAAGAACTGATGTGTCCTACCTGCGCGGAAGGCAGCTATATATCACAAGTTGGCGCTCGGAAACTCGGAATGCTCGGAAAGTGATTCCTCAACTGTGGGGACCCGGAAATGGTTCCGTGGCACTGGGCGCATGGGATTGGAGATGAAATGCGGGGGAGGCCAAAGCTTGTGGAAACCCGATATCAACTAGGGTGATAAGCCTAAGACGAGTGATTGCATTGCCCTAGCTGGTGCGGACGATACCGTGTGGCAGATAATACATTCCTAGATAGGCATCAAGGTTTAATGGGCGTAGGAAGTGTCCCGTCATTACCGCACTCGTAGATATATACTGGCCCCGAGTTCCGTGCGAAATGTTTCATTTCCTCCTTGGCTTCAGGGCTTCACTCATATTTCCCAGAATTCCATTCAGTACTACGGAACATGGATCCAGTAATAGCCTCCGAATCAAAACGGGCGGACCCTGAAAAGCCCCTGAGTGATGAGGAGCAACTCACAGCGCTTGGCCATGTCCAAGAACTCCGCCGTGAATTCTCACTATGGTCAATTGTGTGTCTTCAGATTTCATTGATGGCAACATGGGAGGCTTTGTCTTCTGTGGTTACCACGGCCTTGACCAGCGGAGGAGCACCGTGCCTCTTCTACAACTAGTGAGTCTACAGTCAGTCCACGATATGCCTCCCAATAGCGCTCTAACCGTTGGATTGATTTAGCATCATCGCTCTGGTGGGCACAATGTTTATTGTCCTTTCATTAAGCGAGATAGCCTCAATATATCCAACTGCGGGCGGTATGTTGTCTATCCTCGAGTCCTATTATGTCATGCCATGGATGAGAGTAACGGGAAACCACTAGGGCAATATCACTGGGTACATTGTCTGGCCCCCGCTTCATATCAGTCAACTGCATCTTGGTTCACGGGATGGATTTCGATTGGGGGGCAGCTGGTATTTTCTGCCTCTGCGGCTTTTGCCGCAGGGTTGCAGTTCCAGGCGCTAATCACACTCAATCACCCCGACTCGTATACACCGATCAGATGGCAAGGGATGATGTTCTACTGGTTGATCTTGGCTTATTCAACGGCGCTGAACATCTGGGGATCTAAGATCCTGCCTCACACTAACACTGCTGCCGGTGAGCAACAGGCGTTCCCACAGGACATACCTAGTGAGCTGACTATAACCAGGGATCTTGCACGTGGTTGGGTTTGTCGCAATCGTTGTCGTTCTAGGAGCACTACCTTCCAAGCACTCTGCGAGTTATGTGTTTACCAAATTTTCCAATACAAGTGGGTGGAACAGTGATGGGGTCTCATGGCTCGTGGGGCTGTTGAGCACCGTTTATCCGTTCTTGGGGTATGTAAGCCCCGGAGATTGTCACTGAAATCCCCAGAGGGAGAGGCTCACCCTTGACTGCAGATATGATGCCGCATGTCATCTCAGTGAGGAGCTACCGAAGCCGTCTCGAAATGTCCCACTGGCTATGATAGGGAGCGTGACCATCAACGGGGTGATCGGTCTGGTGTATGCAGTGGTACTTCTCTTCTCTTTAGGAGATCTCGACAGCCTGCTCGAGTCAAAGACTGGATTTCCCTTTATCCAGCTCTTCCTTAACGTCACTCAGTCCAGAGCGGGGGCATCTGTGATGACGCTGTGCGTCACATTGATTGCGACGGCGGCCAATGCCGCCTGTGTGACATCCACGAGTCGCACTGCGTGGGCTTTCGCGCGAGATCACGGACTCCCAGCGTCTGGATTCCTGTCTGCCGTGAGCCCTCGATTGAAGATCCCCGTGCGCATGGTGCTCGTGGTGGGGTTCCTCCAGATGCTCCTAGGCTTTATCTATCTGGGCAGCACCACAGCATTCAACGCGGTTTTATCCATGGCAATCCTCGGAATGTATGCCTCCTATCTTTCCCCGATCATGTTCATGCTGGTGTATGGACGCCGAAATTCGGCAACTGCTCATGGCCTTGGTATGGGTTCATTTCAGTTGGGTCCCCGATGGGGGCCCATGGTGAATATTGTAGCCATTGCCTGGCTTTTCGTCGCCATGGTGTTTAGCACATTCCCCACGGTGAGGCCTGTCAACCCCGAAAACATGAATTATTGTGTCGTGGTGACAATGGGTTGGATGATTATTGGAGGAATTTACTACTATATATTCGGAGGGAAGAAGCGCTTCCACGGACCGGTGATAGAGTTGACCGAGGGCCTGTGATTATCGAAATTTCAATAGCAAGGTCAGTTACCTCTATCCACATGTACAGGGCTCGAGTAGCGATATACATACCCGGAAAAAATATGCATAAACTTGGGAAGTGGCGGGACTATCCAGGCTTCCCTCCACTTGATCTTCATGTGCCCTGCGCAGTTCGAGCTGTGAAAAACGAGACCCGAAAACCCATGCTTCGCGTGAGAGTCTCACTGAGAACAAGGGGGTGATATGCTATCCACAAGGCGCTGGAAAAATGATAAACGTACAACGATTACACCAGCAACTTCTTTCCATTTATGTGTGGGACTGCGGCTGCGCGTTTGGCCGGAGCTAAACCCTTCACGTCAATTATGCGGGGACGCTTGCCCCTAACAGAGCTAGCCCTGGAATAGAGTCCTTTCTAGGGACAACTTAGGAAGGCGGATAGAGTGAAGCTTCCAGCTCGACGAGTGAAATACGAGTGCCGCTTTCGCTTCTGTTGTCTTGGCTATCCACTTGGACCCGTTGGCACTTCCCTGGACACGAGGGGCAGACGAATTCAAATATTCCCGAGGCCCGACAACAGTCACATCGACTTCACAGGCGTGAAAAACAGTGGTATTCCGGAAACACAATGGGAAGTCAGAATACACTCCAGGTTCCCCATTTGGGAGGAATAACGGTGGGATACCAGATGCCACGGCCCTATGACCCCTCCAAGCCAACCCTTCTGATGATCAATGCGTTTACTATGACCTCGGAGCTTTATCGACCCCAATTTGAGGACCTGGAGCTCAGCGGAGCGATGAACCTGTTGGCAGTCGAGCTGCTGGGCCACGGTCGGACCAAAACGACACGTAGCCACTGGACATACTGGGACACTGCCGAGATGAATCTGCAAGTTTTGGATGCTCTAGGAATTGAAAGGGCATTCGTGTTAGGCACAAGCCAGGGAGGGTGGGTGACGGTGCAAATGGCATTAATGCGACCGGATAAGGTATGAGAGCGGGTTCTGACCACGGGTGGATGCTAAAAAGCCTTTAGATCGATGGTATCATCCCGATGGGCACATCCATGGATTCTGAATCCGAGCGAAGCCGTCAAATGCAGTGTTGGGATGGACCGGCCATCGTGAAGAGCTTTTTACTCCAGTGGGCCACCACTCAGCCGACGTTGAACTTCGACCCCGGGGATGACTATTGCGATGCCGTCATCGGCATTGGATTCAATGAGTGTTCGTCGGAGGTGAGGGAATTTTGGCGCCGGATTATTAAAACCACTTACCAGGGCGAAGAAGGCAGACAACGCATTTGCATGGCAGCAATCAATCTGGCCGCACGAGACGGCCTGCGCCTTCGATTGCCGGACGTAGTCTGCCCAGTCCGATGGTTGCATGGAACGCAGGATGCAGTGTTTTCAGTACGAAATGCCGCAGAGGAAATCCAGATGTTTACAGGATCGCCTGATGCTCAATTGAAGACGATAGAGAACGGCGCGCATTTCCTGAGTGCCTCGCACCCTGAAGAGGTTAACTCCGCTGTACTGAAATTTGTTGTCAGTTGCAGACGCTAAATGAGTGAACATCCACCGATAAGCCTGCAGAAAATTTTCTACATAATAGAGGTTACTGCATCTGAATCATCGTTCTGCTTCCTGAAAGCAATGTGCTGACGCGACTACGGGGCTGTAGTAACCGAGGGAGTAGTCAAAGTCGTTTCAAAGAGTTCAACCGTCCGTGAATGTGCAATTCCACCAAGCATAGCAGATTGGAAAATTTAAAATTGAGGCAGCTTGGATACAATACGAACAGTGTGCGCGATGGGTCAGAACTTTGGTGAAATCTCAACAATGTTTGTAAAACATTTCAAGGGAGAAACGCCAGTCAAACAGTGCAAACAGCCATTGCCTTGATGCCGTGTTGCCTTGGACCTGCCTTCATTCCACGAGAGCAGCATCTGCATTCTGAATCCAAGGAACCTTCGACTTTAATTCAAGCACCAAAGACTCCTCTAGCTCGTACTGACATCACCTATCCATCTCGAATTTATCCGATGATGAGTTCGACATCGGCATCAACCCTACCTACCCCCCTTTCTGCCTTGACTTCGGTCTCCAACGATCGTCAGAGACACCGCACTGGGTTACTCCGCATATTAAACCGAGTGGAGTTGAGAGGTAACGTTCCACCGGGATTTTTCCTAACACGCAGCTCTCAAAATACATCTCAGGGGATCTGCCTGAATGTCTCCACGGATGGTTTAGCATCATGCACAGTGCTCCTGCGCCTTGATCGCATCGCGCAGTACGAGGACTCCGTACACCAAGACAGATCGACGAAATTTGATCAGGCGATCCTAGAGTTTTATGCCGACTATACACCTTGACATCATCAATATGCGAAAAATTCCCATTCCACTATGAAAATGGCCACCAAAAGGGTTAGGAAAAATCGAACATCGGCGTCGAACGCTTGGAGCTTGCGCAAGATAGTCATGCTGAATCGCCCACAATCAGTTCCCACTATACAAACAAGACTGGTATCATCCCACGAAGACTCCTCAACTGGCCAGGAGTTGGCCCCGACGAGGATGAGAGAGCATAAACTCCCTGTTAACCGAAATGTGGGTCTCCAAGCACAAAGTCTCGGGACTACTTTGCGGGGCACAGTGAATACATTCCCCTTGACGCTACATAGTCGACAGTGAATTTGCCAATCCAACAAGGAAATGCTCGAAGCTGGAAATGGCCCCCACCAGGCGAATTTGCGGAGTAATTCCTCAATTCGAAAACGGCCGAACGGTTGGTGCTATTGATGAATGTACCAGGAATGTGACGTCTGATCTACTCGGCATCTCGACAAGACTCGGCTAAATAGGATCACAGGGGGACTATATAAAATCCAATGGTGCGTTCAGTTATACAGTCAAGTCTCTACATCGGCCCTTGCGTTCGCATAGAGAAAATTCACGAGCATGGTCAATATGCAAGCAAGATCCACCCTCGCGGTGGCGTCTCTTTTTGCTGGGCTTTTTGTCAAAGCACAAGGTATCTCTCTACAGGTATCAGAAAACGGAGGAAATGCCTCTAGTCCTCTTCTGTACGGCTTCATGTTTGAGGTAATTCATCGAGTTCCGACGCCCCTGGTCCCCGCATCATATCATCTGACTTTACTCATCAGGACATCAATCATTCAGGAGACGGAGGGATCTATGGGCAATTGCTGCAAAACAACGGATTGCAAGGCCCAACGCCAGATCTCACGGCGTGGGGTAAAGTCGGCGATGCCACAATTGCGGTTGATTCCAAGAACCCTTTGTCATCTGCAATCCCACATAGTCTTCGATTGGACGTCCCAGCAGGGGCTAATGGCTCAGTTGGTGTCACAAACTCCGGATACTGGGGGATCCCTGTTGATGGAAATGATTTCCAAACATACTTCTGGATCAAGGGCGCTCTAGAAACGAACGTCACCGCCAGGCTCGTTGGCAATGGTACTGGCATTGAGTATGGTTCGAAGTTAATCCCGGTGTCTGCAAACGACAAGGAGTTCACCTATGTCGAAGCCAAGTTTCCGACTACAAAGGCGCCGGATGGTAACGTCTACTTCGAGTTGAGTTTCGATGGCAAGGCCATCGCCGGTGGCTCTCTTTATCTTGGTCTCGTTCAGCTGTTTCCCCAAACATACAAGAACAGGTCGGTACCCACTTTATCGAACCATATGTTTGGGATGATAGACTTTGAGCATTACTAAAGCTGACGATTCAACCTGAAGACATAACGGCCTGAGACCCCAGCTGGCTAATGCCCTGGACTCAATCAAAGGATCGTTCCTCAGATTCCCTGGTGGGAACAACCTGTAAGTTTCTATTGGAGAGACCTACCCACCACTCTGACCATGACTCACCAATTACCAGAGAGGGCGCAAGTGAAGCCAGACGATGGAAATGGAACGAGACCATTGGACCTATTGAAAACAGACCCGGCAGGCAAGGTGAGAGATAATCATTCGTATTCCTGCCTCTGTTGATGGCTAACAAGGTCGATATAGGCGATTGGGGATATTATAATACCGATGGCTTAGGTGAGTGATGCACACATTCGATTGAAAAGGAAGAGGCTTACCTGAAAAGGGTTGGACGAATACTTCTACTGGTGCGAAGATATGAATCTATCGCCGATTCTCGGCGTTTGGGATGGGTTCTCATTAGAATCTGGTGGGAACACTCCGATTACTGGAGATGCTCTTACGCCGTATGTAGAAGATGTATTGAATGAGCTTGAGGTAGGGATACATACCCACAACCCCATGGATCCACATGCTGAAGTTGTTTGCAGTATGTACTTGGTGACAGCAGTACCAAGTACGGGGCACTGAGAAACTCAAATGGTCGCAAAGACCCATGGCCTCTGACCATGGTTGAGATTGGGAATGAGGATATGCTTGGGGGTGGCTGTGACAGCTATGCAGAACGGTTCACGGCATTTCATGATGCCATTCATTCGGCGTATCCTGATTTGACCTTGATTGCTAGCACAGAGGATGCATCCTGTCTTCCTAGCTCGATCCCTAAAGGCACTTGGGTTGACTATCACGACTACAATACTCCGGACGGCCTGGTCGGTCAGTTCAACTTCTTTGACAACTTGGACCGGTCATTGCCGTATTTCATCGGAGAATGGGCACAGAAAGGTGTGGACTGGCCAATAATGCAAGGCTCAGTTGCCGAGGCTGTGTTTATGATCGGGATAGAGCGAAACAGTGATGTTGTCAAGATGGCTGCTTATGCACCTTTGTTGCAACTGACAAACTCGACCCAATGGACAGTAGGTGGCGAACCGGAACCATGAATTCCCTCAATTAGTTGGATATTGATAACTGACCACAATCATACAACAGCCAAACCTCATTGGGTTCACGCAAAGTCCTTCGATGGTCATCGAGACTAGCAGCTACTTCGTGCAGCAGATGTTTTCCGCGAACAGGGGGCAAACAATCCGAGATATCACAAGTGACTCGCCATTTGGACCTGTCTATTGGGTTGCGTCAAACACGGATGAAACCTATTTCGTGAAGTTAGCCAACTATGGCAGTAAGACCGAAACCATCAGTCTCTCAATTGCGGGATCTACCAAGGCTAAACTGACTGTCGTTGGAAACAATGATGCAAATGCTGCCAACACTGATACCGAGACCCCAATAACCCCGGTGCAATCGGAGTTGAGTGGCAAAGATGGCAAATTCTCGTTTACCCTTCCAGCCTGGTCTGTTGGGGTTCTCGTTGCGACTTAGAATTTTCCTCTAGAGCGAGTATCCATCGTTGGAAGCACTGCCTGGGAAATTCACCGAAGAGCATAGCACCGGACGTCCATTGAATAGGTAAAAGGGCCGGGAACGCAGCTGGTTAGAGCTGAGGTTCCAGTCTTTCTCATCTTTCACTCATTTCACAAGTTTCCCTAAGAGCCAAATCCTATCCAAGGGCAGGGACGGCATCGAGGCTCGGTGCCAGGCGGTGGGTTTTCGTTAAGTATGGGCAGAAAAAACCCT